CCCAACCCCAACCCCAACCCCAACCCCAACCCCAACCCCAACCCCAACCCCAACCCCAACCCCAACCCCAACCCCAACCCCAACCCCAACCCCAACCCCAACCCCAACCCCAACCCCAACCCCAACCCCAACCCCAACCCCAACCCCAACCCCAACCCCAACCCCAACCCCAACCCCAACCCCAACCCCAACCCCAACCCCAACCCCAACCCCAACCCCAACCCCAACCCCAACCCCCAACCCCAACCCCAACCCCAACCCCAACCCCAACCCCAACCCCAACCCCCAACCCCAACCCCAACCCCAACCCCAACCCCCCTTTTTTAAACATCTATTGAAAAATAAAATTTAAAAATTTTAATTTGTTTGCTGGATATTAAAGTTGTAATGATAAATTTAAATGTTTATTCTTTTTATTCTAATTAAAATAATTTTTATTTATTTATAAATTTACTTTTTAAATTAATTTTTTATAAAAATTAAATAGAGAAATATCCATATTTATTAGACATATTGAAATAAGAATAATAATAATCTATATATCTTTATATTTTAATCTTTTTATAATTAATTTTATTTCTTGAAAACATTTAATTTTTATTATTACTTGCTACTGTTGCTTATGACAATATACAAAATTATAATAAGAATTTTATTTTAATATTATTTTATAATATGGAATTCAAAATTTTTTCATAAATCAATAATCTATTTAAAAATATGTTATTTCAATTATTATAAATTTATAAATAGCTAACTTAACTTTAATAGAGAAATTTAATTAGACTTTAAAATAAATTGAAAAATGTAAATCATTTTTAGATCTGTTATGATCAAAAGGAATGATTGAAACCAAGAGTTTATTTTAACTATTGCATGAATTTTGTTAAAAAGGGTTATCAATTACTCTGTAAGTTTTAAGTTTACAATAAAAAATTATGTTGGCTTTCATAGTAATATTTATTGTTTATTCTTAAAATAAATACCTTTTCCATCATTTTATTAAAATCATCCTAAATTTTTAAAATAATAAGACTAATGTTTTTTATCCTGTCTAATTGCCATCCCCTCGCATTTTAAAATTACAGCCCTAAATAAAATTTGTTATTTGTTTTCATAATGATTTAAATTGGTAAGTTTTTAATTAAATACAGTGCTTAACAAATTAATTAAAATTTTTATCTAATTTAGTGTTTGTAAAAGAAAATAATTTTTTTTTAAAATAATTAAGAAAGTAAGTTGTAAATTTAAAAATAATAGATAAAATATCAAAAATTATTTTACTTTTATGAATGAATCAAATTTTATTTTAAGAAAATTATTCTCATGAAATGAGTTAAATTTCAATTTAAATAAAATATTTTAACAAATCTTAATATTAATATTATTATTTTAAATCCAAAAATTTAACTTTCATCTACCATTTTTAAATAAATTGGTTGAAAATTTATAAATTAATTATTTTAAAAACATTAATGAATTTAATAATTGCTATTTATAACTCTTAAAACCTGATAGATAAAAATATATAAAAATAAGGCAGATAAGCTAGCGTCTAAGAAATTTATCATAATCAATTAAATCTAAAAAACTAAAAATCAAATTAAAATTAGGCACAAAAAATAAATAGAAATTTAGGTAGAGTATATTTAATTAAAAAATGGGATCACCAGATAAAAAATCAAAATAAGAAAAAAAGTCGAAGTTTACTGAGTAGGAAGACTAAAAATCTGCTTTACATGATGACAACATTATTGTTGGATCTAGTAAAAGAAAGGGAATAGATATGAGTAAATTTTCAGCTGAATAAGGCGACGATGACGGTGCTGATCCTTCAAAGAAGATCAGAGTTTCAATGAATCCTTGGACTAATAAAGTCTATTCTAAGAAGTATTATGAAATTCTTAAGACCAGACAATCTCTTCCTGCTTGGGAGGCTAAAGGATAGCTCTTGAAGCTCCTTGATGAAAATTAAGTTATTGTTTTATAGGGTGAGACAGGTTCTGGTAAAACTACACAAATCCCTCAATTCTTGTTGGAATCAAAGCATGTCAAAGGGTAATAATATATAAATTTTTACATTTGATTATCCTTTTCACCTTTTGGTATTGAAATTAGGAAAACATGCTTTTAGTATGTTTGTGGGACATAATAAAAAATTATTATAAAAACATAAAAATTATTTAAATAAGAATTCAAAATTATTTTAGAGGGATATTTTTTGAATTTACTTTATATTCAAATTAACATTTACTGCATTTTTAAATTTTGAGAAATTAACAATATTATGTTTATGAAATAGCAAAAAAGGTATCTGTTGTACTCAACCCAGAAGAGTTGCTGCTATGTCTGTAGCAAAGAGAGTTGCAGATGAAATGGTAAATATTTGGAATTAAAAAAATTGACTTATTTAATTCTTTTTGCTTTTTTCAAAAGGATGTTCAATTAGGTGATGAAGTTGGTTATTCAATTCGTTTTGAAGATAAAACATCAAATAAAACTATGTTAAAATATCTAACTGATGGTATGTTGCTCAGAGAAGCCATCCATGATCCTCTTTTAGAAAAATACAGCATAATTATGCTCGATGAAGCTCACGAAAGAACATTGAATACTGATATATTATTTGGTCTACTTAAAGAAATTCTTGAAAACAGAAAGGATCTCAAGATTGTTGTTATGAGTGCTACAATGGATGCTGAAAAGTTTTAAGGTTACTTTAAGGATGCCCCATTACTTGAAATTCCAGGTCGTTTATATCCTGTCGAAATCTTTTACACACATGAACCAGAAAAAGACTATGTTGAAGCTGCTATTAGAACTGCAGTATAGATTCATATGTATGAAGACGAAGGAGATATGTTAGTTTTCTTAACAGGTGAAGAGGTAATTAATTATCACAATTATAAATAAATGAATTATTTAAATCGAATTATATATAGATAATTTAGTTTTGATTTTATACAAAAAACTAGCTATTAGAGAGAAGGTTTAAGTTTTTAAATAAAATACTCCTTCATTTATTTTTGGAAATAAAAATAAAAGATAAATAAATAAATAAATTATCAAATTTGCCTAAAAGATTTGTTTTCAAATTTAAAATAGATTGATTGATGATAGTTTAATATAAAAGAATAAATAGCTAAATATTCTAAGTTAGTCTCAATAATTTTAAATATAACTTTCCCATTTAAAAAATAGGAAATTGAAAATGCATGCAAGCAAATTAAGCAAGAAATTTAAAAATAAGGTGATACTTGTGGACCTGTTAATGTTATTCCTCTTTACAGTTCATTGCCACCCGCTATGCAATAAAAAATCTTCGATCCTGCTCCAGGCCCTAATAAAAAAGGTATTCCTGGAAGAAAAATCATCGTTGCAACAAATATTGCTGAAACTTCTTTAACAATTGATGGTATTGTTTACGTTATCGATCCAGGTTTTGCTAAATAGAAAGTATTCAATCCTCGTATGAGAGTTGAATCACTTCTTGTTTCTCCAATTTCTAAGGCTTCAGCAAAATAAAGAGCTGGTAGAGCTGGTAGAACCCGTCCTGGTAAATGCTTCCGTCTCTACACTGAAGCTTCTTTTAAAAATGAATTGATGGAAGACACTTATCCTGAAATTCTTAGATCTAATTTGGCTTCAGTTGTTCTTACTTTAAAAAAGCTTGGTATTAATGATTTGGTACACTTCGATTTTATGGATCCTCCTGCTCCTGAAACTTTAATGCGTGCATTAGAACTTCTTAATGATTTAGGTGCTTTAGATGATGAAGGTGAACTCACTAAAATTGGTGAAATGGTAAATAAATATTAAAATAAAATTTAAAATCTTCTTTATAACATTAAGCTATTTCACTTAATTAATTAATTCTTTTGTAAAAATATAGATGGCTGAATTCCCTCTTGAACCTTAATTAGGAAAGATTCTTTTAAATTCAGCAAAGTATTAATGTTCAGAAGAAATGGTTAGTATTGTAGCTTTACTTAGTGTCCCAAATATATTCTCGAGACCTAAGGAAAACCAAAAAGAAGCTGATGATGCTAGACTAAAGTTCTGCAATCCCGATGGCGATCATCTTACCATGCTTAATGCATATAACGCTTATAAGTAAAAGAAAGAAAATGCTGAATGGTGCAAAAGCAATTATTTAAATAGTCGTTCTTTAAAGTCCGCAGACGATGTTAGAGAATAACTAAAGAATTTGATGGTAAAACTCGAAATTCCTCTTGTATCATGTGGTACTAATTATGAAAATGTTAAAAAGTGTCTTCTTAGTGGATTTTTCATGTAAGTTGCAAAATTATAGAGAAACGGTGCTTATATGGCATTTAAGGATGTTCAAACTGTTGCTATTCACCCTTCTTCTGTTGTTGATTAAAAGCCTGATTGGGTTATATATAATGAATTCGTTTTAACAAAGCGTCATTATATTAGAAATATAACAGCTATAAAAGGAGAATATTTGTTCGAAGTAAACCCTGATTATTTCAATCCTGCTAGAATAAAACATATTGATACTCGTAAAGACTTAGAAAAATTAGAAAAGGAAATGATAGAAAAACGTAAAAAATAATCTCAACAAAGTTCAAAATGAGAACCAATAAAAATAGAAAAATAAAAAAGTATAGTAAATAATAATTTTATAAAAAAAGCATAATGACCTGAAAAATTATACTTAAATCTATATTTGCTAGCTATATAAAAACTAATAATTTATATAAATAGAAGTCAAGAAAATTGATTAATCCTGAATTCAATACTTCTTATTTCTATCAACATAACTAACCTAAATGTACAAACAATAAATTATTCCTAAAATAAAAAGTGAAATTCTAATTTTATTCTTATTCGTATATCTTCTTATATATTTATAGGTATAATATTCAATTTATAAAAGTAAGTTTATTTCAAAGATTTAGATAGATAAATTTAAATTTCTCATCAATAAAGAAAAAAACAAGCAAGCAAACAAACAATAGAATTAAGTGTTTATGAAATCATTTATTTATTTATATTTTCAAAATTATAATTTCATTGTTTTATTTATAATAAAAAAAATTAATGGTTCAAAAAAATAAAACAAAATAATTTGAATGGTGTAGTAAATATCTTAGCTTAATAAGAGAATCATACAGTTTTTAAATACTCCTAACACTCCTTGTGGTGAAGCAAGAATGTTTTAATCTACTTAAATTATTTGTTTAAGATTATATTAACCACAAAAAAAATCAAGATTTTATTTATTTTCTTTGATAAGTTTCAATAAATAAAATTTCTAATCTGTCTAAAAAATCTGCGAAGTTAAAGTTTATTTATTATTTATTTAATTAATTAGCTGAGTGGCAAAATTTATTCTAAGCATTTGCATTCACAAATCAATTAATTTATTAGAACCTTGAGTAATTATTTATTTTGAGCCAGTTTAGATATTATGATGATTAATAAAGATTTATAAAATTAATTTGCATTCAAGAGATCTTAAATTCTCTAGAGATTATGCATATATATGTATGCATTTACAATCAATATTTATAACTTTTATAAGCAATCAGTGGATGCGCAAATTATTGATTGATTGATTGAAATTGGTTCATAGAAATTTTATTATTTAAGTAATTATTTGATTAATAAATAAATAAATTTTTTTTTTCTCTAAAAGGAAAAGAATAACAAAAGCTTAGATAAATAAATATTAAGTAGGATTTTCAAGATGAGTGCTAAATATCAAACCCCTTAAAAAAATGGCCATCATTAAAGCTCTTACAGCTTTGATTCACCAAACTAACACATCTCTGGTAAGTGTGTTTGTGAAATTTGTACTTGTAATAAGCATAGATGTCCTCCAAAACCTATGAGCTACGCTCCTGATATCATTAAATCCACATTTAAGAATGACTATCCTGCATATGATATTAACAAAGAACCAGTTAAGAAATCAGGCCATAAGTATGCTCCTACAAACTACTCTCCAGATCTCATCAAAAGTAATTACTAAAATGACTACACCCCTCACAAGGTTTCTCCTCCTTAAAAGCGTGAGTAGAATCCATATATTAATTCTAATACTCCTTTCAATGGAGATACTGAATATAAAGTTAGCTACATTAAAAATGACGTCCCTCCTGCTTAGCCTTATAAGCACAACGTTAACAAAAACTAATATAATGTTCCCTTTAACGCTAACTCTACTTACCAAGAATGCTATAAGGGTCATGAAGGTCACAGACCTGATCACAATATACCTAAATATCTTTCCTAGACAGGTAATAATACTCATGTTCCATTCAATGGAACTTCAACCTACAAATAGGAATATATCTAGCACGACATTCCAAGAACCGAAAACTCTGGTAAAAAATCTAACACTTACCACAACTCTACTCCATTCGACGGAAAAACTTCTTACTAATAAGATTATATTAAGCACAAATAGCATGCATATGAAAAAGAAAGATGTAAAATCTACGAATTACCTCCCAGACCTCGTAACTGTTCTCCTGGTAAAAATCATATCCATTATCAAGCAGAAACAAATCACTGGGATTGATTAGCATGTTTTACTAAATCTAACTTTTATATAAACTTTAATAAATGATTATGTTATATTATGTTTTTTGATGTATATTTTAGATATCAAATTCTTGAATATGGTAGAATAATTTTTAATGAATATCAGAAATTTATTTTTTATTTAAATTTATATCTTTAGCTTTATGTATATTCTTAAAACATCTCTATAATATTCTACAATAACTTAAATACAGAACATATATAAATAAATATATTACAATATTTAATAAATAAATAAAATTTATAGATTTTGATTTGGTTTCTTAGTTGATAATTTGTTTAGCGATGAGATATTTACTAATTATAGCAATTTTAAAAGAATTTACTAAAATAAAAGAGCATAATTAAAAATTTATATTTGATCCATTAAAAATACAATTCTAAGGTTTTATAAAAATTATCTTTATACCTAATAAAATAAAATATATCAAACATTCATAAATTAAGCAAAATAATTTGTAGTTTTTTGAATAAAAATTAAAATTTTCTTAATACAAAACAATCAAATAGAATATGAGAATAGAAATAATAAAGTATATTTTATTATAAATTTGAAGAAAGATTATACATACAAAGAGAATAAAAAGTTACAATATATTTTTAGTTTTTACATTATAGATAGGTTGATAGATAGAAAGATGATTATATGTTTTTATAATAGATAGTTTATTAACTATATTATTTTTATTAGATAAATTATATTCTTAGATAAAGTTTAACCAAAATTGATAGTTAAAGCAATAAGATTTATTGGTTTATTGATGGTAATCATTATTTTATACAAATCCTATTTCACTCAATAATAAGACCAATTATAATTTTAATTTAGTTTTTATAATTTATACAACACATTACTTTGAATAACTGCTGCTTGTTTGGTTGATATTGCAATTATATTATTATTCATTTAAATTAAATAAACAGCTCTATAAAAACTGCTCATGGAATAACTATTTCTTTTCTAAAATGATCGATTACAGCAGCAACTTCTTTTATTAGTTGAACGTTAAACTAGTTAACTTCTTTTAAAGTTTGTTCCATGCAACTTCTAAATTCATTAAATTATGCATCAGTAATTTTCATATTAGCATGAGCATCTTTTAATTTTTTGCCTTTATACCTTTTTTAAATTGAAAATTGTTTATTTATAAAGATAATCTTTAACTATGAATATTTTTTTACATTTATTGGCCTCCAAAAATAGTTGTGAAGAAAGCTTTAAGCATATTCTTTTGCTTTATTGGATCAGTTTTGACAAAAAATTAACCAATAGCTTGGTTTTTGATTAACTTATCATAAAACTTCTCAATGATAACTTTTTTTATAAAATAATTTAGAAATTTAATAAATCTATGAATGAATGAATTACTTTCAAGTGATTTTTCTCCTCCGATTCTTTCATAAAGAGGAGGTCTTACTGAAACTATTTCTTTTCTAATTTATTCGACTACTCTTGCTATTTCAGCAATTGTGATATTATCAACCCCAACTTCTCTAAATGATTATTGTACCAACTCTTTAAATATGTTAAAGTGTGAGTCATTTAACTTAAGATTTTAGTGAGCATCTTTCATAGATTTTCCTTTATAGCTTTATTAAATAAGATTAATATTTATTTATAGGTTTTCTAATTGTTGTAAAATTACTTATTCGGGCCTCCCAATATAACAGTGAAGAAAGTACATTAATTATTTTTTAAATTTTGCATATCAGCAGTTTTAAAGAAATCTTTTAATTTTACATCAGCTAGCAGCTTTACATATAACCTTTCCACAGCTTTTTTTGTGATTTGCTCACCACCTATTCTATCAAAAAGAGGTACTTTTACAGATACAATATCGCTACGTAAACCTTCTATAGTGCCACCTACTTCAATTAAACTAAGTGGATCCTTAGAACAATCTTTCATGGCTTAGAGTAAATGATCTTTAACTAAGTTGAAATGTGTATCATTAAGACCTAGATGCATATGAGCTTCTTTCATGCTTTTTCCATTATAACTTTTGATTTAAGAATATTTTATTTTCATACTAAAGTTTGTTAAATCCAAATAAAAATTACCTTGGAGCTCCTTTAACACAGTAAAGAAGGAATTAACGATTAATATCCCTTAAACGAGTCATATCTACTCCTTAAAAGAATTTCTTAATTCTAGGATCCATAAGAATTCTATCATAAAACCTATTAACTATCTATTGTACACCTTTTTCACCTCCTATTCTTTCAAATAGAGGTAAACTTTATGTGACGATGGTCATACGCTATGTTTCAATTAAATTCGAGATTTCCAGGAATGTTTATGGATCAACTAATTCTTCTTTTAAGGTAAGTAAGAGATTCTCTTTAAAGGCATTAAAATGTAAATCGTTTATTTTTAATTTTGCATGAGCTTCTTTCATGTTTTTACCTTTATACCTAAAAAATTTAGTTTTAAAATACTGTCTTAAAGCAAATTATTTTACATGTTAGGACCTCCTGTAGCTAACATAAGAAAATTTTTTTGCTGTTCTCTCATTTTCACCATATCTATATTGGTAAAAAAGTCTTTTATCCTATCGTCAGCAGTTACTTTTTGATAAAGTTTATCACTAAGATTATTGAGTGCAGCTTCACCTCCTAAACGCTCAAAAATTTAAAGTTTCACAGTAACAATTTAAGGCCTAAGACTTTCAAAAAATCCACAAAAATCATGAAAAACAGATGGTTCTACTTTCATTTATTTGAGACTTTCTCTTAAATGTGTCATGAATGCATTAAATTAGACATCATTAATTTTTAATCCACTGTGAGCCTCACGAAGATTTTTTCCCTTGTAGCTTTTTAAATTTAAAAAATAACTTAAAATCAAAATTCTAAAAAGTAAATTAAAATACATTTTTGGACCTCCTGTAAGTTAAATAAGGAAAGATTTCAAAGTTTCTTTGTGCTTCTATGACTCTACAGTAGCAAAAAAGGAGTTAATTCTTTAATCTGAATAAATTCTATCTACTAGTAAACCTACTAAAACCTCTATTTTTGCTTCTCCTCCAATTCTATCTATTAGCAGTTTATTTTTTTGCTATTGTTAAGGAGCAGGAGCTGTTAAAATTTTTGATTACTGATTAGCTGGTGCTTACTCTTTTTGTGATTAGACAGAGATATTTTATTACAGCTAAGGCTAAGATGGTTGGCTTGCTTTAGAACTGACAATATCTTTTCTTAAAGGCTCAATCTAAACTCCAATTTATTTTATAATTTTATCATCTACATTAAGTTATTTCAAAGTCCCAATCAAATGGCCTACAGTAACATCAAAATGTTCATCAGTCAAATTTAAATGACTATGTGCATCTTTCATATTCCTTCCTTTGTACCTAAATATGCCAAATAGTAAATATATTTTTAAAAAATATAATATAAATGAATTTATTATACTCTTTAGGTCCACCTAAAGCCATAGCTAGAAATGCCTTTTACATTTATTTTTGCTTAGTCATGTCAATTGGTTTAAAAAAGCCAGACACTTTTGGATCTTCTAACATTCTTTTATAGAATATTTCTACAGCTTATTCCATTGCTTTTTCACCTCCAATTTAGTCATATATAGATGTTGATTACGTAAAAACGACATCTTTCCTTAAAGGTTCAATCATTTTTCCAATCTCAGTTATAACTGCTTCGTCTATATTTAAATCTTTAAGTGTAGAAACTAAGTGTCCTACAGTAATATCAAATTCTGCATTAGTTAACCTAAGATACTAATGTGCATCTCTCATGCTTTTGCCTACATATCTAACAATGTTAACATAAAATTAATATCATTTTCATTTTTATTTATTTTTATGCTGATCTTTGTGTAAAAAATTTTTTCTCAGTATTTTTTTGCAAGATTAATTTAAAAATTGTATTAATTACTTTTTTGGACCACCTAAAGCAAAAGAAAGGAAGCTAACTTACTAAGAGTGCTACTTGGTCATATCAATATCTTTAAAAAATTAGGAAACCTTAGGATCTGCTAACATCTTTTTATAAAATATCTTAACTGCTGCTTCAATGGCTTCCTCTCCTCCAATTTTTTCGAATATCGTTTTTTTATTTGAAGGTAAATTGCTAAAGGATTTACTATTACTTTCCTATTTAGCCTCCTTAGCAGAAGACTTATCAGCTTTTTTTTATTATTATATGTAAAATGTTATATTTTTATAAGTAAATTTGAAATTATTTATAAATTTTATTTCTACATTTAATTGCATATTTTTATGAATCTAAGAGCAATAAATTAGTAAAATTAAAAATAATTTATTGATTCATTTATTTATTTATTTACCTGCAGTTTGTGATTTTGGTCTAATTCTATCATTTTCTTAAATTCCCTTCACCATTCTTAATATTTCCTCAGCTCTGAGATGCCCTGCAAAGTCATTCATAGCCAAATGACGAACTATTTATTAGTCATCTATGATAAATGTGCTTCTTAAACAAGTTCCTTAATCGTTTCCATTTTTATTTAATACACCATAGTCAGCTGCTATTTTTTTATCTACATCAGCCATCAATGGAAAATTAATGTTTCCTAGGCCGCCCTCATTTCTTGGCTTATTACAATAATTCATATGCGAAAAGTGAGAATCTATTGAGCATCCTAATAACTCACAATTCAATTTCTTAAATTTTGGATAGTTCTCTGAAAAGTCAAGAATTTCTTCTTGAAATTATTTATTGAAGTCATATGGATAGAAAAATAACACTAAATATTTGCCTTAATAATCATCTAAACTAATCTTTTTAACTTTATCATTATATCCATCATGGTATGCATTTGCTTCAAATTTAGGAGCTTGTTTTCTAATCATTTTCTTCGGAACTTCCATGAATTTTTATAAATCATCTTGCGTACCAAAGTAATTATCATCATCAGCTTGTTAAGAAATAAATTTCATGGAAGTTTCATTTTATGTACGCTCTCTGGGCCTAGATTCTAATAATTTATTAAATAATAATTTAAAGTTTATCAGTCTAAGATTTTATTTTGCATTTTTTATAAAAAGCAAACAATTTTGAGCTATCAATTTCTTCGGCTAACGAAAAATCAAAATCCTACTCAGTCAAAAATAAATAATATTTAAAATAGTTTAAATATTTTTTACTTTATTCAGGAGTAGGTGCATCTATTGTATTATCATCATAATTATATTAACTCCTCTTAGTTTCGTAACAATTTCCCATTTTTATCTCCTTAACCTTAAATTTTAATTGGTTTATTAAAAAATATTGCCTTGCTTTTAACTTGAATTATTAATGATTATTTAATATTAATCTTCTTTTTATTTAATTTATTGCTTCTCAAGTCAACAAAACTAATTAATCTTAGTAAATGAATTAATTATTTCTAATTCTAAATACAATTTACTCATTCTTTGTTAATTTACACAGTTTATGTTTTATAAATTATTTAACGCACATAATTAATTGTATTATGGAAACCTGTTTCAACTCCTTCTTATATTTTATTTTAGTAAAAATAACAAAATAACAGAAAGAAAAATCGTTTATTTTAATTCAAATTTGTAAACTGATTCAAAAATTAAAAATGGCATGGTATATATATAAATGCTTCTCAATTTGTAAATAATTTATCAGCTTGATTGAAAATCGAAAGATGAGCTTATCCGATTTATTTCAGCTTAAAATATTTATTAACGTATGTTAGTTAGTGTATAATATCTTTTTACAATAAATGATTTTTTGTAGAATTAAAGTGAAGATAAAAATCAAAAAATTATTTAATTTATTTTAATAAATAAATGGTCTTAAATAAAGTAGTTAGTACGTACCTAACTATATTTAATATTTTAATTTTATCATTTTCATATCTAATTAAAAAATTAATAGTTTTAATATTTGAAGGAATAAAATAGAAGCAGAACTAAAATACATTTATTATAAAAGCTGGATTAATTATATATAAACAATTAAAACAGGTATGGATGGATGGGTGAATGAATGAATAGTGAATTTAGATTTAATTAACTTTTTGAGAACAATTTTGTGTATTGTTAGCATTTTAATGAATTCTTTAAACTTTAACTTTCGATTTAACAATAATAATTTGACAATAAATTGATATAAGCAAATGTACTGAAAGATGTATTTTATTAAATGGAAAAAAAATGCACCTATTAAAACTTTATATTTCGTTTGGAATAAAAGTTGCCAATTACTAAAACAAATTTTCAGTAAAGACTTTTGCTATTAAATTTTATACATACAATCAATCGATTTCAATTAATAAAGAATAATAGGTTTAAAAATAATTAGCTGCAATTACTGTGATTTTAAAATTGTTAAATAGATCCAAACTATAAAAATAAAATATATTTTATTGAACTATCATATTATAGAAAAACAGTTTCATTTGAATAAAGTATGGGATCATGCCAAAGTTAGTGCAACTCGTTTACAAATAATTAAATAGTTGAAGAAGAAGTGTAGTATGGAAAAAATTAAGCGATACCCAATGATGTATAATCTCCTGAACTAAATGAGTAGAAAAAAAAATCTATAGGGAATAATGTTTATACTTAGCAGCAATCTACTTAGAATACTTCAGCTTCAAATGTTAATGGTAAACTTAACAGCTCACAAAGCAAAACCTAAAATTCGACAAAAAAAGAATAAAATTATGAAAGCGTATAATGTCCAGTCAATCCATTAAATAATAGTAGAGGCAGTGAAATGAGAGGCAATGAGATAAAATGGAAAAACATTAAATAAAGAGCCGTTTTAAATATTTTTTATGGGACTACGCAAGGTACGACTAGTGAGTTAGCCACTTAATTTGCAAGTGAATGCGAATAAAATGGTTTTTATGTAAGAGTAATTCATATACAGACATTTGAGCCTAAAATGCTTAGAAATTGCAATTTAGTTATCTTTTTTTTAGCTAGCTATGGAATTATGGGTGGTCCTACAGATGATGCCCAGTAATTTTATTTGTGGCTAAATAATTTTGACAACTAGGGTAAACCTCTTTCCTCTTTAAATTATAGTATTTTTGGCTTATACAACTCTAAAATGAAGAAATTAACAGTTCAAACAAACGCAAATCATGATACTGAAGTAGATAGCACAAATAATATTGAACCCAGTAGCTATATAAATAATAATATGAATAGTTAGAGGTAAGATAATGAAGAAATTGAAGCAAATATGAATTAAAGCGTAAGGTTTTAAAAAGCCATGAATAAAAAATAAACTAAAATAAAATCAATGGGCTAGAGAATAGATATGCTATTCTAGGAAGTAGGCGCTAAGAGATTTTACAATTTTGTATAGGTAGATAGCTCTAAGGATGAACTTTTAAAAGAAAGTTTTAATTAGTTCAAAAATGGTATGATAACTCTCCTTACATAAAAATTTGAGTTTCAAGAAAAGCCAGAGGATGCTATATATAACGAAGCCCTACTTTATAATTTGAACATATATATTTGCTCTATAGATAAAGTAAAATAGAAATTTTATTTACACTAACCAAATTCAATATCACCAAAATTAACTAATAATTCTTCTAATTAATTATAAAATACATTTTTTACTCAAATTTATCTTTAATAATATTTTCTATTATCACACCCAAATATATATCTATTATTGTCAAAAAAAATAACTAAATTAAAATTCATTCATATCTTGATTTGACTGACTTACCTAAATTTAAAGATCTAAATAAATATCTTCTGTTTATGAACGTAGTCAGTAAAATCATCAAATTTGGTTTATAGAAAAATAGACAATAAAAATATCAATAAATTATTTCAAAATTTTATGAATTGTTAATTAAATAAAATTTAGCTTACAATTTATTAAAGTATCGTTTATAAATTTTATTTTAAACTAATAAAATATAGTTACCAAAAGGAGCAAATAACCGAAAGGAACTTGAATAAATGTTTAATATTAAAAACGTACAAAGCAGAGGTCAATATGTATTAAAAGATGAGCTATGGGACTATTTCAATTCAACAGATGTTCCCATTTTAAAAATGCAATATCTTGTATGTGATGGTATTAAGGATACAATTACTGTACATTCATACACTTAACAAAGTCAGAGTAATGTTATTGCGCATGCCTCTAGATAAGGAATTAGCTCTAAGCTATTCAATTAACAACACTAATACATGCTCATTGACCTTGATGTTTCCAAGTTACCATCTCCTCCTGGTAAACCTAAATTCGAAACAGGAGGATTAATTCAAATTTATCCTTAAAACGATGACGCTAGCATAAAAAGACTTTGCGAATTTTTAGGACTAAATGAAAATGCTGTCATTAGTTTATCAATCAAAGAATAAAGCTACAACCCATGCAATATCACTGTTTCTGAATTAAAATATCCTATCCCGTTCCCTATAACAGTGAAATAATATATGAAAGAATATCTTGATATTCATGGTAAACTTGACAAAAATTAAGTCTTTGAGTTAGCAAATTTTGCTAGCGATTAAGTTGACAAAGAAACACTAAATAATATCTGCAAATTTAGTGAAAGAGAAAGGTTCGATAAGGAAATATATGAGCAAGAATAACACTCGTTATTATCTCTCATTATTAATTATAACATCAAAGTTCCATTTCATATTCTCTTTGGACTTGGTAATTTAATAAAACCAAGAACTTTCATAATCAGTTCAAGCTTTTTACAAAATCCAAATATAATACAATTAACCGTAAGAATTCATCTACGTAACATTCCTAAACTTAATGACGAAATAACAGAGAATTTTTAGGCATCATCAAATAGATTAAGGAAATCAGAAGTATAGGAAGAGGAAATAGCAAAATCTAGACATAATTCATTAGCTAAAGTATCTAATCCTATGGAAACCAGAAGCCTTGGGTTGATTTCAAATTATTTTTTAGATCTTTATTAAGAAATTCAAAAATAAAAACCATAAGAAGTAAGAATTAAAAGCAGTCCAAACCCTTTTTAATTACCGCTAAACGAAATAAATATTCGTGTTGTACTAATATGTATTGATGAAGGTATAGGATTTTTTAGATCATACTTGTAAGAAATAAGATAAGTAAACAATTGCCATAATCATGAAATATATTTGTATTATGGATCTCGCTTACTTTAAAATAATGAGTATCTTTATCAAAATGAACTCTAAGAATTCGAGAAAGAAGGAATACTAAAAAAATTAGAAGTTGCTCTAACAACATCAAATAACATGGAAATTTCTTCTAGAGATAACAAAAGCGAAAAAATTTAATTAGAAAGTGTTTCTATCAGTAACATATCAACTAAAAATAATACTTCTTCAATTCAACTTCTCCTTGAAAGCTAGTTGGATCAATTTTCTTAACTAATAGAGCACATAGATGAAAAAGAATCAAATGTTAAAATATATATTTCAGGATCTTAGCTAATGAGCCAAGGAATATTAGGAGCAATAGCTAAATCATATTGCTAAAATAAAAAAGTGAGTTAATATGCTGCTTTCAACACAGTTCTAAATCTTGAAAATGATGGAAAAATAGTCAGAATTATATGGGAATCTTGATAAATATTTCTCAATCTCTCTAAAATCCAGCATACTTTTTAAAAATAAAAAAAACAACTCATTGTACCTAAATAAATTTTAATTTTCCTTCAATTCTAAACAATATCTTTAACTCTTCCTTTCAAAATACAACAAAAAAAAAAATAAAAAAATACCAGTAATAAAAATTGCTTACAATAAAAAATAAAATATTTATCTAAATTGACCATAATTATAATTTAGTTCTATTGTTAATATACTACTCACAATTCATTAATATATTTTATATTATTATTCTCAAATTTAATTTAGATAAATTTGTTTAAAAACCTATTAACACAATTTTAAACTGTGAATAAATAATTCGTGTTTCAGCTGTTTGTATTAAAAATTTATATAAAAATTCTTAAGAAAACACCTTGTTAATAATAAATAAATTAAAATTAATAATCAAAATTTATTTTTACAAATAAAACCTGGTGAAAAAAAATAAAATTTTTTTGAATTTACTTTTATAATCATTTAATATATTTTGAATAGTAAAATTTATAAATTAAGATTGAATATAATACTTTTTTTTAATTTTAAACTTAAAATATAATTTTCTAAAATTAAACTAAGTGTTGAAAAATTAATTTAAAAAGTATTTTTTACACAAAAGTAAATTATTTATTATTGATTTTAATTATAAAATAAACACTTTATTAATACAAAAGATAAGATTAATAATTAATTATATAACCATTTATATTTTCAATAAAATTACCATTTAAATTTATTATAAGTCACCTTAATATAATTATTTTGTTTGCACTATTAAATCTGTAAATGAGATTTATTTATTTTTAAAAATTTATTTTGTTTTAATTCATTCTAAATATTTGAACAAAATTATTTAAATTTATTGATTATTCAATGATTTATTTATTTTTATTGGTAAATATTAACTAAAATGTTTTATTTCCAATCCCCAACGATTTGAGTTTTTCCATCTGATAATGTGAAAGTACCCACTCCTTCAGCCATATCGTTCATAAAGTTACATTAAAACTTTGAAGAATTACTGAAATAAAAGGTTCCAAATCCAGTTTTTTCATCTATTTTAAATTCTCCGTCAAACTTTGTCCATTCTTCAGACATTTTATTAAAATCTTAAAAGTCTATTTCTTCTCCATAGCTTATAGGGATAGGCTTTTCATTATAAATAACTCCTCTTCCATCAAATTTATCATCTTTCCATTTACCTTCATACGCTAATTAGCCGGATGGGTAATAAAGTTTTCCATATCCGTTCATTTAACCTCTTTCCCATTCTCCTTCATAGCATGCACCATCAGCATAAACAAATTTGCCTAATCCCCATCTTAATGTTCCCCAATTTTCTCCTTCATAGTATGCACCATCTTCATATTTCTCATATACATACTCTTTTTGAATATTGGTAACACTACTGCATTTTTAAAACTTTTCTTCTTCCTTTTCTAAGTATTTTTTGGCTATTATCTTATTATTTTAAGGTGGAGAATGCTAAGATAGTAAGTTATTTTCTTGTATCTTAGATGAAGAAAGTTTTTCTTTTTTTTATGATTATATATTTGTATTATTTATCAAGTTTTAGCTGGCTTTTATTGGCGTAAAAGAAGTCAATAACACATTTGATGCATCTATTTAATATCCTTATGCACTCTAACAGGTCAATTTTTTAGCACTTATATTAGTCGTTTAGTTGAATTATGATTCTTTTAATTCTTAGACAGTTTCTAAATCAAATTTCTAAGCTCTTTATGAATTCAACTATAAAGAATTTAATTATTGTTTTTATGAAAATGCAACATTCTTTGTTTTTGGGGCATCTTTGTAACTTTAATTTTTAATAAGACTTGTACTTTCAGATTATGCTTCTTGTAATTAGAGTTAATCTAAGGAATTTTTATTAGAATTCTAATTGCTAGATATTTTTATTTCGCAATTATTTAATGTATTTAAAGTTAGCTCTGAGTCTAAGTAAGAATTTAAATGACCATTTAAATTTTAATTTATGCAATTATTTTAGTTTGTGTATTAAGTTTCATTTATATAACTGCTTTGAGTTCTCCTTTTACACCCATTTCTTGTAGAAGATGGAAGAGTACCAGTTGAATAAGTAAATAATTGCATTTAATTGTTGTAAATTTAAGAGTTACTTTTATTGTCGTTAAGCAAGCTACAATCTAAAATAGACTCTGTATTTTAACCTAATTAAATAGGATTTGTTAAAGGTATTTTCTATGCCTATTTTTCTTTGATTTAATCTATCTTTAATAGAGGCAATTTCTAATTTTGATAAAATTATAGTTCATACTCGACTTTTTTAATATTTTCAGATTTTTTTTCTCTTGGGGTTAAATAAGATGAAATACTGTTATTATTAAAAGATGTATTTGAAATATTTTAATTAGGTTTATTAATTTTATATTGCTAATCTAGAAGTCTTAATTCTGATTGGTCTTTCAAGCTCATATTTCTGCTTAATTTTTTTAATTTGACTGAGTTTTCATAAATTTTAGGATCAATTTTAGAAGAATTGTTAATATTTTCTGAATTATATTAGTTCGATAAATAAGTTTAAGTTGAAATCTATGGCGTGCATATTGTCTACTGAGTTCCATTTAGTTTATTTGTTTAATAACTTCTTATTGAGAGTTATGATTCACTTCCATGAAATGATTAATCAAAATTTTCAATATGAACTGATTGTAATCTCTATCCATCTTAATTATTATTGAAATTATTGTTACTATTTTTTTAAGATTAGCTTCTATGGCTTGGTAAGCTATCCTATAATTTCCATCCCTAATCTGTAGGTAAAGGAATATTATTAGTTAATAAATTTCTCTCATTTTTCACTTCTTTTTAGATATTAGAAGGGTCATTAAAATTACTTTACATGTATTAAATAAGTTGCTATCTTTAATTTTGTATAATTTAATTAGTTTGTCTAATAGCATTTTCAAGATTTTTACCAATTTCGTTATTGTTACTTGATATGTAACTTTTAAATTGTGATTTAATCTATGGAATGACTGTGGAAAAATTATTTTAAATAGTTTATTACTGCTGAATTACTGAGTTATTAGAATTGTAGTCAAATTTATCTGTGTCTTTAATTATAAGACTATCAAAATCCCTAGTTTCGTTTTATTAGTTGACCTTTTGAATAATAGAACTTCTCTTTTAAAAATTCTAATCTTCATTCTAGTTAAAAACTAATTTATTTGAACTTGTGGAATGAGAATCGTAATTTGAAAGAGGATATTTTTTCATAGAATCATAACAAAAATTTAGAGTATTGCCTTAATCTAAATTCTAAGATTAAATATATGTCGAATTAGATCTTCTGTGTTAGTAATTTATTAAATTTTTCTTATAATTATTATCTATCATATCATAAACTTCTTTGTTGTAAGTTTAAACTTGTGGAAACTATTTATCAAAGCTTTAATTCTGCTATTTGCTAATATTTTTTTCTGTTTAGTAAGAATCAAAAACAGGTTTTTACTTGATAAGCTCTTAATTATTTAAAATCTGCTTATTTTCTTATAGAATTACTCTGCTACTTCCTATTAAAATATTTTTTTATAAGACTTTAAGCTAAAATAGTATTTATAAAATTACCTTTTGCTCCTGATACGATGGAAGTGTTCAAAGAAGATAAATCATTTCTAGATGTTTTATCTATTTAAAATATAAAAAAATAAACATTAAAATTTATAATAATAGCTTACTTATTAATGATCCTATTGTAGTGTCATTCTCGTCCAGCTTTTATTTGTTTTCTTTATTAATTATATTGTTTAGCACTTTGGAGTTAGAAGCATATACTACTTTATTGCATTAATTTCTTTATGTTTAAGGTGCTATATTATTATTATTATAGCCATTTTATTATTTTTCGGGACAATTTTATAAAAATTATTAATCTTCATCTGCAACATCTAACTTCATTATTTCTTAGGTGTAATTTACTTCTTAAATAGGAGTTATACTTATGATTTCCTCCTTTTTTTCTTAATTTTTCATAATATTTTTATTAAAATTAGATTAAAATTAACATTCATTTTTATAAGTTGCTTCTACTTAGAAGCTAGCTTATTACTATTTTTATTAAATTTATTATAAGCAATCTAGTAGATTTTATCCTGAATTAGTTTTCTAACCATTATTAAAATCTTCTGAATAATTTGCCTATTCAGAGTTTAAAGTGTTAAGTTAAACACTTTTAGTCATATTAAATGAAGAAATAGCTTCTATCTCTTTATTCAATAATTATCTGTTTGTAGATGTATTATATTTCCCAATTCTTTAAAGCATAGCAGCCAGCTCTTTGAAATCAGGTCTTTTAGAGCATTCCAAAATAACCATGTTGCGGATAATATTCACTAAGCTCTCGCTATAAACACAGCTGAATGATACCGTTTGAATTACACTTTTTAATTTTTCTTAATTAAATTAACATTTATTTTGAGTGTTAACTAATCTATACTCAAAAATACCATCAAGAGAAACATTGAGTGAGTATTTTCTTAGAGATTTACTCATCACCTCTAAAATGACACAACCTAAAGTAAATACATCTGCCTTGTAAGGGTCAAGATAAGATTTATATTTATTTTAATTTATGTCTTCTATCATCTCAGGGGATAAGTAAAATCCTCTTATAAGTTAACTATATTTGCTATCTTTGAAGTTTGTTTTATTATAAAAAACATCTTAAAATATTCTTTCATACATGTTTTAAGATCTTACGAGCTCACTTTCAACAATTTTATACCATTTAAATTAAACTAAGCACTCACATATTTATTAAATACTTTATTATTATTATTATCTATGAAGACAATTGCTGCATGGCATAATGAAAATAGATCTACTTGTTAAATTGCTATGCGATTTTCCTTATTGTTAAAGGAATAAAAGGGCGCTTGTCAGCTGTTCAAGTAATTACCATATATCTTGCTCATTTAAAGAATTTTTTTCATCCAAAAAGTAATTTTACAGATTTAAATCAGAGTACTCAAGTGCATACAAAATTCTGAAGTTTTAATTGCAGATAAAGAAATCTAGCTCATCTTTAGCTTTAACAACTCTAACTACACTTATCAAATTAAGATGATAGTTATTAACAAGCTTTTGATTGCTATTTTTACCATTATTTTCCTCTCTTTTTGCTACTATATCGTAATAAGAAAGTGGATCATTTTAATAAACATTTGCAAGATTAGTTTTAGATTCGTTTATTTCCTCTTCATTGTTATAACAATTAAAATTATTGAGTAGATTCTACTAAATGTATCTCATATGTTCTCTACTCTAAACTGCCATCTCTTTAACGCATACTTTTAGTTTACTATTATTTTCCCTCATAATAATACAATCCCCTAGAAAAATATCATCGTCTCTTTCTATTATTGAATATTCTTCATAAAAGTTCTTCTCATCCTCTTCAGTTTTTAAACATTAATTTCTTTTTTGTCCATAAGGATTATGTTTTCTATCATGAAAAATGCTCAAAGATTTTTTGATTGTTTGAGCTGATTGCTACTGTTATGAAGAAATCTGCCCCATGACTTCTTTGAAATAAATCCTTTATTTTTTGTTTATTTATTAATTTCTTTGTTTGCTTATAAGTATGAAGTAAATAAATTATGCCAAATATTCTTAGTTAAATAATAAAGCTTCTTGATCTTTTTATCTATTTTGAATAAAAATTAAGTTTACGTTAAAATATATTTCAAATTCAATTTATAGATATTGCCTTAATAAAGCCTCTTAGTTAAATTATTTTGAAAAGGATTTTTACAATTTAATCGTTAAATCCATAATTTTAGTGGTAAAATTAGATCTATTCAATAACTAATCATTCTGAATCTAAAATATTCATAATTTTTGTTGCAAATTCTATTAATTATATCAATAAAAGTTTTAACTTACATTTTTTCAATTTCTTTAGGTTACACAATAATATCTTTTTAAAATTAAAGCTATTTTTTTCTTCTTTTAAAATTAAAATTAGATTTTAAAATTTATTCTTAAAGTAATTTTTAAAAAAATATCAAAATAATCTTGAAATTTTTATTTATTATATTTTATAGAATTTCTATTTTAACTTTGATTAAACAAAAAAAATTTAGTTTTACAAATTATTTATTTATTGAGTAATATAAACTATTTATTTTCTATATTTTTAATTTTAAAAAAACTTTTAATTTATACTTTTAAAATTATTAAATAATAAATATTTTGTAATATAAAAATTAAAATCTAAAAGAATTATAAAGCTTTAAAGTATATACATTTATTTTAAATGAATGTTGTTTATCTATTTTAAATTAAAAAAATATCTATATTATTAGATTTAAGGCATAATAATAATAATTATATGATTATTATTTATTACAAAAATAAAACACTTATTTATTTTTTGAAAATAAAATTAACAATTATACTTTAAAAATAATTAATTAATTATTTTTTTATATTATATTATCAATCTTTCTTTTTAGAGGGTGAGCTTGTTTCTTTTTATGAAATTGCAGATACTTCTTTTTTTTCTCTAGCAGAGCCCCACTTGGTAGTCAAGAAGAAAACATACAAGAAAACTTGAATAAAAGTTGGAATAAAGTACATGGACTTATAGAAATTTAAGGCTTTAGTCCAATCTAGCAAAACAACACCAATACCCATGTAACAGACAGCTGTATTTCCTAAGAACCAGAAAACAACATATCTTAAAGGTCCCTTAAGCCAGGAGAATTTAGATCTAGCACGGTAGAAGAATTTAGAAACATCATTCATAATAGCCCAGTGTAAAAATGTAAAGTAATAAATGGGATGAACTCCGTGCCAAAGAGCACTAATTACGAAAGTAATTAATAAACTTTTGTTTTGACCAAACTTAGGGAGTACTCTAATAATAATTTTAAAAAATAAAAATAAAAAATAAATAATTTTTGGTAATTAAAATTATTTACTTATCATAAACACAATCTTTCAACCAAACCTAAACAGAAGTATTCCACATTTCTGTTTTCAAACGAGGGTTAGGTTCAATTTCGAATCTGTCACCCATACATTAAATTTTATTGAAATCTTTACCACTATAAGTGATACCAGAAGCGTTCATACCTGCTTATGCTAATTTCCATGCTGTGAAATACTTAAAACTATTTTATACATTTTTTAATAATTTATTATATTTAAAATGTTAAATGTTTGATTTACCGTAAAACTACACCAAGGAGATTAATGCTTAAAACCTAAATAAAGAAATTTCCATTGATAAACCAGTCTTAATCAACAATTTCAATAGAGAAATGTGGATAAATTTTTTGCATACCAATAATATTTGCAATAGCTAATCCTAAATGCTTTAAAACAGCAATTGTTTTTTCCTTAAGAGGAATATTTGCATAGTGATCTCTTAATTGAATAAAGTCGCTGTAGATATTGAAATTGAAAGCTGGACCAATAATAGCAGAGGGGTAAAAGTAAACGTATCCTAAATATTCTAATAAATTGGGGATTTTTGAGATACGACCATCAGCTACGTAGGTAGAAAAATAAATATTCTTGCAAATAATTAACATGAGAGAGGTAGTGCCATCCATTTTCCATCCCATAGGGTCATACTATTATTAAAAAAAGTAAAAAAATTGATTAATTATTTAACCTATTCGATGATAAATATTTACTATAAAACGGTGAATATGGAGTGAAACTAGAACAGTAAAGGTCATTATGAAGACTGGAATAGGTGACTTCTTTTAAAGCATGCTAGTAAGGATATAAGTGCATATGGAAGTAGCTAAAGTTACATACATATTTTCTTTTATACACATGTAGGATAAGAAGAGTCCTGTTAACAAGGAGTACATATTTCTTAAAAAGTGATCTTTTAAAAAACCATGGATGAATCCTAAGGGAATACATGCTAACCATGTAAAAACAACTTTGATCAAATCATCTGCGATACCTACCTCAGCAGAAATCTTTTCGAAAATTGTATCTAAATAAGCAAAGATTAACATTTTTTTTCTCCGCTGCTTAAAAACAATCTATTTGTAAAAGATCTATTTAATTAAATAATATTATTGATTATTATCAAAAACAGATATTTTTTAAAGAGAGTTTTAATTAAATTTTAACAAGAGAAATTTCATCAAAACATTATAATAACAATTTCATTCATTCTATCCTTACTAGAAATCAGAAAATTTTGCAAAAACATAGTTTGTTTGTTTGTGTATTTATAAACAATTAAGGAGTATTTTTTTTATAGAAAGAATATTATTTATAATAAATAGAATTTATTATTTTTAAGAATTTTTATATTTAAAATTCAGCTCTCTTTTTTCTTATTTAAAAAGGGTAAGTGATAGTGAAATTATTTCTTGCTTTTTATTTTTATGGTTTGTATGAACAAGATATTTTAAATAAGGTTTTTGTAAATTAAATAAGGTCAAAATTCACTAATCTTAGATAAATTATTGTTAGTGGATGATTTATTTATTATATTTTGATAAATCCCAAAGATCTTTTACTTGTTTATTTTTTCCTATTTTTTATCAGACAATTTAAACAATCTCAATTTTCTTCACAAAAACTTTTTTAAAATTGTTATCCTTATTCAAATAAATGACGCATTGAAAAGCTTATCTTGTTATGAATGACATCATTTAAAAAAACCTAGTAGTAATTATTGAATATTAAAGTTAGCTTAATTTTTGAACTTATTTATATGTTTAGCCCTGCTATGCATGTTTCTATTTATTTTTACTTTTTTGTCTTAAGCAAAAATGAATATTAAAAATTAAATAATTTTTGGTTTTCAAAAGGATATTCAATTTTTTAATTGTTGTAATAACGATAAATGAAAATGATTCTAATAAGTATCTATGAAAAAGAAGAAGATCAGTACATTATAAAATTCTATGCCCTAAAGTAAGGCGTTTGCATTAAATAAATTAGCTAGGTTGTATTTTTTAAGTTTTTTTTTACTTAAACAAATATTCCTTATTAAAATATGTAAAGACTCGAATAATTGCACATTAGAATGACAAAGAATATCTGTAAATGATCTATAATTTCAATAATTAATTTTTTTTTATATAATTTATTTGCTTAATCAAGTATAAATAAATTGTCAACGAACAAAAAAAAGTGTAACAAAATAATAGACTGATAAATAGAGGATATAAGTTATTCAAGAAAGATTAATATGTTTACACTTTATACAAAAATAATTAATATTGGATTTAATTTATATAAGTATATATTATATATCTATATTAATTTGGATTTATTGATATTTTTTAAGTTTTATATGGTATTTAATAAAAATGATAACTTACTCTTCAAGGACTTACTTCATGAAGAATAACTATCTATTTATTTATTTATCTATCTATTAATATATTTATTTATCGATCTATCTATCTATCTATTTTATTTATTTTTGCTTTATATTTTTAGCTTGTACGAATGAACGAAGGATTTTTTAGTATTAAAAATATTCAGCTTAACTAATTTTTATATTAATAAGCTGACAAAATTTATTAAACGAAAATATTGTAAACACAATTATGTGAGATGCAATAAATAAAAGAAAAAAGCAAAGCAGCTCCGAAGATTTACAGATTTCAAATCTTAGCAACCAATTTATTATCATTCCACATTCCAGAGAAGGTTTGACCTGTTCTAGAAATGAAAATACCTTTACCATTCATTTTATCATTTCTCCAGTCTCCTTTGTAAGAGTCGCCTGTGGCCCATTTATAGTATCCCTTTCCGTGCTTTTTATCTTTTAGCCATTCTCCCTTATAATAGTCTCCGTTGCTATTTTTATTATAATTATTTTTTTCAATAATGAATTATAATTTTTATGATAAGCTTACCCATATTGCATTTAGCCTTGACCTTTTATCTGTCCCATACTCCATTATCCTTCATACAAAGAACCATCAGAAAAAGAAAAGACACCATATCCACTTTTTTTGTCAAACTTCCACTCTCCTTCATATTTATCACCATTACTAATTTATTAAAACAAAAATAATTAAAACTACTTAATTTAAACTTTTCTTACATATAAGTGTAAACTCCTCTTCCATGTCTTTACCCACTTTTAATTTCACCTTCATACCTAAATATTTTATTTGATTTAATCTATTTTTAATAAAATCTAAATTCTTACACATCATTGTTAGCATAAAGGAATTAACCATATCCTTATGGCTCATCTACTTTAAAAGTTCCTTAATACTTGGAATTTGCCATTTTGTGGATGTATATTCCTTCTCCTTCTTTGATACCACATGTGAAATTTCCTTCATAAATATCACCATTTTGGTATAACATTTTGCCATAACCATTAGGTTAGTTTGCTTTCCACTCTCCTTCAAACTTAGATCCATCAACAAATTATACTTCTCCTTTTCCATTTTTTTCACCAAAATACCATTATCCAATAAATCTTTTAATTAAATACAGATATTAAATAAGTATATTAATTGTCTAATTAGTTACATATCTCCATTTGAAAAAACATATGTGCCATGACCATGACGTTAACCATTTTAAAATTCACCTTCGTATCTTTCTCCGATGTTATTAAAGTAAAAATGTCCATACCCATTCTTCATGTCATCGTACCAGTCGCCTTCATATTAGTTTCCATTAGAGTAGAAATAAGTACCTTTACCACTTTTCTAACCCTCTTGGAGTTGCCCTTCATAACGCTCCCCAGAAGAGAACAAATAAACACCATTTCCATCAAATAAATTATTTTTCCAATCCCCAGCATAAACTTCCCCGAACTAAGATAAAGGAATAAGCTAGGTGTATATTTTATTACCGTCAAAATTTTTATAATAATATATACCTTTTCCTTATCTGACTTCTTATCCCAATTCATTAAATCCTATTTCTCCAATATAGACAGATCCATCTTGGTATTCTTTACGCACTACGTCAGTCTTTAAATTTAAATTATCATCTATTATCAAGCTTTTTTCTAATTCCTACAACATCTTCTCAAAGAATTCCTAGTTGTAAAGTTCTTAATTATACATTTTACTCTTGCTTTAGTTATTATAAGGAGATTAACGACTATAATTAGACTAATTATCAGTACGAAATCCATGACCATATTGGCTTTGGTAGATATTGCTGCCTGCTTAATTAGGATGAACAGAAACATTATTTATTCTACGTTGATAAGGACTATGACTTACAGGACTGTAACTGAATCTTTACTGACTTCCAGGAGTTAATTGATTGCTCGTTTTTTTCTGATGATTTAATCTACCAGGTGTGAAATAAGAAATTTGAGAACCGTTTCCATATTTACTGGCACCATTATAATTACTGATATTCTAGTTATGGGATACGCTTCTATCATGTCTACGATAAGGTAAATGATTATTTTCGCCATTTAAATTTCTTTTTGTAGAGAAAATTTCCTATCTAATTTCTTGAGCACGCTCTATTAAAGGCTTTTTCTCTAAATGATTTAACTAACTTTGAAGCTAAGGGCTAATTACTTTACTATTACTTCCGTTACCCTAATTAGAATAATTTGTTCCCCAATTACGGTCGTCAGCAGCTATATACATATATTTTTGTTATAATTGATGCATAAAATCGATATAAATTTACTTTTATAAAAGTTAATATGCTATAGTCTAAAAGAAATCATCTAGAATGTTGGACGCTTATGATTGTCATTATCTATCATCTAGTTAATTAAGTAATAAAACTCATGTGAATAATTATTCTTAACGAAGCTAAGCAATTTTGTTATAAATGCAGGATCTCTTAAGTTTTGTTTCATATTCATATCTAATGATTCATCTTTAAAATTAGCTAAAAATAAAACCATCTATCCAAAAGCGTATACATCAATCTTTTATGGGTCTAACCCTGTTGATGATCTAACTTTGCTATCTAATTTTTCTCTTATTTCTGGAGCCAAAAAGTAACTATTAAAATAAATAATAAATAAATAAATAAAATGTATTTCAAAAAACATTGTTTTTTATTTATTTATTCAAAAATAGAGCTTCTTTAAACAATATCTGATTGATAAATGCAATATGAATCTTAATGCTGATTATTTAAAATTATCTCTCTCTATTTGATCATTATTTTTTATCAAAAATATAAATAAAAGATTAATCTATTTTTAGTTAATTTCTATATTTGTTCATTTGATATTTTTTTCTTTCTTCATTTTTATCAGTAGAAGCTTAAAGAATTTGCTTTGCTAAATGCTAAATGCAATTTTCTTAAGTTTTAAATATCCTCTATTTTCAGAGCTTTAACTTTTATAAGTAATTAACCTATTTTATTCTAAGCATTTGCATTATTTAATTTGGTATATCACTCTATTAATCATGGTTAAAAAAGTTTTAATTGATAAATAATTGAATTACTTGCTTTAATTTTATTGAAAATCCATAACCTGTCTGAAAGCTGAGGTTGTATATTAAGAATATATTAATTTAAAATGATGTAATCCATCAGTCTCGCTTTTATAGCATATTATATTCTATAAAGAGACATCTGTATGAGCTTGTCCTATCAGTTCTAAAGTTGCGAAACTCTAAGTCATAGAAACAGACAATCGCTTTAATAATTCTTCAACTTTTTCTTCTCCTGAACGGGAAATGGTTGGCCAAAGTTATTCAATTGTATCTTTAAAATACTCGAAAACTAAGTATATCAAATTTTAATCTACACTTTAGTTTAATTTACGACCTGAAGAATTTAGTTCTGTAATACGATCCTCAGGAGGAACTTCAGTAAAGCCTAAAAACTAAAGGAAGTAAGGACACTAATTAAGTCTAATATTGATATCTTGAATAGTGGTTAAAAGTTCTTCAGTCTCTTGTAAAGAGTTGGTTTCCTAAGGCTTAATTAAGACTAATTGCCCAGTTTCTACATTTTTCATTACTTTATAATCTCCAAATGCTATACTTGTGCCATTCTCGATAAACTCGAAGTGGGTCTTGAATTTATCATAATCCACTTAGTATGGTCTTAATTATTCTATTTCCATATCTTGACAATAACCTATGTCTTATTAATATAAAAATTGGCTTCAGAATGTTTTTTTATCGCAGAAGGCTTACACTATTTTTATTCTCTTTGTAAAAGTTACTAGAGTGTTATTTTTTTATTTAATTTTATTGCTATCTTCTCTTGCCTAATATATTAATCTAAATCCACACAAAAAGATGTTTCAGATGCAAAAAATAAATTATATTTAATAAGCTATATTTTTCTTTTTATTTGAAAACTCTGCATACAAATATAAATACATACATGCCTACGAGCATTTATATGTGCATATATAATATTAAATGCTAGCTTGAATTTTCAATTTGATCTCTAAAATTTAAGTCATCATTTTTAAAAAAATAAATCAATCATTTTATTTGTTAGATATTTTTTCAAATATTTTCAAATAAAATCTCTAACTATCGGTAAAAAAAACATATACCTTTCATTTTGTTAATTATTCCTATAACTTCATAGATAAATTACATACTCATTATCAAAAGCAAATAAATTTATAATTTTTTACTGACTTTTTAATTTAAGATATTGCACTGGACATGCATTTTTTAATTTTTAAATTTCAAAATCAAATTTCAAAGCTAATCAGTAATCTGCAAAAACATCTATGAAGTGATAAGAAGATTATTGAATATAGACATCTCCATTTTAATTTAATTATCATAACCACAAAAATGAAGATAAAAATTTTAATAAACTTTAGTAAAAAAGAAAAGAGTTAAAATTATCTACATTAGATGAAATCTTAATTAATTAATTATATTTTGTAGGAATTTTATATTACCATTTTGGTTTATTTGATAAATAATTTTAACTCTGCATAGAACTTTCAAACATTAAATAACAATTAAAGAGAGAGTTACTATTACAGTCATAAGATAAAAATATTTCTACTTTCTGTTTTATATTTTTAAGAATATAAAACATATCATCTAAAACTACAAAAATTTAATTTAAAAATGACAATTCAAATACATAAAGCTCACTTAGAATTTTCTAAAATTGATAAAATGATAGAGTAGTATATTTATTTATTAATTGAAAATTTCAAGATTATTTATGGTTATTTTGTAAATCTATTCTCAAGGAAGAAAAATCGAATGTTAAATTTTAGTTTGTGTTTGGTTATTTTAAGTTTAACTTCCTTTTTTTCTATACGTTTTGATTAAAGTTTTATGTTATAGTGGGTGATTTGTTGTGAGTGTTATCTATAGAAGGTAAAAGCTGTATACTACCATCTTTAATCATAAAGTTTTTTTAATTTTATGAATTATTTTAATTTGTAGCAGGTAAAATTGATTTTGAGTGATTATTCCTCCTAAGTCTAACCATTTCTAATTTTATTAAAAATTATATTAAAATAGGAATGATTAATAATTTACCTGATTTTTCATTATTATTTATAGTTGATTATGACCTTTGTTAATTTTATGTCTATTTTTATTCTTTCATTGGAGCTTAACATAAAATTATTTTAATTTTCTATCAAAAAAAAAAAAAATTAATACTTTTATTTTATTGGGGAAAGAATATGGTCTGACGACCTTCGTTTTCTTCATTAAAATATCTTATAAATGACTCTTGTTTTTTACTCTTTTAATCTCCTTCCGTCTTAATAGCAGAACTATTTTATTTTATAAATAATGATAAACAAAAATTTCATTTATTACAATAATAAAATATTTATTACTTCTTTAAAGTTTAATAATAACTCCTAGAATTAGCCATAACTAAAGGGGAGTTACTTTTATTAGGATTTTAATTATTACTATTTAAGTTTACTGGAGTTTTAGAATAATTCCTATTTTGTGCATTTTCTCTTATAAATTCAGAATCTAGAATAACATTTATACCTCCAGAAATATTTTATTACATAATGTGTTATTTTAAATCTGTGTTTCCTTATTACAACATTTTTTAATTTAAAAACCCTGAATTATTCATCATTTATAGCTGTTGGCTAAAAAAATACACATTAATTATCTAAAACCCATTAAAATAACTTTACATATGTTGCTGCATATCTGATTTTTATCTATCTAATTAGGTGACCTCATTCGCTTGATTTTGAAGTTAATTATTTTAACCACTTTGATTTTAATTAAAAGAAGAAATGGTCTCTTACCATGTTTAGAAATCCTTTTTTTATTATTCTGCCTTCATTTTATCAAGCCTCTACTTTTTTTTACTTCCTTCATTCCACAATCTATTAAAAACACCTCTTTCAAATTGTGTCATTTAGATGATTGGTGATTGTGTATTTTAGATAAATGAATTGCTGTGATTAAGATTTTATTTTGGTGAATTAATTTTCACTTAATGATTTAAACTGCTTTTTTCAATAGTTCTGTGTTGTATTTTTTTTAATGCCAAATAATGTGTATCATCATCTTCATCATGACTCTAGCTGCCACTCCTTTGCAAATTTTAAGATGTTTATCTTATCATTTTGAATTATTCAGATTCCAAATCTATAATTTTTTTATTTTATTTTTTTTAGCTAGAAGTTTAGAGTATCTCTATTGTATTGCTTTCATTTAACTTTTCTGCAATTTAATTTTGGATTTTTTACTTTTAAATATTCTCAAGCTTTTTTTGGTTTTTAAAACAAAAAATAACTAAATAAATAATTGATAAATAAATTTCTTTTAAATAAATCTAACCTGAAGTTGCGTAAATTATTAATTCGAAACTTATAACTCATTGAATTCTCTATTCAAAGACATTATTTCTTTTTCAAGTTTATCTAAGGACTAATTAATACCCTTAACATCAGTTTACACATCTATTTCCTTTATTTATTTCAATGAATTACTTAAGTATCCTTTGTTTTATTTAACCAAGCTAGACATAGCTTAAGCTGCACTGTCTATTTAATATTATATCAGAACCTAATCGTCTTCTGCAGAATAACGAATATCTTTTAAAAATTACTTTACTCTTCCTTTTGTTTCTTCACTTTAGAAGGATGCTTCATTGATCTAAAGATTATATTCATACTTCACCACTTTGCAGATTTCCTTGAAGGCTAGCTTTAAAAGTGATACTTTCCCATCTAATATGATTTTTTATTGTAAAATTTTAAACCTATCTGAAGCAATTTGCTTATTTTGTTCATATAAATATTAAATTTTTTTTTAAAGAACTTAAATTATTTCATTTTGTTCCATAATTTAAAGTTCTTTCTTTTCTAGCTCTTATTCATAACTCCACTCATATCTAAAAATGGTATTCTATTAAGTAGTATTTACTTACTATTCTTCGTTTGCATCCTATATTTTTTATTTGTTAAACATTTTTTATTTTTATTAAATATAAAATTTACTTTGATATTTTCATAAACCTCTTCAATTGAACTTGGAATATTTCTCTTGAGCTTATTTTAAAAATTTAAAAGATTCACTAGCTTTTCTTTAGATATTTGTTTATTCATCAAAATCTAAACACAAAATCTCCATTTTTAGAATGCTAATTTTCTTTCAAGAGCTTACAATCTCCTTGCAGAAGTATCATCAAATTTAAATTATTCATACAACTGCATCCTCTTTTGGTCAAACTCTTCAAATACTGATTTTTATTCAAAAATTGCAATTAATTTATCAGAAAATTTAATTAAATTTTACATCTTTGCTCAATTTATTATGTTATGGCTTCTTCTTTTCTTCTTAAAGCATCTGTAATACATTTTTCTATGCTTTAATCTACCTCCAAGCATTTTTATAAACTTTCCGATATATTATTTTCTGCTGCTTGTACCATAGCCTTGTAGTTTTAGCTCAGCTCATCATATTATTTTTAAAGAATATTTTAAAATAAAATAAACTATCTCTTTGAAGCTTTTGTCTTTGATAAGAACGCATCTATTTCAGTATATTTAATACCATATTGAGGTTTTTAGTTCTCGATTAAGTTGAATAAAAAATCAAGACCTTTTATATCTTAAATAGCTTTCCATAATAGATAATCGTTTGGCTATTATTAAAATGCTGTTTTTAAGTGTTATTAATAGTTATTTTATTCTAAAAATGTATTTAAACATTTTGTAAGCTTATCTAACTCGTTAGTAGCTGTTTTATATTTTATGTAAATTTCCTATAATTTCTTTTAACATTGTCTTTTCATATCATCAATCTTGTCATTAAGTAAAATTCTTAATTTTTCATCAAGTATTTAAGTAGAATCAAAATATTTAACTTCAAAAAAGTCCTCGCTATTTAATTTAAAATGACCCAAAGCTAAATCTTTGAAATGATTGACATCCCTAATATATCCAGTAGTAACATCGAGGAGTTATTGATGCATATCATAAAGTTTTTTGTTGGCAAAACTGAGCTCTTTCTACAGATTTTTAATTTAAGTAGCTTAACTCTCATCAAAAAGAGTAACTTTTTACTTTACAATATAAATCTTTTCATTGCTTTTATTTTCATTTGCTTAATTTTTTTAATTTAGTTAGGAGATCTATGAGTTATTTAGCTATGATTTGATGCTTAATTGAGTAGCATCTGGTTAAAATGAAAAGGATTCATCATTAATCAGAATAGATGATCGTCTAGAAGTTGACTCAGAATAAAATCCTTCTTCAGGCTATTAGTTTTCATTTTTAATTAACTATCTTTGCTGCTGTTACACTTCATTTACATTTGTAGATTAATCATTTTTGAATTTATCAGTACCATAAAGAGTTTGATTTTAGCTTTGCTGTTAATTAACATAATCTAAAACCTTTTTTGACTTTAAAAATTCTTTCAAATCTATAGTTGCTGCTTCATAAGCGCATTTTATCAAATTATTTTCCTCATTCTATTATTTTTATTCTTCTAATTGTTTTGATTACTGCTATTACTACATCATTTTGACATTTTTGAAAAGATATTTCCAAATCTATCCAACGAATTTGAAGCTTTGTATCTCAAGAGATTTGCTCACGTTCTATTTTATTTATACAAAAAATAATTTTTAAATGAGATCAAATATATTTTTAAGTTTCTTTAATATTTTACTTTGATGGATTCATTTATAAAAACTTTGTATTTATCATCAAATCTTTTTGAGAATTAACCAAGATGTTTTAGTATTTCTATGTTTTGCTTTTGAAGAATATCAGATATTTCAAGGAGATTAAGCTATATAAGGTCATTTACTTCAGTTTCATCATCTCCCATTATCAGTTTTTTAAATGAAAAAGCTTAATATTATTCAAAACAAACGAATACACTTACAAAATAATTTGTTTAGACTTGTGGTTTATATTTACTTTACTGAATTATGTTTGATTAAAATTGCTTGAAAAATACATAGAAAAAAGAAATGCTTGGAAGTTAAATATTAACCATATATTTATTTATTTGGTCTACATAATCATTATTTAAAAAAATTCCAAAATATAAACAGTTAAGGATAATTAAATAAGAAATAATCTAAATGTATTTAATAAAAACTTGGTGGCTTCAGATTTATAGCTTAGTTCAAAAACTTAAATAAGACATAAACTTTTGATATTTTTAGTAAAAATATTTTAAAAAGATAAAGATTAAAAAAATAATCAAATTAAATTTAGATTTAAATTATTGATTTTTTCCAATTAAAGAATCTTTAAAATTTTTAAATTTTTATAGTAATACACATTAAGAAGTGAGTAAGCACTTACAAAAATTTCAAAACTTTGTTAATAAATATCTAATAATATAGTTTTTTTAAAAGTAAATTCAGAATTTTCAGTTTTTAATATATTTATTTGAAGATATGTAGCTATTAGTTTATGGAAAACTATTTATTTAACCATCCTCACTGATTTCTGGATTTGCAATTCCAAGAACACAGGAAGACGAAGAGAGAAATGCATGTAATTGATTTGGATCATCAATGATTCTTTTCTAAAGCTCAGTAGACTTATCCGCTAAGTACTTTTAGTTTACTTTCCCATTCGTATTAAACTATATTTTATTCTTAGAATTGTAAATTAGCTATTTAAATTTATCTTCATCCAAATTTTCTAGACATGGAGATGGAATAGTATTCTCAAGTAAAGCATCTAATTAATTTTATTCAGAGTATTTCGACTAAAAATTAGTCTATTTATTATTTACTCCAGTCTCATTTAATCCTTCATGATTATTTAAATGACAAAAGCCATTATTTTCTATTATTTTTAATAATTTTTTATCAATCTAGTTGATTTCTAATTTCTTTTTTAAATGTGTGACAGCAACTTTGACATCTTCAATCTTTTATTATTCTTAAATTTATTCTTGTTAGTTTAACAGGATTGGGCTTTACTGAATAATTGATTTCTAAATAATGGAAAGATTAATACTCTTTTGATTTAATAATTAAGACATATCTAATGTTGGCTTTGGTAAATATTCCAATATTTTTACCTAATCGCTATCAAGTAAAATCTATTTTATTTTTTCAAATTCAATTTATTTTTTTATAATTTCTCCTAAATCTAGATGTTAATAGAAGATTTTAGTTGTTTATTCCACAAATTGTTTCACTCTTTAAATTTCACCCCATGGGTACAGATAATATTTAATATATTAGCTCCATGTAAGTTAAAATTTTTGAAATTAATTTTATTCATATTATGTATTTGTATTGTTATGGTTTATTATTTTATTTAAGCCTGTAGCATTCTTATTTTTGTTACTCGCATCTTAATTTATTTGAAATTGGTTTAAATCAATAATACGTTAAGGTGAAATTTATTACGAGCTTTACTTTTAGTCTTAATTCACAGAAATATTAATTGTAAGAGGACTTTTTTATGGATTTAATTAAGATGAATTTTTAAAGAATTTCAAAGGTTACTTTTTTAAATTTTATTATCCTTTTAAATTATTATCCTCTTTTTTTGACTTTTATATTTTTACTTTACTATTACATTAAATTAGTTTTCCAAGTTTTGTTTCATTCTATTCATTTTTTTCTGAACATTTCTAGAAAATGAATAAATCATTGATTATGTTTTGCTTTAACAATATTTAATTGATTGGGTGAATAAAAAAAAATCCAATCATAATTAAAGCTTTTGCTATTCCTCCTATTTCTGCAAGTAATCTATCTATTTTTTTGTATTTTCTCACGTAATTTGTTTATTTTTACTTTTCGAATCTTAATTAGACCGAAAAAAAATAGTTTTGTTCCTCAAAAATAATCTTTTTTAAAAAAAATACTTAAATATATTATAAAAACTCTTAAATATAAATTTATTTGGAAAATTTCAATAAAATTGCCTTGCTTTTATTAAATATATTCTTAGATAATCTATTAATTATTTTAAATATAATTGAATGTTATTACTGATTCTTAAAAATAGCTATATTAGGTTGATTTTAGAGTTCCTATATCTGTAAATAAGGCACCTTCATCACTCTACATAACTATATTTCTAAAATATATATCAATGTCTCTTGAAACTCGAGGTGAGTTATTCCAAAATATATCTTTTCCTACATGCTGAAAAGGATTTAAATCTCCAGGATTAACTATAACATCAGACATATACATTGCAACATAAGAGGAAGTGAGAATTTTAATAATTTCATCATATTTTCTGCAGTAAGATTTACCAACACATGGTCTAAATTCTATTCTAATTAAAGCGTAAGTGTCTTAATCAAAGTTTCCTTGTATGAATACATCTTAATTTTCATCGGCTAAGCAATACATTTAGTCGATGTTAGGCAAATTATTAAAATACTAGCTCGTGCTATTTAATTAAAAATTTTCTTTTTTGCATGGTTTCATAGGAATTTCTTAATAATTCCAAACTTACTCAAATTATCCAGTTATATTGCTTTTTACTTTAGACATAGTTATTTGTTGAGCAAATACTTCATAGATAGATTCATCTATGAAGTGGCTACAATTTTTTGGGTACTAGACCCCGATAGAAAAGTTGTAAGTGTCTTTCTTCATATCAAATTATTCTGGATTAGGTTAGTACTATTCTGACTAAATTACCTCAGGATTTTTCTTAAATATAATATCTTAAGAAGAAAAATAAAGCTAGACTAATATAAAAATGGCTATAAAAATAGATGCTAAAGCTCCTAAATTTGATTAAAATACTTAACTTTAGTTATACCTTAAGTTAAATCCTATCCCATATATATCCAAATTCCTAAAATTGTTTTTAAGACTTTACGCAAGAGAACTCATTATGTATTTATGTAAGTAAGACTTTATTTTATCTATAAAAATAATACTGATTTTATATATTTTTTTATTTATTTTTTTTTTATCAAAAAAGTTAATTGATTAATGGTTATATTAAATTTTTTAATTTTCAACCTCAAAATAAGAGCAAAATTTCTTGATTATTTGCTCAAAGATTATTTTAGGAGAAATCACTTATAGATTAAGAATATACACAATTGACCTATTATTTTTTATTACCTTAGAATTTTTAAATTAAAATAAATTTCTTATCAATTTAAATAACTATAAATATTTATCATGATCTTTATTTAAAAGTATTTTTTTTTAATTTCATGTCACTTTAAAAATGAAATAAATAAATTACACTTTAGTATATAATAAATTAATTAATATAATTAATTGTTCTATAACATTTTTATATATTAGAAAATTGAATTAGTAGCTTATGATAAATTTTTCAATCCCTCAAAAAAATAAGCTTTTTAAGTTAAAAGAAAATTGATTAAAACTTTATAATTTGAGTTGATTGCTTCAACTTATATTTATTATCCTAAGTAAGATGGTTTTTATAGATTTTTTTAGAAAATTTATTTTTAATCAAAATTATTAGCTAGAATAGTTATTATCTACTTTTTTAAATTGTGGTAATTTATTAACTTATCCATCAAGATTAACTTATTTCAAACAGCTACTAGGAGAGTTATCAAGCTATAAAGAAATAGATAATTCAGATGAAGATTTATTTGTTTACTAAATTTTATTTAATTAACATTATTTAGGATTTTCTTTGTAAATATTTGATATATTTGAAAAGTTTTGTAATTCGTTTTTATCTAATGAACTTTCTTTTAATTATTGTTGTGATGGATGACTTTTTTATGGAAAACTTTAATAAATAGTGTTTATACAAGGTTGAACTGTAATATTTTCACTATTTACATCATCACCACAACTCTCGTCAATGTAATAGCTAGTTTCTATTTTTTTAAAAATCCTAGATTTGCGATCAAAATTGTATTTTCTGTTGTATTTTGGGGTTGCCTAGATGAATTATTATATTTAAAACACTTTTTATTTGTTTAGCATATTTATAAGTTTATAATCAATTTATGAAAGATTTTCTTTGTTTACAATATTATTTAAAGCTTTTTCAACCTCATTTTTTATCTATTACTCAGACTGTTGTTTTTTATAATATATAGAGTTATTTTCAAGTGAAACTGCTGAAGAGTACTTTGGGTCTATGTTATTGTCTTTGTTTTCATCCAAGTTGATAATTGGCTTAGGTAGAAACTATAACAATTTTATTTGATCTTCATCAAATAATAATTGTTTAATTTTTTCAAATTCTAATTAAAACCTAACAAGTTAAATAATATCAAGATGGTGGTGAACTTAGGAAACTGTTTTTTCTATTGATTTTTTTAGTTTTTTGAATCCTCCCCAAGGCCACAGATAGTACCTTATATACTAATACCAGCTCAGCTAAATATTAACTTCGTCTTATTAATCATTTAAATTGTCTGGGTCATTTTAAGCCCCAAGACTTAGCTAATTATTCAATATTTTAACTTTTTTTGTCTATACTTACTAGTTTTCTTATTGATTAGAAAGGGTTTTACAATTTGGTGGGGCTGAATCTTTTTGATTTGAATTGTTTGAATGAAAAGCATCTTAATTTATTTATTTTTGCAAATTTTAAATTTTATTGTTGCAATCTTAAGCATTATTATCCTTATCTATTTTTATTTTAGCGTCATTGTATAGGTATTGCATTTACTTTTTTGAATCAGAATTTTAATCTTGAGTTTTCTGCTATTTTTTTTTCTTTAGCTTCAAATCTCTCTTTTACTAAAAATTAAATAAATCGTTCATCAGCTTTTCGTTTAGCATGAGCCTATTCAAAGGAATACATATCACCCAGCCTACCATTACAAGTGCCTTAGCTATGCCTCCAATTTCAGCAAGAAGTCTATCAATCTTCTTATAGTTTCTCTGGATTAGTGTCTACTTTTATTTTTCATTTCTCAACTAAAGGGTAAAGAAGTATGAGCTTTCATCAAAAATAATCTGTTAAAATAAAAGAAATTTTTTGTGAATTTAAATAAATTACAAATATATTTTTTTGAGATCAAATAAGCAGATTTTAAAATAAACTAAATTGAAATGAGCTAATAAATTTGTTATTACCTGCTCTTATTGATAGCTAAAAGTTGTAGTACTTTATTAATTGACTTCTGAAAAAAAAAATCCTTCATTATTTTAAATGTATATATTCCTATAAAAAATGTAGGCGTCTTTGGCCACCGTAGGAGAGATGTTCCAAAATAAATCACGTCCTATTGTTTAAAAGGCATCATATTATTTTGAATCTATGATTACATCAGTTGAGTAAAAGGCAACGAATGAATGAGTTAAAATTTTATCTATTTCATCTTCTTATCTACAATATGCCTTATTAGAGCATTTTTAAAATGTAATTGTAACTATCCCTGACTCATTTTGATCATAATTACCTTAAATAAATAAATCTTATTGTGCGTTATCCAAACAATACATTCTATTTACACCAGGTAATTTCTAAAAATAGTCTTGTGTTTCTTCAATTCCAAAGCTAGAATGAGTACAAGGCTTCATAGGAATGTCAATAAAAATGTATTTTTATTCATATAATTATGTAGAATTATTGAATACTCTTTGCATTATCTGTTGTTTTGCTATGACTTCATACACACTCTCATCTATATAATGAGAATAGTTTCCGCTGTGTTATACTCCAATACAAAAATTGAATGTGTCATATTTCATATCAAATCTTTCTGGATTAGGATTGTATTACTCAGATTATATGACTTCAGGATTTTTCTTGTCAATCACCTCTTTGATGCTGAAAATAAATTGCACTCCAATTAGGAATGCAACTATGAGGGTAATTACACCACCAAATTTTGTTTAGAAGTACTAATCTTCATTATATCTCAAACTCAGTCCAACTCCATAAAAATCAAGTTTAGAAAATATATTAATCATTCTTCTACCTGCCGCTGCCTTTAATTAATATTTTTGGTAATTGCTTTCTCTTTTAATAGTAATATAAGGTTGAAAATTAATTAAATTTTTTATAAAATTAATTCATTATCATTTTATTAAATGCTTATTAGGTGTAACTAACTTGATTTACCTGCTTTCATCAAATAATTATGGAAATAATTAATTTTGTTACTTTTAAACTTGATAATAATTAATGAAAGATCAAATTAAAATTAGCATGAATTAAATTTAAATAGCTTTTTTATCTCAAATTTTTTAAGTATTTAGTATTTTCAAAAATTATCTACTCATGAATAATAATTCAATCTTCACACCACCAAAACATTTATATCAAAGAAAAATTTTCTATAAAAATTATTTAAAAAATATAAACGACTTAGACTTAAATTGAGACAAATGTAAATATAAATTTATTTTTAACATCTTAAATTATAATTTACTGTAATTAATTTATTTTTTAAAAAGTATAATAAATAATTTTTATTTTCCAATTTATACATTAAAGTCTGTAAGTGAGATTTCTAAACTGAAATCTAGGTGGCCTTAATATATGAACCTTTATCGTATATTATTAAATATAAATAGAAAAAAATCATCCTAAATTTTAGTGATCATATATTTGTTACTTTGCTTTAGCAAATAGCTAAAAATAGAAAAGCGTCTACCATATTGAATTAAAGAAAATATATCATATTTTTAGTTTGGGTTTCATTTACTTTTCTTCATTACTTACATTTTTATTTGAGGTAAACTTGTAAACTCTTATGATTTTCTTCCCTCGCTTGGCATTTATTTATCAAAAGAAGTATCTAGAGACTTACTTAAATAACTTTGAAAATCTTTTTATTCATTTTAAATTTTTTAGACTTAAGAGTCATTACTATCTAGTTTATTAATATTTTAATTACTTAATGTCTAGGTGTTATCTTAATCTATCTATTTGATTAATTTCATTTCTTATGTATTCTATTACTGTTTAAACCATTCTTAATTACCACAAATATTTTAAAAAATTGAATCATCAAGCATTTCTATGATTTTCTTATCAACCTCAGATAAATATTGTTGCTTTATTATATTTTAAAGTGACTGAAGAGCTTCTTAAGCTCTTTAATCTTCATCTATTTGAAGGTCATTTAGTAAATTTACTTTTTATTTCTTTTATTTAAGTTTTTGAGATTGACGTATTTTCTTTTCCTACATTTTTTCTTATTTTATTTCTTCTACATCAATAAGAGGTTTTGGGAAGAATTAAATGAGCTTCCTTTAATCATCATTCAGCAATATTTATTTAACTTTTTCAAACTCTAATAATTTCTTAACTATATAAATTATATCCAGATGCTAGTAAATCTTTTCTACAGAGTAATCAATTTACTTTTTCTTTTTAGCAAAACTTCCAAATGGCCAAAGATAATACCTAATATAATCAGACCATTTTAGTTATAATTTTTCATCATTTTATTTTTAAGAATTGTCTAAAGTAAATAATTCTTTAAATTCCTCATCTATTTTATGTGTTTCAATATTCTTTAAGCTAAATTAATCCTTACTTATTTAAAGGTCTTTTTCATTTTAAAATCTCTTTTAATTATTTTGAGTTAAATTTAGATTTACTTTATTAGTTTATTTAGAAATTTTAAACAAATTAAAATCGCTTACATCTTGAAATTGACTTTTATTATGTTACAAATGACTATTATCTAAAGGTTCTACTTTAAATTATCTTCCACTTATTATATTAGATTTTATGTTTTACTGATTAATTGGCTTAAAATGTATTTCTGATCTAACTTTTGTTTCCGTTTGCAGTCCTTTAATATTTTTTTGCGATAAAATTTAGTTTTTACAAATCTAGCCAATACTTTATGGTATATTAGTTAATGTTTAATTATTTAAGGTCTAATTTAAATCTTCTATTTATTTTTATGTTTAAATCTAATCAATGCTTTAATTTTTAAGATCAGCCAATTTATATTTGTAGCTCTGCTCATTTTTTGCTTACATAATTTAGATAATAGTTTGGCCATCTACTTTTTAGTTAGGAAATTAATTTTCTTCATGTTTTTGATGAGTATTATTGGAGTATTTAAAAACAGAATTAGAAAGTTTATTGTAAAGTTTTAATTGATTTATTGGAACGCAAATAATGAATCCAATCATAGCTAATGCTTTAGCGATACCTCCAATCTCAGCAAGAATGCTTTATATCTTTTTATACTAGCGGTGATATATTGACTCCTTTGCTTTTTCAAATCTTAGAATCATAGAAAAAAAATAATCAGTTTCTCCAAAAATTACCTTTTTTATAAAAGTTTGAATTTAAATTAACTTTTATTATAAAATAAATTATTTTATTAAAGTAATAAAAAAGTTTAATAAGTTATTTATTTTTTACTTGTTCATAAGTATAGCTAAGCTAAGTTTGTTTCTAAACTTCAATATCTTAAAAAATTAAGCCATTATCAGTTTCAAAATAGATATTTCTGTAATATAGAGACGTATCTTTTGGATAAATTGGATTAGTACTCCAATACATGTCTCTTGATATGATAGAAAATGGGTTTACATTTTTAGGATTTACAATAACATCATTTGTGTAAAGAGCGATATAAGAATTTATAAGTGCTTTTTATATTTCATCAGTATTTTTGCAATAAGGTTTTCCTTAACATATCTTAAATTTAATTTAGATATAACCAAATTAGTCTTAATCAAAATTTCCTTCAATAAATAAATTTTAACTTTCATAATCTAGACAATACATATTTTATACTCCAACCAATTTATTAAAATAATCAATAGAATCTTATTCTTCAAAATCATTTGAAGTGCAAGGATGAATTCCTATAGGAAGAGTGTTCCACTCTTAATAATACTCTCCACTAGATTAATTATATTTTTTCTACATATTAATTTGATTAGCGTTAACAGTATAAATAGATTCGTCAATGAACTATGAAAAATTACCAGGAAACTAAGCCCCAAAAGCTAAATTAAGTGTTTTCCTTGTTATGTTAAATCTAGCAGGGCTAGCTACAAATCTTTCAGCATAAATAACTTCAGGATTCGTTTTAAAAATAACCTCTTATCCTATTAGGAATATTTAAACAGCTAAAATGCAGCCTATAATAATAGTTACTCCTACACCAAAACAAGTTTGATATTAATTTTTATTGATATAACGCAAACCTATACCTATTCCAAACATATCTAAAAATAAAAGACTCATGATAATTAACTAGCTATAAAGAATTAGGAAACCTTTAAAAATTTATAAGTTTATTTAATTTATTTATTTGTTTTTTAATTTTATTTTCATTTAATTTTTTATATAATTATATTAAATTAAATAGTATATTTTAATAAAGACGTTAAAAGCAAACAAAATGGAAGAATTTTAATTGGTTAAAAATATTGTAAAATCTTTTAAAAAATGCAAAAAAACTTCCATTTCATAAGTATAAATCAAAATTAAATTCTAATTGTAAAGAAGTAAGAAATATCTTAAAAAAATATTATTTTTATTTAAATAATAGTTTTCTGCTTGATTTATCATATATTATAAGCTTCTTAAGTTGTTAGAAGAAATTACTATTTTTGTGGGTTTAGTTTTAAAGAATAACTAAAATAATATAATAAAAAAATACATTAAAAAATAAAATTAAAATTAATTTTAACTCCAAAATTATAATAAAGAAAATTTTAATTACATTTGTTAACAAGTTTATCCTCTAAGTATATTTTTGAACATAAAATATGTTTACACTTTAGTATCTAACAAATTTAATTTATTTATTTACCTTAAACTAATCAAATCTATTAAAAAAAAAACTTATTTTAAAAGTCACTAAAACATCAATTCTTTTACAAGCTAACAATATTTAACATATTCTTAAAAATTCAAGCATTACTTATATATAACAAACTTTATGAATTATAATCCTATTTAATTTTATTTGTGATAATATAAATCTGTCTTTGTTATATTAAAAAGTTGCATTAATATTGTATTATTTTAGTTTTTGCTTTAAAATTAGATAAAATTTGAAAAAATTAATCTTTTTTCTAATAATTGCTATTTATAGTAATAATTTAGTGTCATTAATTTATATTTTAAGGTATTTCTAATCGAAAAAATAATGCATGGAAAAATTAATTAAAAACTTTAAAGGCAATTTTATTAAATATATATATAGTACCATAGGGTACTGGCTTTTACAAGGTTTACTGTCCGTACAACAACATATATTAAAATATTATTTATTATTTACTGTAAATGCTCGTTAATTAAGGCATATTTTTCTTAAATTTTTTTTTTTTTCAATTATTGAAAAAAAATTTATAATTTAATTTTGTAAAGTGTAAAAACAAGGTATATAAAACTCGTTTTATTGTAAATTTGTAGGGTAACTTACTCTACATTGCTACCTAATTGGGCTAATACCTTTATCGTTTTAATTTATAATACGATATATGGCTGATTTTGGTCCTCCTTCAGTTTCAAAATGTCTAAATGTATATCATTTTCCATTTTACTTATGATTTAAATTGAAGCTATAAAGTCTATTTTTTTGATAGTATAATTTTAGAAAGATATTTCTTTGTCATCTAGAAAATCCAAAAAGAGAGAGCCAGATAATTTTTAAAATAATAAAATAAAATTTATTCTATATCAGGATCATAATTGATAGTTGGATAAAATACATTAGAATTAATTATATTATTATATATAAATAGGATAAAAATCATCCAAAATTTTAGTGATCATATATTTTTTACTTTGCTTTAGCAAATAGCTAAAAAGAGAAAAGTGTCTACCATATTGAATTAAAGAAAATATATCATATTTTTAGTTTGGGTTTCATTTACCTTTGTTCATTACTTACATTTTTATTTGAGGTAAACTTGTAAACTCTTATGATTTTCTTCCCTCGCTTGGCATTTATTTATCAAAAGAAGTATCTTGAGACTTACTTAAATAACTTTGAAAATCTTTTTATTCATTTTAAATTTTTTAGACTTAAGAGTCATTACTATCTAGTTTATTAATATTTTAATTACTTAATGTCTAGGTGTTATCTTAATCTATCTATTTGATTAATTTCATTTCTTATGGATTCTATTGCTGCTTAAACCATTCATAATTACCACAAATATTTTAAAAAATTGAATCATCAAGCATTTCTATGATTTTCTTATCAACTTCAGATAAATATTATTGCTTTATTATATTTTAAAGTGATTGAACAGCTTCTTAAGCTCTTTACTTTTCATCTATTTGAAGGTCATTAAGTAAATTTATTTTTTATTTCTTTTATTTAAGTTTTTACAATTATTTTTGAGATTGACGTATTTTCTTTTCCTATTCTTTTTCTTATGAAATGTCTTCTACATCAATAAGTGGTTTTGGGAAGAATTAAATGAGCTTTCTTTAATCATCATTCAGCAAAACCTATTTAACCTTTTCAAACTCTAATAATTTCTTAACTATATAAATTATATCCAGATGCTAGTAAATCTTCTCTACAGAGTAATCAATTTACTTTTTCTTTTTAGCAAAACTCCCAAATGGCCAAAGATAATACCTTAAATAATCAGACCATTTTAGTTATAATTTCTCATCATTTTGACTTTAAGGATTGTCTAAAGTAAATAATTCTTTAAATTCATCATCTATTTTATGTATTTCAGTATCCTTTAAGCTACATTAATCCTTTATTATTTAAAGCTCTTTCTCATTTTAAAGTCTCTTTTAATTATTTTAATTTGCTTTATTAGCTTATTTAGAAATTTTAACCAAATTAAACTCACTTACATCTTGAAATTGATTTTTTTTATGTTACAAATGAGTAATATCTAATGGTTCTACTTTAAATTATCTTCCACTTATTACATTAGATTTTATGTTTGACTGATTAATTGGTTTAAAAAGTACTTCTGATCTAACTTTTGTTTCCGTTTGCAGTCCTTTAATATTATTTTGCGATAAAATTTAGTTTTTACAAATCTATCCAATACTTTATGGTATATTAGTTAAAGTTTAATTATTTAAGGTCTAATTTAAATCATCTAATTATTTTTAAGTTTAAATCTAATCAACACTTTAATTTTTAAGATCAACCAATTTGTATTTGTTGTTCTGCTCATTTTTTGCTTACATAATTTAAATAATAGTTTGACCATCTAATTTTTAGTTAGGACTTTAATTTTCTTCATGTTTTTGATGAGTATTTTTGGAGTATTTAAAAACAGAATTAGAAAGCTTATTGTAAAGTTTTAATTGATTTATAGGAACACAAATAATAAATCCAATCATAGCCAATGCTTTAGCGATACCTCCAATCTCAGCAAGAATACTTTCTAGCTTTTTGTACTTGCGGTGATAAATTGACTCCTTTGCTTTTTCAAATCTTAAAGTCATAGAAAAAAAATAATCAGTTTCTCCAAAAATTACCTTTTTTATAAAAGTTTGAATATTAATTAATTAACTTTTGTTAGAATATAAATTATTTTATTAAAAGTAATAAAAAAGTTTAATAAGTTATTTATTTTTTACTTGTTCATAAGTATAGCTAAGCTAAGTTTGTTTCTAAACTTCAATATCTTAAAAAATTAAGCCATTATCAGTTTCAAAATAGATATTTCTGAAATAGAGAGACGTATCTTTTGGATAAATAGGATTAGTACTCCAATACATGTCTCTTGATATTATAGAAAATGGGTTTATATTTTTAGGATTTACAATAAGATCATTTGTGTAAAGAGCGATATAAGAATTTGTTAGTGCTTATTATATTTCATCAGTATTTCTGCAATAAGGTTTTCCTTAACACATCTTAAAATTAATTTATATAATGCCAAATTAGTCTTAATCAAAATTCCCTTCAATAAATAAATTTTAACTATCATAATCAAGGCAATACATATTCGAGACTCCGGCCAATTTATTAAAATAATCAATCGAATCTTATATTTCAAAATCATTTGAAGTGCAAGGATGAATTCCTATAGGAAGAGTTTTCCACTCTTAATAATATTCCCCACTAGATTAATTATATTTTTTCTCCATAGTAACTTGATTAGCATCAACAGTATAAATAGTTTCATCTATGAACTATGAAAAATTACCAGGAAACTAAGCCCCGAAAGCAAAATTAAGTGTTTTCCTTGTAATGTTAAACCTAGCAGGACTAGCAACAAATCGTTCAGCATAAACAACTTCAGGATTCGTTTTAAAAATAACCTCTTATCCTATTAAGAATATTTAAATAGCTAAAATGCAGCCTATAATAATAGTTACTCCAACACCAAAGCAAGTTTAATATTCATGTTTATTCATATAACGCAAACCTATGCCTATTCCAAACATATCTAAAAATAAAAGACTCATGGTAATTAACTAGCTAATAAAGAATTTGTAAGCCCGTATAAAAATTTATAAGTTTATTTAACTTATTTATTTATTTGTTTTTTAATTTTATTTTCTTTTAATTTATTATATAATTACATTAAATTAAATAGTATATTTTTGATAAGGACATCTATAGCCAACAAAATGAATGAATTTTAATCTATTAAAATATTAATAATTAATAATTCAAATGTAAAATCTTTAAAAAAACTGTGAAAAAAATTATTTTTTAAGGCTAATTTTTAAAAAAATTCCATTTTATTTGAAAAAATCAAAAATAAAATTCTAATTATATAAAATAATAAGCCATTTTTTATAAAAAATATTATATTATTTAAATAAATAGCTTGTTGTTGCTTATATAATTTATTATAAGCTTCTTAAGTTGTGAGAAAAAATAGCTACTTTTGGGTTTAGTTTTAAAGCATAAATAATAAAGAAATACAATAGAAAATAAAACAAAAATTAATTTTAAATCCACATATACATTATAATATATTTTACTTACATTTGTTAGCATGTTTATTCTCTAAGAATATTTTTTTACTTAAAATATGTTTACACTTTATTATATAACAAATTTAATTAATTTTTTTTTACCATAAATTAATCAAATCTGATTTTAAAAGCCACTAATTTACCTATTCATTTTACAATCCAACAAAATTTAACTTATTCTTAACTCTAAAATCTTTTAAATATAAGAAAAATGAATTATAATGCTATCATTCTTTACTTCAATAAATGTAAATTTGCTTTCACAATGTTAAGTTACTTTAATATTAATTTTATTTCAGTTTTGCTTTAAAATTCTATAACAATTTTAAAAAGTTTAAATAATTACTATAAAAAGCAATAATTTAGTGTTATTAATAAATAATTTAAGGTAAATCTAATGGAAAAATATGTGGAATCAAATTTATAATTTTTAAAGACTATTTATTTTATTAAATTATTCAACAAGAAATAGAAAACAATAATCTATATGCTTAATTGATTTATACATAATATAAAATTTATTTTCCATCATTTTAATTTTGAAAATAATTTCTCATAGATAATAGAAAGAGTTACCTTTTAAAGTAAAAAAAATTAAATTAATAATTAGATACTTTATTTATTTTAAAAATAGAAAATTTTTTGATGCAATTTGGTATATTCTCAAATAAAAGAATGTTTAATTTGTTAACAATAAATATGAATTAACAATTTTTTGTTTTCAATTATTTGATTATGAGAAAGAAAACTCATTAATATTTTGATTGATTTATACTTTTTCAAAAAATAATTTTTATAAACTAAAATAGTTATAATTTTTTAATATTATTAAAATTTATTATGATTTTTCTTTTAAAATAAATAAGAAGCTATGAAATTGTTAAACTAAAATCGAATTTATAATACAAAATTTTTTTTTTTTTTTAGAATATTTAATTAATTAATTATTTTAATTATTCTTAATTTCTTTTGAAATAAAATAAAAAATAAATTTCTATGAAATATTTTTGTAAAAGTATAAATGAATGAATTAAACTGTATAATAAATTAATAGGTAAAAATTTTATTTCCAACAATACTATTTTTAGAATTTTAAAAAATTACTAAATATTTGTTTGTATAAAAAACTGATTCAAATCTTTTTAGTTGAATTAAATTAAGTTTATTTAAAATTTTATAATTTTATGTTTTGTATATAAGTTATTTATTATGGCTCTAATTCATTTATCATTTATTAATTGAATGAACTACGTAGAGAATTACTTTAGATCTCTTCAATATCATTCTATACATTTTATATTTTTGGATATTAAATATCTTTACTATCTTTACTTAGATAGTTGTTGAAACTTTAAACGTGTTCTTAATAGAATTACCTTTAATCATTAATTATACATGAGTTTATGTCTTAAAAATTTATTTGTTATTATTAGTATTATTATTGAAGGTATTCAGCATTATTGTGGATATTTTCCAATATCGAATCGTCTAGCATTTCTAATATTTTTTTATCTATTTCACTTAGTTTCTCTTTTTTTATGATATTTTACAAAGCTTGATAAGCTTCTTTTGCTCTTTACTTTTCATTTATTTGTTAATTGTTAAGTATGTTGACTGTTTATTTTTTTTACTCGTATTTCTGTATATTTTTTTATGATTTAATAAGCTCTTTTTCTTCTATTTTATATTGTTCTATTTCATCTACATTAATTAATGGTTTTGGGAAGAACTATATTAGCTTTCTCTAATCTTCATTAAGTAAAATTTATTTAACTTTTTCGAACTCTAGTAACTTTTTAATGATATAGATTATATCAAAATGTTAGTAAATCTTTTCTACTGAGTAGTCAATTTATTTCTTCTTTTTGGCATAGCTTCCGAATGGCCAAAGATAATATTTGATATAATCAGACCAACCTAAATTTAAATTTTCATATTATTTGTTTTAATTATCACTTTAATTAAATAATTCCTAATTATTAGTTAAGATTTATTATTATTTTTATTCATTTTATTAAATATTTTATTAGTTTAATTATTATCCAATATTTTGTATCTTATTTTATTTCTCTGCTTGAGGTATCTGTTCACGTTACTAAGGTTATTTTTATTTCATATTTTTAGTTATTTTAATAATATCAAAAATATTAAAATAGTTTTTAGCCCGGTTTTGATAAATATTAGTTTAAGTTTATGTTTTACTTTTGATAATTTTATTACTTTAATTTTTGTTGAATTCTATTGGCTCTGTATTTTATTTTTTTCTAATTTTACTGGTTTACCTTTAAATTTGCTCATTTTAAAAATTTTTTTCGAATGATTATCCCCTTACATATTACTGGGAAGAAATCTAGTTTTTAAAGACTTAAAATTATTGCTAAGATGCAAATACTTAAGATTCTTTAGTTATCTGCTATTGCTTATCTAAAAATTAATTTTCAAAATAAACTTAAGTATTATCTAAATTTTATTAATTAATATATTTATTATTCTGTTCCTTTTGAGCTTCTATTATTTCAACAAAGGTTTTCACTGCACTTTTTGGTATAGCATTATCAGTTTATTGTATTATTATGTTTTGAAAATTTGAATATTTAAATAAAGTGTTAGAAAGTTTGCCATAGAGTTAAAGTTAATTAATAGGAACACAAATAACGAAACCAATAATTACTAATGCTTTAGCGATACCACCTATTTCAGCCAGAATACTATCTAATTTTTTATAATTTCTATGATATTTAGACTCTTTTGCCTTTTCAAATCTCAGCTTCATCTAAAAAAAATATTCAGTCTCTCCAAATATAATCTTTTTTTATAAAAATACATTATTATTAACATATAAAAATTATTTAAAATATTAATGAATTTATATTTCTTAAACTTATTAAACTTATATCAAAATTTTAATTTTATAATTTTTAGTTTGGGTTTTATTTAAATTAATTTCAAAATCTATTAGTAATAATACTATATTTTAGGATATAGCAAACAGTTTTGAGGTTACTTAGTATGATTCAAAAAAGCTTATATTAAAGAAAATTTTTTATTTTTATTTTTATTTTTCAATAATATTTTGTTATTAAAACAATGGTAGATAGATAGATAAATAGAAAGTTTTATCTTTTTTAATCTCATCAAATTTAAAAAATAAAATAGGCATAAATGAGCTTAAAATATTATTCACAATAAAAAAATACCTGTTCTTCAGTGTAGCTGAGCGAAGGTTTTCTTTAAGTGCTGATATCTTCAAAAACTATCCCATTATCAGTTTCAACATAAACGTTTCTATAATAAAGATAAGCATCTTTTGAGTAGATTGGATTAGTACTCCAGTACATATCTCTTGATATAATTTAATAAGGATTAAAATGTTTAGGATTTGTTATAATGTCGTTTGTGTAGTGGGAAACAAAAGAATTAGTTAAAATTTAATTTATCTCTTCAGGATCTCTACAATTTGATTTTCCAGTGCACTTCTTAAAATATATTTATATTAGCCCATATTAATCTTAATCGAAATTTCCTTCCATATGTAAATCTTAACTATCATAATCTAGACAATACATATTTTCTAAACCAACTAATGTATTAAAGTAATCAATAGACTCTTCTACTTCAAAATCTTTTGATGAGCAAGGATGGACATCTATAGGAAGGTTGTTCCAATCTTAGTAATACTCACCGCTAGTTTAATTAAATTTCTTCTGCATACTAACTTGCACAGCAGAAACTGTGTAAATAGACTCATCAAGGAACTGCGAGAAGTTACCAGGAAATTATGCACCAAATGCAAAATTAAATGTTTTCCTTGTTATGTTAAATCTAGCTGGACTGGCTACAAATTGCTCAACAAAAATAAAATTAGGGTTTGTTTTGTAAATTACCTCTTAGCCTACTAAAAATATTTAAACACCTAATACGCACCCGATGATGATAGTAATTGCAACACCAAAATTTGTTTAATATTAACTTTTATTCATATAACGCAAATTTATGCCTATTCCAAAGATATCTAAAAATAAAAATTTCATTTATATTTAAAATTAAATAATATTTTGCTTAGTTATTTTTAAATACTAAATAACTAACTAACTTACAAACTGTCTTTTTCTTTTTCTCTGTTTTTTATTTCAATTAATTGATATCAAATATTTTTTAATTATTAAATTTACTGTAAATTTTTAATAAATCCTCTTACTTTTAGCTTTTTCACCTTCCTCTTATTATTAATATTTGACTATTTTGTAATTAATTTTTTTAAATGTAAGCAAATAATAAATAATTCGTACCTAATTAACTTACCAATTTCAAATACATATAAATGATATAAAATACTGGGTAATAAATATTTATTTATTAATTTACATTACTATACGATTAGATATTTAAAATGATAAATCAACTAGAAACCACACATTTCATAAAAGATATTTGCTAATTTTATTTACTTAAATTAATTTAATTACCAATAGAACTGCAATAGTAATATTAGATTTCGTTTTAGAAAAAGTAAATATAAATTTGCTTTCATAATAAAATACTCAAAATAGTAAATTAATTTATATTATATTTTATAATAGTTTTTAAGATTACTTGCAATTAAATTAATGAGCTATTTTTAACTATATAATTTGTTATACAATTTTTAAAAATGCACTTATTAATTTCATAGTAAATTACTATCAAATAAGGCAATTCAAAAAATATATTTTCATGAATATCCATCCATTCATAAAATTGAAAAAATACATTTTCAAACAAAAAAATTTATTAAAGATATTTTTATAAGCATGATTTTAAAAATGAAAGGCTATTAATGTTTTAATGAATTTTCTTTTTGCTATGTAGATTTTTAAATTATGATCTTTTTATTTTAAACTTCAATAAAACCTCAACCAATTAATTAGTTTATAAAATAAAAATAAAGTATTTTAATAATTTTAATGATAATTATATTAAAATTCAATAAAAAATACACAATTTTTAACAATGTCTTCTTTCTTAATCTCTTATTTAGGTAATTGTAAGTTAAAATTGATAAGACTCTAATTAAAATTATTTTTAATCATTTTAAATAATAAAATAATTTGTTTTTATTTTCTGAGTTTTTTTGAAAATGTGTAAAAAAATTTGAGAAAAGATATTTAGTGTTTTCAAAAATTTTTTTCATATAAAATAAAAATAAATAATTAATGCTCTTAAGAATTTTCAAAATATTTTCATCTTTATTTAAATAGCGATGATTATTAATTTATTCTTTAATTTTTTTTTTGAAATCAATTGTGTTACATATATAGATAGACTATACAGCCAAGTGAAGCACTATTTTTGGTTGTATATATAAACTATTCAAAACTTTTTAATTAAATTAAATTAAGTTTATTTAAAATTTTATAATTTTATGTCTTGTATACTAGTTATTTCTTATGACTCTATTTCATTTGGCATTTTTTTTTTTAATGAGCTCTGTAAAGAATTACTTTAGATCTCTTCAATATTATTCTATTCATTTTATATATTTTGATATTAAATATCTTTACTTATCTAGTTGTTAAAATTTTAAATGCCTTCCTAATAGAATTATTTTTAATCATTTATTATACAAGAATTTATGCCTTAAAAATTTATTTATTATTATTGAAGGTATTCAGCATTATTGTGGATATTTTCCAATATCGAATCGTCTAGCATTTCTAATATTTTTTTATCTATTTGGCTTAATTTTTCTTTTTTTATGATATTTTACAAAGCTTCGTAAGCTTCTTTTGCTCTTTACTTTTCATTTATTTATTAATTGTTTAGCATGTTGACAGTTTATTTTTTTTACTCGTATTTCATTTTTTTTTATGATCTGATTAGCTCTTTTTCTTCTTTTTTATATTGTTCTATTTCATCTACATTAATTAAGGGTTTTGGGAAGAACTATATTAGCTTTCTTTAATCTTCATTAAGTAAAACTTATTTAACTTTTTCGAACTCTAGTAACTTTTTAACTATATAGATTATATCAAGATGTTAGTAAATCTTTTCTACTGAGTAGTCAATTTATTTCTTCTTTTTGTCATAGTTTCCAAAAGGCCAAAGATAATATTTGATATAATCAGACCAACTTAATTTTAAATCTTCATATTCTTTGTTTTAACTATCGTTTTAATTAAATAATTCCTAGCAATTAGTTAAGATTTATTATTATTTGTAATCATTATATTAAATATTTTATTAGTTTAATTATTATCCAATATTTTGTATATCGTTTTCTTTCTGTGCTTGAGGTATCTGCTCAAGTTGCTAAGACTGTTTTTATTTCATATTTTTAGTTATTTTAATTATATCGAAAATATTAAAATCATTTTTAACCTGATTTAGATTAACTTAAGTTTATGTATTATTTTTAATAATTTTATTATTTTAATTTTTGTTTAATTCTATAGGGTCTGTATTTACTTGTTTTCTATTTTTACTAATTTACCTCTAAGTTAGCTCTTTTGTTACAAATTTTTCCATAGATTATCCCCTTCTATATTATTTGGAAGAAATCTAATTTCTACTGACTTAAAACTATTGTTAAGATACAAATAACTAAGATTCTTTAGTTATATGTTATTCTTTATCTAAAAATTATTTTTCAAAATAAACTTAAGAATTATCTAAATTTTATTAATCAATATATTTATTATTCTATTCCTTTTGAGCTTCTATTATTTCAACAAAAGTTTTCCCTGCACTTTTTGGAATTGCTTTATTAGTTTATTGTTTTTATATGTTTTGACAATTTGAATATTTAAATAAAGAGTTAGAAAGTTTGTAATAGAGTTAAAGTTAATTAATAGGAACACAAATAATGAAACCGATCATTACTAATGCTTTAGCGATACCACCTATTTCAGCCAGAATACTATCTAATTTTTTATATTTTCTATGATACTTAGACTCTTTTGCCTTTTCAAATCTCAGCTGCATCTAAAAAAAATAGTCAGTTTCTCCGAATATAATCTGTTTTAATAAAAATACAACATTTAATGATTAACTTAAAAAAGTATTTAAAATATAATGAATTAATATTTTCTAAATTAAGATCACATCACAAAAATCACAAAAACATTTTAATTTTCTAATTTTTAGTTTGGGTTTTATTTACATTAATTTCAAAAATTTTCAGTAATAATACTATATTTTAGGTAATAGTAAACCTTATTGAGATTACTTCGCATGATTCAAATAAGCTTGTTTTGGTTATAGTTTAGGTAGAGATGATATTTAATTTTAATTTTTCTATTCTTTTTTTTGATTAAAATAAAGAGAAAGATAGAAAATATTACCTTTTTTAAAACTAACTACATCAAATTTAAAAAATAAAATTCGCATAAATGAGCTTAAAATATAATTCACAAAAAAAAAAATACCTGTTCTTCAGTCTAGCTGAGTGAAGGTTTTCTTTAAGTGCTGATGTCTTCAAAAACTATCCCATTATCAGTTTCAACATAAATGTTTCTATAATAAAGATAAGCATCTTTTGGGTAGATTGGATTAGTACTCCAGTACATATCTCTTGATATAATTGAATAGGGGTTAACATTTTTAGGATTTACTATAATGTCGTTTGTGTAGTGGGAAACAAAAGAATTAGTTAAAATTTTATTTATCTCATCAGGATCTTTACAATTTTATTATCCAGTACACCTCCTAAATTAAATTTAAATTAGCCCATATTAATCTTAATCGAAACTTCCTTCCATAAATAAATCTTAACTATCATAATCTAGACAATACATATTTTCTAAACCAACTAATGTATTAAAGTAATTAATAGACTCTTCTACTTCAAAATCTTTTGATGAGCAGGGATGAATACCTATAGGAAGGTTGTTCCAGTCTTAGTAATACTCACCGCTAGTTTAATTAAATTTCCTCTGCATAGTAACTTGCACAGCAGAAACTGTGTAAATAGACTCATCAATGAACTGCGAAAAGTTACCAGGAAATTATGCACCAAATGCAAAGTTAAATGTTTTCCTTGTTATATTAAATCTAGCAGGACTGGCTACAAATTGCTCGGCAAAAATAACATCTGGGTTTGTTTTTTAAATTACCTCTTTGCCAACTAAAAATATTTAAACACCTAATAGACATCCTATTATGATAGTAATTGCAACACCAAAATTTGTTTAATATTAACTTTTATTCATATAACGCAAATTTAAACCTATTCCAAAGATATCTAAAAATAAAAGATTCATTTTATATTTATTTATTTATAGCTTTTTAAAATAAATATTTAGTTTTTAAAGTATTTTACTGTCTTTTTCTTTTTCTCTATCTTTTATTTTAATTATTATTATTAGCTATTTTTTAATTATCAAATTTACTATTAAAATTTTTTATAAAATCTTGAATGTTTAGCTTTTCACTTTCCTCTTATTATCAAATATTTGACAATTTTGTAATCAATTTTTTTTAATGTAAACAAATAATAGTTCGTTCCTATCTAAATAGCAACTTTTAAATGTAATAAATTATATAAAATTCTGGGTTCATAAGTATTTATTAATTTACATTACAAATATATGAGAAAGCATATTTAAAATCATAAGATTATATATATAAAAAATAAACCAGTAAATATGAATTCCATATAAGAGTTTTGTTATTTTTATTAACTGAATTTAAATTTTATTTTCAGTATAGAACTGTACTAGAATTACTTGATTTAATTTTAGAAAATAAAAATAAAAATTTATTATCTTTATTAAATACTTAAAATAGCAAATTAATTTAGATTATATTTAATAATATTTTTTATTACTTGTAATTAAATTAGCTTACAATTTTTAATTATGTATGAATTATATGTAAATTAAAAGTTTCCCTTTCTTAAAAAAAAGTCTTAAATTAGAGGTTGTAAATAATTAAATATATCTAAGAAGGAGTATGTGATATATAGATATATATTATATTTTAATTCATTTACAACTCTATATATTAATTAAAATTTTAATTAATTTAATATTAAAAATTTTTTGAAAAGCTAAAATTAAAAAAATGAAATTAAATGTTTTTAATTGATTTTATGTTAAATAAATTATTATCAAAATCTATTTTTAATAGTTTTATTTTTTAAAAATATAATTAAAAAATAGAGCACTTTCATAAAAAATAGAGATAGTTTATCACCAGATTTTAGAAATGAATTTATTTATCTATAATTAGATAATTTAGATAATGAATAATATGAAAATAGTTTGAAATTTTTAGTTTTGCTTTTATTTAAATATCAATAACTAACTAAGTTAATTTTATGAATTAATGAATATTATATAAAAATAAATTTATAAAATATGAATTTTAATACGAATTCAAATATTCTTAGTTTAATTTAATTGTATTTATTAAATATTTACAAAATTTAATTAAGGCATGCTTGTTAATTCTTACGATCCTATTTCGTTAGGCATTTATCCATCCAAAAAACTTTCTTATTAGTTACTTTAATCATATTTAATATCTATTTATTCATTTTGTTTATTTTTATGCTAGCTTTATATGTTAACTAATTGATTAAAATCTTAGTTATTAAAACTTAAAATATTATCTCTCTGGATCGACCTTTGATCATTAAGAGCACAAGAATTTAAATCTTCGAAATTTATTTATTCTTAGAGATATTCGGCATTATTGTGGATATTTTCTAAAATGGAGTTATCGAGCATTTCTAGTATTTTTTTATCTACTTCGCTTAATTTTTCTTATTTTATAATATTTTGCAAAGCTTGGAAAGCTTCTTTTGCTTTTTCTTTTTCATCTTTTTATTAGTTATTAAGAATATTTATTGATAGTTTTTTTTAGTCATGTTTCTAGGATGACTTTTTAGATACTGAAAGTTTTTTCTCTTCTAATTTTTCTTATTCTATTTCTTCTACACTTATAAGAGGCTTTGGGAAGAATTGTACAAGCTTTCTTTAATCTTCATTCAGCAAGACTTATTTGACTTTTTCGAACTCTAAAAGTTTCTTTACAATATAGATTATGTCAAGATGTTAATAAATCTTTTCAACTGAGTAATCAATTTGTTTTTTCTTTTTTGCATAACTTCCAAAAGGCCAAAGATAATACCTAATGTAATCAGACCATTTCAGTTTTAATCTTTCATTTTCTTAATTCTAAATATCATTTTAATTTAATAATTGTTTAAGCTTGGCTAAGCTTTTTTATGATTTATAATTATAATCTTTAATACTTTATTAAAGTTGTTTTTAGTGTATATATTTTTCGATGTTTTTTTCTTTCTCATGCTGAGGAGGTATTTAGAGTTTTTAAGTAGATTTTAATTTAATTTCTTTAGTGATTTTGATTATGTTAAATAAATTAAAATTATTTTTTGCTTCTTATTAATAATAACTATTTTATACATTTATTTATTTAGTATTATGATCATTTTAGTTACTAATTAACTCTTAAGGTTCTGCCCTAAATTATTTACAATCTTTTTCACTATTGATAAAATCTTTTTATTTAGCTTTTAAAATTTCATTTTATTTTTAAAATAGTTCCTTTTTATAAATTTTATCAATCGATTTTTCTCTTAAACTTTAATTTGATGTTATTTGGTTTTTTGTAATATAATTTTGACATTATGGAGATTGTACTTGTGATTCGTAGCTCAAAGATTATTCTTTGTCTATAAATTATTTTTAAGAATAAATTTAATACTAGTTTTAGTTGCTATTTTAATCAATCTATTTAGCGCTTTACATTTTTTGAGCTTCTATGATCTAGACAAACGTTTTACCTGCAATTTTATGATTAGTTCGATGTGCTTATTCTGTTTATGCTATTTCAGAATTCGAGTACTTAAACAAAGAGTTAGAAAGTTAGTTATAAAGTTGAAGCTAATTTATAGGAACACAAATAATGAAACCAATCATTACTAGAGCTTTAGCAATTCCTCCTATTTCAGCAAGAATGCTATCTAATTTTTTGTATTTTCGATGATATATAGACTCTTTAGCCTTTTCAAATCTGATATACATCGCAAAAAAATAGTCTGATTCACCAAAAATAACCTTTTTAAATTAAATTGTGAAATTTAAGAAAAATACTAATTTATTTTAAATATTGTATTTTCAACAAAAACTAAATTAAAATATTGAAAAATATATTCATACTTATTCTTAAATGTAGCTTAATGAAGGCTATCTTTAAGTTTCTATTTCTTCAAAAACAATCCCGTTATCAGTTTAAAAATATATATTTCTGTAATAAAGATAAGCATCTTTCGGATAGATAGGATTAGTACTCCAATACATATCCCTTGATATTGTCTAGAAAGGATTAACATTTTTAGGATTTACTATAAGGTCATTCGTATAGTGAGCAACGAAAGAGTTAGTTAGAATTTTTCTAATCTCGCTAGGATCTCTACAGTTTTACTTTCCGGTGCACATTCTAAATTTAATTTATATAAGTCCATACGAATCTTAATCAAAGTTTCCTTCAATAAATAAATTTTAACTGTCATAGTCTAGACAATACATTTACTCTAGACCAGCCAACTTATTAAAATAATCAATAGACTCATTTACTTCAAAATCTTTTGAACTACAAGGATGGACTCTAATAGGAAGCGTCTACCATTCTTAATAATAATCTCCACTAGATTAGTTATACTTCTTTTTCATAGAAACTTGCTCAGCGGTAACAGTATAAATAGATTCATCTATGAACTAAGAAAAATTTCCAGGAAATTAAGCACCAAAAGCAAAATTAAATGTTTTCCTTGTTATATTAAATCTGTCAGGGCTTGCTACAAATCTCTCTGCAAAAATAACTTCTGGGTTAGATTTGTTAATTACTTCTTTACCTACTAAAAATATTTAAACTCCTAAAAAGCAGCCAATAAGGATAGTGATTGCAACACCAAAGTTGGTTTAATATTCATGTTTATTCATATATCGCAAACCAATACCTATTCCAAAGATATCTAAAAACAATAGACTCATTTATTTTTAATTTATAGTAAGTATATTAAATTCTTAAGATATGTTTTGATTTTTTTTGTTTTACTTTTTGAATTATTTATTATATATTTAATTAAACTGTGTTCAATTATTTTCTAGTAAAAATCTGGATTATGAGCTTGTTAATTCGTTTTTCTCATCGTATATACCATATAACTATATGCAATATAAATATATAATAAGAAGATAAGATACTAATAAAAAAATAAGTGGTGTGTGTGTTGATTATACATAATAGTTGTTATCATTATACTTTTTTTAAAACAATATTTATTGATAATTGTAAATAATAAATTAATAACCATGAAAGCAGATTACTTATCAAATATTATTTATTAACCATGAAAAAATAATAATAATAATACTAGTTTATGCTATTATACACTAAAATTTAATAGTATTTTTAATTTTGATTTACTATTTAATATATTTTTATGTTGTATTTGAATAATAAATTTGCTTAATAAATTGAAAAGATAGCTATTTCATTCCCTTTTCAAATTATATATTTTATTAAGTTTAAAAAATTAAATCGAGTAAGCATTACTTGAACTGTTTTTCTAGTAAAAAATCTAAATACTTTATCTCAAACTACTCTCACATATTCCAGATTATTGTTTTGAAAAAACTAAATTTTTTTTCTTTTATAAATTGACTTTGTTATGAATAAGGTAAACTTAATTATTCAAAATAATCTTAATTTACTTTAAATAGATGAAATTTCGAAATTCAAATCTATATTTATTTTAATAAGCGATAAATCATGCATGCAATTAATCAATAAATAGTAAGTAAGAACAAAAAACTTTTAAAATGTGCAAATATATTGGATTCTAGATTTATTCTAATTTTTTTCGTTAAATAAAATTATTTCGCAAATATAATATTTATTTGAATAAAGCAGTAAGTATTTTAAAATTCAGATTTTTATTTTTTAAGGATAAAAATGGTAAACTAATCTCTCAAAAATTGACAATTATAAATAACTCTTTTTATTACTTTAGAAAATGTATTTATTAAAAGAAATATCTAATGTACAGCTAAATTTATTTGTACTTAAAATATGCATTTAATTTTCATTTTCTAGCTTTTTAATAGATTTTAAATTGTTTAATCTATTCAAACAACGATTCTATTTACTGTTTAACTTTTATTAATAAAAGAATTAAAATTAGATTTATGCTATTAGCTTACTAAAAATCTATTGTTTTACTGAAAGAATGTTTGAGTAAAAATAATCAATTTTTCTTTCTATATCAATATTTGATATATGTATTAGAGAATGAATTCATTATACAAAAGTTTTAATTAAATCTACTTTACTTAATGTTTGCCCAATAATTCATAAATAAATAAAATTAAAATTTTACTTTTATTCTTAAAGCAAATCTATTTAAATTTACTTTTTAAAAAACAAAATAAGTGATTTATTTATTTATTTATCATTTTTAATTGAAAAAATTTGTTAAAACTTAAAAAAAAATATTTATATAGACATCTAAAAAACAAAATACAAAATATTAAGATCAGTTTTATGAAAAAGTAAAATAAATTTTAAATTATTAAAGCAAGAGCGAACAAAAAATATAGTTCTAAAAATCAAAAGATTAGATGAATAACCTTCAAATAGCCCATTTATTAACCCTATTAAAAATATTTTTGGTGGCTCAAGAAATTAGTAGCAATAGAAAAGCCAAAAATAAAAGATAAGCTAATATAATCAATTGAAAAAAATTGGATATTAACAATAAATTTTTTTTAGAATTAGAATAATAAGTTGGTACTAAAAATTAAAAATTATCAGCAATTTAAAACTTTTTCATTATTTAAAGAAAAAAATGATGGATTAAAATATATAAAATAAAATTTTAATATGTGAAAAAAATGTAATAATTAATTATTAAATTAATTTATATTAAATCATATATAAAAGTTTATTAAGTTGAGAAATTATGTAAGAATTTAAAGACTTTTAAGTCTATTTTTACTAAATTTAAAAATAATCAAATATTTTTTTATAAATACTGAATTATCATATTTACCATGATTATAAAGCAGTAAAAACTATTATTTTATCTGTTTTTTAGAAAAAGACCAAAGTCATAAAAAAATAAAAAGACAGAATCATTCCTATCATTAACCTATGGTGTATAAATAATCTAAAGGTTTATAAAAATTATACCATTTATATTGGTTTTTACAAATTTCATATCAAAATAAATTGTATTGTAAAGCAATTAAAAATTAAAGTTTTTCACTAAAATTAAGAATTAAATTTCAATTTTATTTTAACTAAAAAACTTTAACATCAAGCTATTAATTGACAATTAATTAATAAATATGATAATGATAAAAATAATAATTTGAAATTTAAAAAACATTTTTATAATTTAAAATTAGGTTTTAACAATAAGTCAAAAGTAAAAAATAAATAAATAAATAAGTTATTACTTTTATGGATAAAAATAGCTAAATTGAAAATAAACTTTTGTAATCAGAAATGAATTCTTTTAAACTCAAAAATTGATTATTATTTTAAAAAGACTTGAATGTAGGTTAATATTAAAACATAATTAAAATTTAAGTAAATTAATAAGAAATATTTTATTGAAGACGTATCTTACATTATAATTAATAACTTTTAAAGATAGATTTTTAATTTTTATTGTTTAAAAATTCATATAAAAGCTGTTAATAATAATTTAATTAAAGCTAATTTCATTAGTTTGTTTGATTATCATCTTAAACTTTAATGTACAACACAAATGAATTCTAAGATAAAAACAAGCAGATATAATAAATGAATCTATCTATCTATGCATTTTTGTATAATTTTATTATTAAAACCAATTTTTATTAAGGGGATCATCATTTTTGACTTTCTGGTAGCACAGTTATTTCTATTTTTTAACGTACTACAGAAATTTAAAAATAAATTTCAAATTAATTTCAGATAAGAATAGCATTTAATTTATGTATAAAGTAAATTAAAAATGTTTATTTTTATTATATTTTAAATATCTACTAATCGTATATATTATCATTATTAAGTAATTTAGATTTTAATTATATTATTAATTATATTTGAAATTACATTTAATTATTATTTACTTATTATCATCAACTTATTTGACGGAAGCCACAAGTTTTTTATTTTTGGATTATTTCAAGTTCTTCTTTCTTTTTTATATCTTCTTAAGTCTCTCTTTTAGGTCCATAGAATTTTTCTAAAAATATGGATGCTTCTAGCTCATAGTAGAGAGACTCTTTTTAGATTATATCTTTATAATTTGGTGTTTAGCCTAATCTTTATATTCTTAATGTGTTTATGGTTTCATCTGTTATATTAATTCTAAAAATGTGGAGCATGTCTCTGAATTTTAACAAATCATGAGCTATGTCAGAATCTTCATCTGTACAATCTACATAAGTCTCTAATCTAATTGTAGAATCAACCATAAAATCGTCAATAGTTAACATTGAAGTTTAATATTCCAACGAGAAAGCTTTTTCGACTCCTCTATTTAATTAAATATTTTCAGCCTGTCTAAATTCATGAGACTTTCTTAAAGTTTCTCCCATTTATTCAATATATTTACTTAGTATGTAATTATAAATGTATTTATTTTAGAAGCAATACATTCCAACTCTCCTTGTTAGCTCTTCAAAATCATTAACACTAGTGCCAAGAAGAGAAATGAGCTTTTCATTCAAACCTACTATTCTCATTTCAGCTCCTCCAGTATCATAATTTCTTTGAAACATAATATAACATATGTATTCATTTTTATATTAGTCTACTATTTCCATAGCTTTCTACTTAAATCTCTCAAATTTCACTTATTTCAAACGTGTAAATTCAGCATAACCTTCTTACTAAGAGCATATCTAGACCATTTTTTATTATTTTATTGAGTAGCATTTGTATCTTTCAAGGTTTTTACCTAGCTCGTGGATTGTTTTTTCAGGATAATTGGAAAAAAGTTAAATAAGGTGGTCGTAGTCTATAAATGTGGTATTCGTTTTATCAAGCAAAACCTCAAGTGTTTAATTTGCTTTTTTATATTAAATTTATTATATTTTTTTTATGTAATTAAAAGGTGAATTAATTCCAATGTAATCTTCTAAGTTGTTAATATCAGTGTGGATAACCATATCACCAAAAATATGCACAAATGAATTAGGAAACAGCTATTTATAAATTGGTTGAAGCTTGTAATCCACTTATCTAGAGTAATCTCCAGAAGAATTTTAAGAAAGAGCTGATTCGATATCGAAATTGTTTGAAGGTTTGCGCTTTTTAACAGAGGAGGAAGAAGAAGATGATGAAGAATTTAAAGAGTAGACAGAAAGTGAATCTTTATTTTTTTAGGCTATTTCTTTTTACTTTAAAACATTTAATGTAGAATTTGAAGCGTTGCAATTTATCAAATTTTAACTTTCCTATAATTTACAATTTTCTTGCCCTTCACTTGACACTTGGTAATTATGTTATTCATTCATATTTACTATTTATTATTAAGGTGTCTCTATTTACATCTCATAATGAGATGGCTGATATTAAATTTAATGATTTTAAAAGTAGTGCTATTCCTCAATTTCCATCTCAACAAACACCTTATTTAATATACTATGACCTAAGGAATTTTTTATAAATGGGCTATTTTTATTATGCTTGCGATGCTAATAATATTAATGGCTTGTTTATCTTATTTTAACTATATTGTTTGATTGAATCTTTTTTAATCAGTCTTATAATTCTCAATGATTTTGGCTACATCTAATTATTTATATTAATTTAATTAATGATTTTTTTGGATAAGGCATTTGGAATAGTGGAATTTTGTTCATTATAAATGATATCATTTATTAACTCCTATATATTTAATACTGATACCTCTCATAAAGATAAACATAGAAAACTAAAAGAATTACTCCTAAGTCAAATTTCTTAAAAGAAGAAGCAAAACCCAAGCTCTCCTTATAGTCTACTTTCAAATTACAAAAAAAAAACAAAAAAATGAATGAGGATGAATTAATAAATGAACTTGTTGCTGTTAAATGAATTTTACAAAAAAATTAAAATTTGATTACTTATTTTAATAGTAATTATAAATAAGATTATCTATTTGATGAAAGGTGAAATTAATTCCCTCCACAAGCAAACAAACATATTATTTATATTATCAGAAATAATATAGTACGAATACATTATTATGCATTATTAAAGATCGTGTCTGTAACAAATAAAATTTACTGACATTTTTTTTCTAATTTATTCTTTTTTTCTGAAAAGAATTTGTTTAAGCTTTTCAATACAAAAAAAATGAAAAAGCTATTTCAAAGTACAAATTCGGTATAAAAAAATAATTATTATTTTAATAAAAATGTATATATAGGTGAAATTTATTTTTAAGTTTACCTAAAATAAATTGTTCACAAACATTAAATTTTCAAAGTAATCAAATATTTAACTAGTATTAATCAATTAATTTTATATTTAAAATGGATGAGGTATTTTATTGTATTTTTCATATAAAAATTGGCAATCATTATGCAATTAGCTAGAATCAATTTATTAAAATAGAATAATATATTTTTCATGAAAAATAAATTAAAAATCTTAATTAGTGAATAAGTAGAGTGAGTAAATCAGATATATTGATTGTTGGATGGATAATAATAGTATCAGCTTTAATTATGCGTTTAAATGGATCTAATCATAAAGATTTTTTTAGATGCTAAATTAGTATACACAGTAAGAAAATTCAAGAAGAGCTCACTTGTAAATTTTCGTGGAAATAAAAAAGAAAGTTAAGAGAAGGAGATTAATAGAAAAAAAGTTAAAACTAAGAAAAAGAAATTAATTAATTTATTTCAAAAAATTTGAAAGAGGAAAAATTGAAAAGAAAAGATAAATTTTAGAAAAATAATTATGAATAAAACCAAAGTTTTTAAATCCCCATAAGCAGTAATAGAATTTCATTTATAGTGAATTAGCTTTACTAAAAGCGATTCATCCTTCATCAATCCATTTTATAAAAAAATGAATTTCATTATGCTTATATGAGATACCCCCCACCAACTGTTTTATCATAAAATTATCATCTAAGATATTTATCATAATAGAAAGCATCTACATTGTAGATGGGAATTGTCAAAAATAAGGTCTCTTTTTAACAATAATTAATTTTAAAATATCATTTTAATCGCTAATTGAGAATTACAATCTCTTTCTTATCTAATACAAAATTAATTTTAAAAAATCATTCTGACTATAAATAAATAAGCACTTTAAAATCCACAACTTAAAAAATAAAATTTAACTTGAAAATAAAAAATAAAAAGAAAATAAAAATTAAATTAGTAAAAAAGAAAAACAAATCAATTTAAATAAGTAAAAATAAAAGCAAACTAAATAGATGAACAAATAAAAATAAAATTTAAATAATATTTTAGGAAAGATTTAAGCTCAAATTTAATAATTTATAAACATAATTTATTTTTTTGTTTCATTTAATGTTTTTTATTAATATTTTTTTGAAAATCATAAAACTAAATCCTTGTCATTAATAAATGTATCAATTAACTTAAATCTTAAACAATTTACTATACTAAAATATCTTTTCAATTTAAAATACAGTAAATTAATTTTATTCAAGGTGAATATCTTTTTAATTTATATTTATTAATGATTTTACTTTCTACTAATAATTTAAATATAAATATTATTTTCACAATTATATATGATTGATTAAGGATTTTTAAAAGCTGAATTTTTAAAACAACTTTTGTCATATAATATTTATCATTAAATTATTATTATTTAACAAAAATTATTTAAAAATTGCAATGACATCATTTTAAAAAATCCTTCCATATATATAAGATGTCATAGTGTAACACAAAAAATGCTTATTTTATTAATAATATATAGAAAATCATAAAGCTTTAGTTTCTGTTAATTGTATCTTAATCTGTAAGAACTAAATATATACTATATTTATTATCGCATTCTTATCATACGAATTATTATGTTTTCTTTTGTAAAATAATGTTTAATAAATAAATAAATTTTGTAAAAAAGTGGCAATTAAGAGTAAAATTATTTTTATAGATTCTTAAATTCAACTAGCAATATTTGATTTGATTTGCCTGCAATCAAAAACTATTGAAAATACTATTTACAAGTAAAAAGTGAGTTGTTGTTTACTAAAATTTAAAAATCAAATAAAAAACCTAAAAACGAAATAATACTACTTTTGAAATTTGAATAAACATTTATTCATTTAAATAAATTAGTTTACTTTTTATAAAATCAATAGTTAATTTTTTTACAACTATTAAATTCAATATTATACTCATAAACAGTATTAATTAATACATTTTAAATATAATAAAAATAGTATAAGTATTGATTTTAATTATTTGTTGAAGGATGATATGATTATCTACTAAATTAAATTTAAAATAAATTCTTAATATAAATATATTTATCTGTATATAAATTTAAATATATTCTGGTATGCATGAATTAATCAGTAAATTAAAAGAAAATTGTCGATTAAAATATTTTAAGAGAATAAAATTTCAATTAAAATTTAAATTTGATGAACATAAAAGAATTTCTGTATAAAACGTTAACATCAAATGGATTATATAAATTGATATAGTTTCAATTATAAATAAGAATCCTGCTTAGTAAACAAATTTAAATGTAGAAATTAATTAGCTTATTATGTTAGTATCATCACAATTTTATTAAAATTAAAGGCAACTCTATTACATAAAATACATAAAAAATTAGCTTAAGTTTTTATTGATGATAATTTTTAACCTTTTTTTTTCATAAGCCTAATTCACTTAAACTCTTGTAATCATCAGGGCGTGGCTATCCACAGGGCCAAAAGAATTTTCTATCACTCTCATTAATCTAAAGATCGTTAATAGAAGCATGTCTTTTTTTCATAAGTCCATTTTCATCGAACTCCCAATTTTCATTTCCGTAAGCTCTAAACCAAACGCCATTCATATCTTAGTACTCATAAGCGAATCTTACTGCTATTCTGTTTTCAGTAAAAGCAAATAATTCTTTGATTAGTCTATAATTTTATTCTTTTTGCCATTTCTTTTTTAAAAATTCTACTACTTCTTATCTTCCATTTACAAAATCTGAGCGATTTCTCCATACAGTATCTTCAGTGTAGGCTAAGCAGACCTTTTCTGGTTTTTATCCGTTCCAATTATCTTCTGCTAATCTAACTTTTTTGATAGCAGTTTCTAGAGTAAAAGGAGGTACTAATTTAACTAAGTTTTAAACTTTCATTTTTATTATTGTAAACTTATATTTTATTTGTTATTTATTTTATGATGTTTTCTTGAAACCCATACAAGCATTTATACTGTGAAACTTCATATGTTTTTTCAAAGTAATTGAAGAACATTTATTTCATTCTAGATGATTAAAGTTTTTTTTCTGGACTAATTTATGACGAAATCATAACATTTAGTTTAAAACCAGTTAAATAAACTAATAGAAAATTTTATTAAGTCAAATAAAATTGTTAATTTTTAAGCACTTAATGCAAATACATTAAAGTAAACTTGATTTTTTAATCCTTTTTTTCAAGAAGGTTTTGATATTTTCTAAATTATTAGAAATTGTTCTGGAAGAAATTATGTTAAATAGTATTTATCGAAATTTAGAAATAGATTTGAATGATTCTCTGATTATCTTTCTTTTAATTTCAAATAAATATTTAATTTTTTAATATAAGCTCGATCTAATAATCTAAACCAATAGCACATAGTTCAAAGATGTCAAAATACAATTAATTCTTTTTAAATTAAATATTAAAATTGACAATTTATTATTTAGAATATTTTGTGATTAATCCTTATTTAAAAACAAAAATATTCAATATATTTGATAAGGATAAATCAATTTTTTTTAAATAATAAAATAAATGGGCATTGAAAAATCTCTAATTAATTAATACTTGATAATTAAAAATGTAAATGAGATTATTAATAAAAATATTTAGAGTTTAATTTTTTTTAATAAAGATTGAATAGCTTATCCATCTTTTTTATACTTTATAAATAATATAATAGATGAAGATACTACAATTTATCTTAAATGAATGTTATGTCAAAAAAAAATATTTATTTTATTGAAAAATAATATATTATTTAAAAAATTTTTTTTTAAATTATTTTATAAATAGAATTTATTTAAATAATAATTTAAATATTCAATTAAGCTTTATATAAATAATATTTTTTAAATAAAATCGTTTTTTTTTATTATAAAATTCTAACTTAACAAAATAAAATAAGGTTATTGAATAAAATCAAAAATTTCTTTTCCTTTTTTATTTTAGTTTCTTAAAAAAATAGTAGATGAAATTTAAATTAGTTGGGAAATAAAGTGAAACATGAATTAGAATATTTAAAGAGAGCAAGCAAGCAATCAATTCATATTGTCAGAGGAGAAAAAATATTTATTCTAATAAATAAAAAAGCATAAAGTGGAAAAAAAAGATAGTTAATATTTTTTAATAGTAAATTAATAAATAAATCAAATCAAAAATAAAATTTTTCAAAGAAATAGAAAATGTAATTTGACTACTCTAGTGATGATGAAAATGAAATCCAATCAAGTGGATCAAAAGATTGCTAAGATACCTAAACTTTGCAAGAAAATGAAGGAAATTAAAAGTAAACTTACTTTAACAAAGAAATATTTAAAAAGTTAAAAATAATGTGATAAAATAAATATAGCAATAACATAGCAATCAATGCTGATTCAGATAAAAAGAGCTTGGATGCTAACGGAAATAATGACAGTACTTATTTGATTCAGAAAATAGATAATGAAGTAAAAATTATACAAGATCAGCAGCAAGAAGAGCAAAAATAGCAAGAGTTTAAATAGTATTAAGAAAAATTCGAAGAACTAACTAAACAAATATTAGATAAACAATTAACAATAGAATAGCTTCAATAAGAGTAAAAATAGCAAGATTTTAAATAGTAATAAGAAAAAAGTGAACTAACTAAACAAATATAATATTAAGAATTAAATATAGAATAGATGAAATCAGAAATTGATGAATTCAAAATTTAAGAATAATTATTAAAGTAATAAAAAAACAAAGCTTAAAATGAATTAGATGTAACAAGAAATTAACTTTAAGAATAAACTAGTTTGAGATTTGATGCTGAAAACAAACTAAATCAATTATATAATGAATATTTAAAATTAAAAAATGAAATGGATCAGAATAAAATCTCTGAATAAAACAAGATTAAAGAGAAAGGTAATTTCATAAAAATATTTTGTTTGTTTGTTTGTTTAAAATAATTTAAATATTTTTGAAAAATAATAATTTAGAGGAAAGTAAAATCAAATTACTCTAATGGTAAGAAAATTAGAAATACTACGATGGAATCTAAAAAAATTAATAGATAAGAACGGTATAAAGTTAAAACTTTATTTAGGCTATCTAGAGATAACAAAAATTTTAATAATAATACCAAAATAATAACTTGATGACAATAAACATTATCCAATAAGTCCATGCTTAATTGCCAGCATAACAAAGTGCTCTTGAAAAGAAAAAAAAAAAGCTTTAAAAAACTTTCTATACACAAGAAAATTCTGCAAGTAATAAAAGCGAACCACGCATATCTCAAAGATTTAATTCAATACAAAGTGTAGAAAATAATTTCTAAGTAATTTATAGTAAATCATCAGACAAAGGTTACAACGCTTTTAAATCACAATTAAGATAATCTTATGGCTAGTAAAAATAATTTTATTTTACTCCTTTAACTATTAAAGAGATTATTTGTGGAGAAGATGGTGAGTATAGAGGAAACTAAGTGAAGTAAAATAAAGTACTGAATTTGCTAAATCAGGAAAATATAACTCATGCTGGCTAAGTACGTGGAGATGGTAATTGCTTTTTTAGATCTATAATCATTTTATATTTGAAGATTAAGATTTCCTAAATTTAAAATGATAGAAATAAACTTAATAACTTCTTTAGTCTTTTAAGAAGCGTAAAAATAGAATAACCAACCAATTTCAAAGAATACTTCTAAACATATGAAGCCGAATAATTGGTAAATTATGCTAAAAAAGGCCTGGAGGAATCTTTAAATAAAATTTTGCAGAGCTAAAACCCTCTTCAGTAATTTATCGAAGAATTAAACTAAGAGATATTTGACTTTGCTTTGTAGCTTCTAACCAAATCATTGTTGCTATAGGTTTTTTAAGAATCTGAAGCTGTTAAAATGTATCAAGATGAAAAAAGTTTAAAAGAAGAAATTTTAGATTTAAATAAAGAGGCAGGTTCAGATGTGCTAAACATTCTCATAGAATCGTTATTAAATTGCCAATTATATCTGTTGAAATGTGACAAAAATAATAACATAGCATGGGAAAAAATTGAATACTGTTAGGAATTTTACAATGAAAAATTTTAACAATTTTTCCTTAGTGAAAAATAACCAAAGGATTTAAACAATGGATAAACAGATAAAGTGTATTTATGGTACAAAACAGGTCACTACTACTACCTTTTGACTGATAAATAGATGACACTTATTTAACAATCACTTTAAATTCAGTCCAATAATTCTTATAGCGAATTTAACTAATAAGTATTTTAATAAAATAATTACAGCTATGACTAAGTTCAATCATCAGGTAACGATTAATTATTTCTAAATGAATAATTATAAAAAAACAATTCTTTAAGACATAACGAATCTAATAGCTAAAATTATAATAATTCCTTTTAATAAATACCACAAACAATTAATCTATGTTAATAAGAATCAAATTAAAACTAATATGAAATTGTTTAGTAATAGAACTAATAATTCTAAAGATAAGGTACTTAACAAGAATTTAATAAAAATAACAGTAATAACTAATATCATTTTGATCAAAATATTTAAAATAATGGTGTTAATAACTATAATTAATAAAATGCCATTTATTACAATCAAGTTAATAATAATAGTAACTAATAAGTCATCAACTAGAATTAAGCTAACTATGCTGAAAATTACTAGTAAATGAACTAATTTGAAAATCAATAACAGTAACAGTAACAACAACAACAATAACCACAAAATTATATGAATTATAATGGTTAGAATTAAAATAATTTCAACTAAAATGGACTTTAGCAGATTCAAAATCAAAACAGCTATGGCCAACCAATACCTTAATAAAATTAAATGACGAATAATTTTGTAAATGGCAATTAGCAAGTTTAGCCCCATTAGAATTAGTATAACTATTAGTAAAATCAATAAAACAATTATAATCAGAATAACTATTAAAATTATTAAGTTGATTAGAATTATTAAAATTATAATAATAACTAATAATTACAATAATAAAATCAATAAATGGTATATTAGAATAATGAACAATAAAAGTAGTTTGTTTTTTAAAATTATTCATAAAATATTAAATAATAATAGTAATAAAATTGAAACTATTTAGGATATATTCAAATAATTAAAATAGTTTTTAAAAAATCAAATTAATTAATAAATTAATTGCTAAAATTGAAATAGCTACCAAAATAATTAATTAGCAATTAGAAATGGAAACCTAAACTAAAATTAAAAATGATAGAATTATAACAGCTTAATAGAATTATTCATAAAATTAATCATATATATTAAGTAAAAAATGTGTTGTATGTATTTACTTATAGAATTATTATTGTTTTTTTTAGATATTCATAATTAATTTAATTAAATATATAACTAAATATATTTATTATATTCATCAATGTACATTCAAGTAGTTCTCTGTAAAAAAATCTTTTTTAACTTTAAATATATTTGATTAGACAATTATAATACAATTTTATAATGTCTTTAAATATTTAAATCATAAACCATTAATCCTCAAAAATTAACACCTTTATTACCCTATTTAGGTAAAGACTAAGTTGATATTACAATTTTTTTATAAAATTTTACTTAAAATTGAATTAAGGAAATTAATATTAACAATAGCGTTAATTCAATTTTTTATTTTTGAGAAAATTTTTTAGATTATATATAAATTATTCATATATTTTCAAAGAAATATAGCTATTCCTGCATTTGAAATATCACCAATTATTAAAGATATCGTAATTTGTGATATTTTAAATGATTATTATATTAGTTATGAATATTTTTTTGCTCTACAAGGTGGTTTTTAAAATGATTTTTCTTTTTTTTTTGTTAGCCTGCAGACAGAATGAATGAAGTAAATATAAAATTTGAGTTAATATTATCTAAAATAAATTACATCTACTTATTGAAAAATAAATGATTAAAAAAGTAGCTTTAAAACATATTTTAATTAAATTTTTAAAATGATCTTATTGACAGAGAAGAGCTTTTTAGAATAAATTATTAATATTCTTTCATTTTTTGTTAAATAGCATACCTTTAATTACTACATATCATACATATTTATATTTTTAAAGAGAGAGAATTAATTATAGTAATTAGATATTTATTTTAATTTAATTTATTTACTTGAAGGGTTTAAAAAAAATATTGTTTTCATATGGGTTAAATTATATGAATAGTTATTTATTTTAAATTAGAAGAAAAGAGAAAACCAACCATATTTCTTAAATTGTGGTGAAATACTTATCCTCTAATTTTGATTAGTAACATAAAAATGAAATTTATAACAAAGAAAAATAGTTTTTTATGGAGAAAAATGCAAGAAAGATATGAGGAAAATATTAAATATTCTAATAAATAACTTTATATGCAAGGATGAATTGAACTGAATTGTACAGTATTATATAATTTATACATCAATAATCTCAACTAATAAAGAAAATAAAAAAGTACTAAAATAATGGATTTCGATTCTTTTCAATCAGACGATTCAGAATAAGAATAAACAGAGCTTAACACTGAAACTTAGTAAGGTCAAGATGTTTTAGAAACCTAGCAGCCTACAACTGAAGGAGGCTAGTAAATATAAAACAAAGAGAAACAAGAATTTATGTAAATTTTATTATTTCATTATTATTTACCAAAAATACTTTTAAATGTTAAAAGAGCTGATATAAATTCGGATGATAAAAAGAACAAAGATTGCTAAATTCCTATGTCACCAATGCAATAAAACGTTATGATAAAAAATTAATCCTACGTATGCACTCCTTCCGATGAAGAAGTACAAAAAAGTTAATAGAGCTTGGAGAATTTGTAGAAGCAAGAAAATATTCCAATATAATAGGAATTAAAATAAGAGGTTTTGGATTCATAAAGCAATAACAATATTGTCAGTAAGTTGGAGATAAATGAGCTGAGCTAAATGAAAAATGATTATGAAGCCATAATTTCAAAGAAAGATGAGTAAATATAAAATTTAGAATAGCAAAAATCTGAGTTAAAAGAAGTAAATTTGTAGCTTGAAGTCTAATTGAACAATCTATAAGGTTAAAATTCATAAATGGAACAAAATAATTCTTAGCTTCAAAGCAGTATTGAATAATTGAAGCAAAATATTGAAGTCATATAAAACAGTTATACTCAGTTGCAATATAATTAGAATATGCTTTTGTAATAGCTTTAATTTTATTAAAATAAAGAGCAAGAGCAAATTAATGAACAAATAAATCTCGCAAGTAAAATTTTTCAATTTACTTAAAATATATTTAATTTTTATTAATACACTTAGAATTGAAATAGGGGGCTAAAGATAGTATAAGCAACTGGGTTAACTAATAAGATGAAGCTACTAGTATGGTCATATAAAAGATCAATTCTCAATTAGGTTAAGTTTAGATTAATCCTATCTAGAAAATGTAAAGAGAATCTAAATTTAATATACCATAGCAGCAATCTAGCTTAAACATTTTAAATGTTAATCAAATCAAGCAAGCAAGTTCTTTAACTAGTAGTACTAAAAAAGTTTCTTTGCTGTAAAAGTTAAAGATTAAACTTTCAAACAAATATAGTGACAATCCACAATCACAAAGTGTAAGTCCTTCTAATACTTTATAGAATTTAGAAACTCCCACATCCTAAAATCTCATATTAAGTCAAAAATTGCAAACATTAAACTCAAATCCAAACTAAAACTAAGACTTTTAAGTGTTATATTCAAAAAAATCTAGTAATAAAACCAGTGAAAACAAAAAAGATGAGATATTTAAATAGGAGATTATCCCTTAATAATATCCTTAACCATTTGAATTACAATAAATGATGGAAAGTTAAATAGTTGATAAAATTTTACCAAGCTAATTTCAATAATAAAATGAGTTCTTTGATTTAGAATAAATCAGCAAACCAAACCCTCAAAATTAAGATGAATAACAAAATGGAACCTCAGAATAAAATTTAGATTAAAATCCTTATCATATTAAAAGTGATTTTAATTAGCCAAAAACTGCATATTTTACAAATTAAAACCAATAAGATTAAAATTAAGGTCAATATTAGTAAGATAACTAATTTTATAACTAATAACTTTAAAACTAAAATTAAGTGATGAATGATAATTACTAAGGATAGTACCAATAACCATACTACTAAAATCCCCAGCAAAATTTTACATTTGCTCGTTAATTTAATAATTAGAATACAGAAAATGTCAATCCCAATTAATTTATAAATTAATAAAATATCTAATAATAACCATTTTCATTTAAATAATAAGTTGTAGATAACAATCAATATTTTTAAAATGGATTTAATCAAATGGACAACAATTAGAATAAGTCAGGAAATTATAATAACTAATTTAATTAATATCCCTAATAACAAACAATAAATTAACAGAATTAAGGTATGAATTAGCAATAGTAATTTGGAAGCAATCAAAAGATATTAAATTAGGATAATTAAGGAAATGAAATAAACTAATTTGGAAACATTAATTAATAAAATATCTAATAATAACCATTTTCATTTAAATAGTAAGTTGTAGATAACAATCAATATTTTTAAAATGGATTTAATCAAATGGACAACAATTAGAATAAGTCAGGAAATTATAATAACTAATTTAATTAATATCCCTAATAACAAACAATAAATTAACAGAATTAAGGTATGAATTAGCAATAGTAATTTGGAAGCAACCAAAAGATATTAAATGAGGATAATTAAGGAAACGAAATAAATCCAGACACAAACAACTAACAAGGAGGAGTGCAAAATGATTCAGGAAACAATTAGAACTAACTTGAAAATAATTAATATTTCTAAACAGGCTAAAAAAATAATCCTGGAAATTAGATATAATACTTTGGAAATAATCAATAAGTTGGTTCAAAAAATAATTCTGGAGATTAGAAATAATACTTTGGAAATAATTTCTAATAAGGAGTTATTCAATAAGCAGTAGGTTTATAAAATAGTCCTGGAAATTAGGTACAATACTTTGGAAATAATTTCTAATAAGGAAATAATCAATAAGTTGGCTCAAAAAATAATTCAGGTAATCAGATAAAATACTTTGGAAACAATGCTCAACCTCAAAAGTAAATGATAAATTAAGGGTTCTAAAATAATCAGTAGTAATAATAAGACGTAAATTAATAATCTAATGGTTAAAATAACAAATCAGGAAATTATAAAAATTAATTTTCTAATAATTCACAAGGAAATAACTTATAAATGGGACAACCACAATAAGCTTATAATAATGCTTAATTCTAAAATAATCCTTAAAACATTAATTAATGGCAATAATAATAATTTAAAATTGCTTAAACAAATTTTGGATATGATTTTAAATAAGATAATAGCACAATTGATACAAAAAATATAAATTTCACTCAACAATAATATAGATTTGCTTAAAACCCTTAATTTTAATCATGAAAAAAAGAGATTTTACTTTTTTATTTCTAGATTAAATACATGAAAGATCAAACAAAATTCTGTTTGTAGTACACAGATGATAAAGAAATGTGAATTCCATTTACAAATAAAGTTTGAATGGATAAATTGAATATACTAACAAACAAATATAGAATTTTATACAAAGTTTTTGTTTCTTTCCTTTGTTTGTTTGTTTATTTGTTTGTTTTATGCATAAAATAAATATTTGTTTTTTTATTTAGAAATTCTTATTAAATTTTTGTTTTTTATGAATTAATTAATTATTTATTCAATTAAATTTAGGAGTTTAATCATTTAAATAGTAATTATTTTAGCCAAATTTAAGTTATTATTGATTATAATTTTACTATTAATAATCTTATTGGGTTTATTGATTTTATAGATTTAATCTTATATCACTATTACTATTCAAATTTTGGCCGTATTAGTTGCCATAAGTATTCTGATAACTGTTTCTTGAACCAAAGTCGATGTTATTATTTTACCCGTTATTTAATAAGATTTATCCACTTTACCTAGGTTGCTAATTAAACAGTATTTATTGGGCACCTTAATTATCTTATTACTGTTTGTAGACAGTGTATCTTAAGTAATCATCGTTACCTCTAGAAGGAATAACGTACTTTTGCGGGGATTCAACTAACCTTTATTGACTATTATTCACATCATAAACACTCATATTGCCATATTGACCTAATTAATTTTGCTAATTTTGGATAACTGTCCCCTTGATGCTATCTCTGATATCATAAATATTCTAAGCTGCTGAGACTTCAATTTCATTGTGAATAATATGATAGTGACTCATTTCATTAAATTCTTACATGATAACTTCCTTTTCTTACTCTCTTTATTTTAATTTTGTCATTACTTAATTCTAAATATCTAAAAAAGTTCGAGATGGCTATTAACTAGAGAGGACTAAATTTACAGGTACTTGGAGGATTAACGATTGAACAGAGCAGCCCTCAAAATGAGCTTTTATTTCTACATAGTAATAATTTGAGGTAAAAGTTCCTTTTACGGAAGGAGGTAGGGGAAGATTTGAGTTGTAGTTCACAAACTAAAAGCTATTACTTAGCTAAGTTTCTTTTGAATTTGCCTTAACACCTTCATATATCTACTCTCTTATGCATTGCTTAAATAAAATTAGTTAATTTTATTAATCAAACTGAGCTTTAGGTAGTTTTTAGTTTTCAGGAATTTGAGTTTTTTTGCTGTAAACTTACCACAGTGTAGCTGAAAAGGAGGTTATATCCAAATCACTTTAGTTATGGACTAATATTGAAAGTGTGCCCTGTTCACCATTTGTATAAAACTAGCGATCAAAAGAGCACATGATCCTACATTCTCTCTAATTTACACATCCAAAACAACTATATATAGTTTTAAATATCTCAGCTGTAAAATGTTGCTAAGGCTATACACTCAAAAGCTCTCTGACATTCACTTTCTCTTTAGAAACAATAGAAAGCTGAGGATTAAAGCTATTTTCAATCTTACAAATAATTTTGTGAGTAATTTTACCTTTAATTCTTCCATCGAAAACACTGTAAGTACCAGGAGTATTAAAATGTAAATTAATCTTGAAAGGAAAGATGTGTTTACCTGCTTTTAAAATATTTTAATCATCAGAATATGACTGAGATATTTTGCTTATATGATTAAATAACTCTTTTTTTGGAAAAGCAATTTGATTAACAGCTTTTAAATCTTTAATCTTCTCAACACCTAAAAATTGTAAACTCATTTCTTTTAATGGAAAATCCATGTAAAGTCTTAGCAATATCCTTCCCTGTATTGGCTCTCCAGGATAGAAATGAGGCTTGTTGAGGACAATAATCATGCTCCCATAGCTGTTACTCAAGCTTTAATTATTTTACTAGTTGTTCATTATTGATTAATATGCCTATAATATTCTTTTTGAATTGAATTTAATAACAACTTGCTTCTATTTTTTAATATTTATAAAATATTTGCTATATATATAAGAATTAATAACTATGATTTATATGTTTATAATACTGTAGTTTTTGATTAGAATATATATAATAAATAAAAGTAACAAATTTTTATCAAATAAAATATCTTAATTTTTATTTAATCATTTATTGTTAATTAATTAGCAAATATTTGATTGATATTCTTTAACTGGAAATTTATTTTTATGATATCAGTAAATTTAAAAACGATTATTTAGATTAAATGAAATAATCTTTAAAAATTTTTAATATAATTAAATGAGTAAAAGGATTATATATTAATATAATCATAGCAACACACAGAACACCAACCTTTTAATTTGAACATAAAAATAAAGAAGCTTTCACAAATAATCTAAAAAATCAGCTTTTATATGTATTAGGCTTATTCTGCTAGATTAATAGCTGTAAAACTCACTTTGAAATTAGCTAATTGCTGCCAATCTTATAAAGGAAGTCTTTGCTCTTTTATGCACTTTAAGGAGGGTAAGATTTCTATTTGGTAGTATAGAGCTTGTACAGAAATCTTCAGCGTTTGCTGGTACTGCTTCCTCTAATATATTTCCATACCCATTATATAGTCCAAGTTTTTTAGTTCCAATAAATACAAAATTTATGTTTTTATGAAAATAATCAAAATCTTATTCACTTAGCTTTTAGTTTAATCAAAAAATAAATGAATAAATTACCATGAAATAAAAATTTGATAATTTTTTCAAATTTACCTTGAGTTTTTCTATTAAAATCATATCTCCAATCATATCCCTGTGGTCTGTATTTATTGTAACCATTTTACTTTTGTTTAAGTCTATATACTTCAATACACCATTCTTAGATCCAACGATTATAATATTTTTAAAACTCCTTGGAATACTCATACAGTAAATAGGAGTTTTTAAATTAAATGTCCTTTCTAAACAGCAATCTACAAGCTATGGGTTGAAGCTATTCAGACTTTTAGTACCGTCTGACCTATAATCAATTAACCAAATCTTTAAGATATCTCCACTTGACGCAGCAAATCTCTTCTATCTTTTTAATATGTAAATTTAATCAATTATTTAATAAATGTCTCATACTTTTCTATCAAACTAATAGTCATCACCATACTTTCAAAAGCAAAGGATAATCTGAAAATCTATTTAAATTTTGTTAAACAAACAAACATATTATAAATAATATTAATATTTCCTAAATTCGATTACTTATTATGATTTAAATACTGCCCAAATTATTAATTCTCCTGTGTCATCTCCACTAACAACATTTTGTTCATCTTCAAGCGAAATTATTTACGTCACCCAACCCGCGTGACCTTGTAATTCTGTGTAAGCTTTATTGACATGCACAGATGGGTCAGGTAAAAAATCGAAATCCCATACTTTAATTATTTTATCTAATCCACCTGTCAATAAAAATAAACCTAAATTGCTTAAACTCTTTGATGGATTCTCAGAAATTTAATTCTGCAAATATTGAAGGTCATCTTCATTATAGTAAAAATTTTCTCTGTTTTTATCATTTGAGTATTTAAATACACAAAGACAAGTAATACTATTTCTATCATGAAGTTACTTCATCATGACACCATCTTATAATCTCCATATTTTAACCGTCCTATCATAAGACGATGTTGCAACAACGTCTTCTGCTAAAGAAACTATAGCAGTAGCACTGTTTAAATGTAAAGTGCTGTTAGTAGCCACAACTTAAAAATTATATTTTAGCATATCAAATAATCTATAAGAATTTATTCTAACAGATTTCTTATTATAAGAAATCAGATTCTAATTTGCCTATTTAAGTAAAATATATTTTTCTAATTTTTCCACATAAGGAATTATAAAAATAATTTAAAAATCAAACTTGATTTTTTGTTAAATTATGTTAAAGAAATCTTTCATAAAAAGATTTTATAATCAAAATTATTTTTAATGCTATTTATTGAATGAATGATATTCAAAAATTAGCAATTCGATATAGGTTAAATAAAAATATAATTATACTTCTATAACAGATTCTATGTTGAGATTTGGTGCATCTTTAAGGTTAAGCTAAACGTCAGCCTCAAGATCTTATACAACTTAAACAACTTTTTTCATATGTTTATCATACATTATTTAATCAATTAATGGATATTTTTCATTCCAATTAGCTATGCTTTCAGCTAGATAATTTAAATTACTTAATACTTATCCTTCTAAATTAGCACTTTTTCTCAAGTTACTTAAAAAATGATAAGCTTGAATAGGTGATTTAACTAAAATTTTTTATTTAATATTTCTATAGTCTGAATATTTAGTGTAAGTTTCATCAGGATTGTAACCTTTATATTACTACTTAAAGTAAAGCATATTCAACCTATAGGTTTCAAATTATTTTTAGAAGTAATGTTCAGCTAAATGCTTAACTCTCTCTAAATGATGCATAACTAAACTCCCTATTTCATCTAAATTTTTATAAAGCAGCTATCTTTACTGATTTAATAAGCTTTCAAAATTATTGTGATAATATGCTTCATTTTATAAGATCACTTGTATATTTTTATGCAAAAAACTTGAATTAGGAGCAGCCAGTCTACCTATTTCTGAAGCTATATGATGAAGATAGTCAGAAAATACCATTATAGATTATCTATGTTATTCTGTATGTCCCTAGTCTTCAGCTAGGCACTATTCACACATAATTGAATTATTTTCACAGTTATATTCTATGCATCCATGAGTAATAACATTACCAGGATGTTTGTGACAAAATATACTAAATTATTTAGATTGCATCATAGGATCAAGTTAACTCAAACTAGATGTCATTTTGAGTGACTAAGATGTACTATTCATATTTTAAATAATTTAGATTATTCGTTTAGGTTAATTTTTTGGTCAAATAATGTTTCGTTTATAGTATTTGTTGCGTATATCTTAAAATTCAGCTAATAAATTAATGATATTTTGCTATTATTCTAATTTTACTAAAATTATAATTGTATGTATATATGTCTGTATGTATGTCTTTATCAAAATTTTACTTTTTTAAAAAATTATATTATTTTGTCATCAAAGTAAAATTTATTTTATTAATTTTCTTATAAAATAAAATAATTTTTTAAAGGATTTTTAGATATTTAAAGAAACATAACTATGGAGGAAGAGGTAGAAAGAGAGAGAGAGAGTGCTGTTAATTGTTTATTGAATATAGTTTCAATTATTTATATTTGAATTGATATTTAAAAGGAATTTTTAATGTAATTAATTATGGAAAAAGTTTTAAGAAAGGCAACTTTATTTATTTATTTATTAGTATTAATGAATATAATAACTATAATTTTTATCATCTAATAATATTTATCTTCTCTTTAAATCATTAATATACACATATACAACTAAAGTAAAATAAATCAAAAAATTATTAAGCTCTTTCAATTTAGCAGACCAACCATACATAATAAAAAGTATCAATGAACACTTAATTAGAATAGCCTGGAAATTATGAGTTTGCTGCTGCACCTTAACCACTTGGTGCTAAAGGGAAATATAGAGACTAAAATGACTAAGGGTATACACATTTTTTTTTCAAGATTTGTTTATATTTTCAACCACTAATTTCATTATTTGAATTATAATGAATTCTAAAAATTTTATTTTAATCACATATAGCGGAGCTTACTTGTTGATGGATAAGGGAAATAGAAGCAAGGTATTATATACTTTATTGATTCTTACTTTACAAAAAGGTTTAGCGAAATTCGTTATATTAAGATACTTTAAGCATAGTTCAAAATGATTAATCAAATTCAGCAGTTATAGATTATGCAATCTATAGTAATAATGATTACTAAGATCAAATATAAGAATTATGCTTACTTTGATTACTAAAAAATAGCAAAAATAAATCAATTTAGAATTTAAATAAAGTATTTATCAGTAAATGGGGAAGATTTGAAATAAAAAATGAATGAGTTTAAAACAGTTCTTTTTGAAATTAATTTATATAAATGAGATATTAATTTAAGAGTTATATCTTAAACAAATTTTATTTAAAATTTAAAAGGGCTTTTAGTAATAAGCCTAGAAAACTGGAAATATGTCAAAATCAGAGGGATAATTTATGGAAAGTGATGAAGCATTCTAGACAAATAATCCAAATACTAACTACTTAGAACCATTATAAGATGAAATAGAGGATGAAAATGAGATAGAGCCAGATTTTTATGTTGATAGGCCAGTAATAAATAGATCAATTAAAATAAATTTAAATATAATTTGAAAATTTAATTTCATTCTTTTATAAAAGCCTACTCCTGAGTTTAAGCCAAAGGAAAGAGGTATTGATGTTTCTACACAAATTATTGATGGCGAGTTGTTTGATTTTCAGCTAGAAGTATGTTTAAATTTTATAGAGATTTATGATTTGTTACTTAATTTATATTTAGGTTGAACCCATCCTCTAAGTCCTTGTTGGAAAAACTGTAGACCAAGCAAGAATGGAGCTCATTGAAGAATATGAATAAGCAGAATTAAAAAAGCACAAAGTAAAATTCCATTTTTATTATTTGAACGAATTAAGTTTTTGTATATTTTTATACTTAGGCCCAATTTGAAATTAAGAGAAATGCTGAACTTATGGTTACTTAAAGAATGGAAGCAGCATACATAAGAAGATAAGAAGAAAAGGTGAAAAAATATTTAATCTTGTCTGGATTTTATAATATTTATTTTTGTTTTTTTGTTTTATTAAAGGAAAGAAGAAATTGGTAGCATAAGCTAAATCGTGATTAGCAAAAATTCGCTCATAAAAAGCTAATTAGCAGGTTGCTAGTTAAAAGAGCTCTCAGTGATTTAAAACAAAATTCACTTAATGATTTAGAAAATTAAGGTTTCCTAAGGGATTAAATGATTCTTAAATTGAAAGCTAATTTCTTGCCTTGGGTTTTAAACACAACTATAGATTTTGTTTAGAACACAGACTCTATTGAGCATTAATTAGAAGAATTTGCAGATGAATTGCAAAATGAATTAGCAAATTAACACAAAGCTAACCTTGAGAAAGAAAAGAATAGAAGGGATTAAATTTTACACGAAAGAGAAGTATTAAGATAAGTAAGTTATATTTATCTGCTTTTATTTTATTTTGTTTGTTTGTTAACATTTCTGATAAAATTTATTAGAAAAAAGAGGAATACAAACGTAAGAAAGAAGAATGGAAGAGAAAGACATAAATTAATTAAGAAAGATAGTTGATATTAGGTAAACTATTATCAAAAGGGATTTTTTTTATTTGATTTGTATTTAAAAAGATTTTATCTATGAGAATATCATCAATAAAGCTGAAAAAATTGAAAATGTTAAAGATTGTGAGTTTGCCGATATTACAGGTGATAATAGAAGAGTACCAGTTAGTAAATCTATAAAATCATCATTTTAAATAACTAAAATATTTTAATTTAAATTAGCTAGTATTTTTGGAGGTTTGTTGAGTTAAATCTGGATAGCAGTTGAATCTGCTAATTTGATTTTACAAGAGAATCCATTAACTTAGAATTAAGTAAAAATAAGATAAATATAGTAAAATGAATGTATATAATTTTCTTTCTTTAATCAATAAAGATTAGAGATATTGTTGACTTAGTTTTAAGAGAGTTCAAGCATGGTTTGACAATTAAATTTTCTGAAAGTCAAAAAGAGTTTTATGATGAATTGGTTAAGCAGCTTTCAGAAGCTACAGAAAATATTCCTGAAGCAAGAGAATAATTTATTAATAATATATTAGAAAACGAAGAGATCTACATTAACGATTTAGATACTATCAGTTACTTAAGAAACGCTATAGAAAAAAGAAATGGATCGACTCAAACATTTAAAGAAATTCTTAAGATTCTCCTAGAATATCATGCTAAGAATATTAAGCCAGATCCTATTGATGAGCAAAAGTCAAAGGAGGAACACAATAGCAGTATAAGCCATCAAAGAGGCTCTATGAATGACTTAGATGATAAGTTGTATAGATAAAAAATAAGAATTTTATTCGAAAATACTAATGAATATATAAGAAATCATGCTAATGTGATTATTCGTTTAAGAGTACCTTTCTTAACTCAATAAGAAATGGAAAAAATCAGATAAGAAGCTGAAAAATAAAGTCAAGAAGAATAGAAATCATAAAATAACTCCTAATTATAATAAGAATAAGAAGAAGGAAGCAATCAGGTGTAAGAAAATTAAAAAGAGCAAGAAGCTTAAGGAGTTTAAGAATAACTTGAATAAGGATAAGAATAAGAGCAAGAGCAATAACCCGAAGAAGAGAAATGTAAGTACGATGTCTTTGTTGAAACATTTGATGGAGAAGGGTATAAAAGAAATCTCATCGAGAATCTTAATAACTCATAAAGTAAAAAATAAAAAATGAAATTAAACAAAATGTCAATTAATTTAAAATAATTATTAATAAATTAGGAAGACCACTTAACGAAGATCATCCTTCTTAAATAAATATATGGGTTAATGAAGAAAGACGTTTCCTTTATTTCGACGAAAGGACTTTATTCTATCTAGAAGCTGTTTTGCATAAAGTTATTAGAGATGTACTTGGAAATAAAGTTGAACCTATAAATGCTTCCTAATTTTCATAATACTTTGATGAAATCCAAGATCTTGTATTTGAAAACTTCCTGGGTGATGTGTATGAAGAAGAAAAAATAGAAAAAATACCTATATTTGATATAGATTTTGGGTTTAATTTACCTTCAGAGTGATAAAAAATAATTAAATAAATATTTATTGTTACAATATAAAAATATTTTAATTAAACTAATTTACTTAAAGAATAATGGATTTGTAGAGATATTGTTTAATTAATTAATTATAAAAAAGCTAGAAAATAAAACCATGTATTATATATTTCTATTACTTATTTTTATATAATTGCAATATTAAAATAGCTTCATATTAAATTATAATCATCTTCTTATCAATTTATCTAACAATCTATAAACATGAATCATAAATATCTTAAAATTAAAATAATAATATTTAATAGTGAAGAAAGATAGAAAGAAATATAAAGGATGAATTTTTCTTATGGCCTTTTTGGGTTTTAAATTATTATTGAGTTTATTAAGAAATATTTTTATTCTCAATTTGCTGTTTAACTCTTTAGTATTTTGTCGAGAATATATTAAATTAGATATAATTAAAATAAAAAAATAAGAATTTAAGTATTTTAAGGAATAAATATGAATAGATGAGTTCTTTATAAATATAAATTAAGTATATCTTACATAGTATTTTAAATATAAGCTTTAATGTTTAATTAAAAATGTATTCAATTTTTGAATTACAATTGTAATTGATCATTTGTTCATTCATTCATTTATTATATATATCCTACATTTCAAGAATATTTAATCAAAATCACATTTTGTAATTTATACATTTATTTATTTATTTGTTTAATTATTTAATTATTTATTTATTTATTTAAGGTAGTATTTTATTATTTGATAACTATTAAAATCAGTTTAAACATGATTATTAAAAATATTTATTTTTTTATTATACTTACTAATTGTATTTATTTATTTTTCATATTTTACACTAATGTTTTTTGTAGCAGTTAATTGTTGGTTGTTTAAGATTAAGAAGATAATAATTTTATGAACATCTATTTATTATCAATAACTTTATAGTTTTTTATCATTTAATTTTTAATTCTAATGAGAAAAATGATCACTAAAAGAGTTTGATCATGAGTTTATTAAATTATTTAAAATTCAAGGAGTTTTTAAATTTATTTATTTATTGCCCTAAGAGTCTGCTTTTTTGCTCAGTGATTATATGACGTACTTCTTTTTTTTTACAACTATTTGAATCTTTTTCTATTTAATAAGAATATTCACATTAAAAATGATTAAAATTGGAATGTTTATTGTTAAATAGGTGGAGGAATTACATAGTTATCAATATTTTACTTTTATTAAGACATATTAAAATTATTTTTGCTATTGAAATTTTAAAATACTAAAAAACGCAATTTATAATTGTTATTTATTTAATTATTATAAAATAAAAATAGAAATTACATTCTCATTTATACTTGTGCAAGTGTCCTTACCATTTTATCAACTACATGAGTTTCGTCTTCTTCAGCTACAACATCATCTCCTAAATCGAACTCAAAATCATTCATTTCTGTAGTACTAGTCTTATCGCAATTCGCTATTAATAAAATTATAATTAATATATATTTTTGGAATTAGCCAATAAAAAATAAATATGAGTGAATAAAGATTATGTATGAAATTTATTACCAAACTTCTTGGCTAAGTTGTTAGAATTAATTGTATTGGAAGTATTTCTATTTTGGTCATAGTCACTTGATTCAACTTCTGCATGTAAACGAGCTACTTTGCTTATCTGATTGCTCAAATCATTAACATTATCTGCTAATTCTTCTTTGTAGCTTTCTTCGTCTTCGTCTTTTATTTGTAGTTCTACTTTTTTAATATATTCTTATGTAGATTTTCTAGTGTTTTTTCTTTTAAAGCCAACTTCGAGCGTATTCTATTTTATATAATTTTGATAAGAATATTAAAATAAGGTTATTTTAATTAAAGAAAATCACATTATTAATCTTAGATTCTTGCGGATAATTATCCACTTCTTAATTCTTTGGAGAATCCTCACGATGATAGTTATCTATGAAGTTATTTTCAATTTTAATTGCGGGCATAGGATTTACTGACTTAAATTTCTCAAACATATTTCTTTTATCATTGGCACAGTTAGGTTCTTTTTATTTAAAATATTATTGGTTTTTAAAATGATAAAAATAAATAAAAAAATAATATTTTTTATAATCCAAATAAAATGTTTAAAATTAAGGAACTAAATATTAAATAAAAGTTTGTTTTACCATCTTTAATCCAATCAAATTTATCATCATACTAAAAATTTTCTTTCAAGAAGAGTGTACGAAATAGTTTTTTTAGGTAGTTGTAATTAGGCTCATCGAAAAATCCTAAGCTCTTCACATAAGTCATATATTTATTGAATTCGACTGGTAAGTCTTTACAAAGTTCTAGTAGAGGCGTTTTCATTTTTACTTATGAGATTAATTTTTAATGTTCTGATTTGTTTCTTGATTTTAAATTCATCCATGGCAAAGTTCCTTTCAAAAAGAAAATTAGAGTATAACCTAACGATTCTAAATCATCCCTACGAGATTATTCCATTCCTAAATATAAATAATTGTTTTAAATTATATTAAACATTATTTTTAATACAAAAATCTTGATTTTTCTTTACTCTAAAAAAACAAATTAGTGGGTTGATTGCTTGGTTTAATTAAATAGAAGACCGAAAGAAGTAAAAAATTTAAATATGTAATAGCCAATCATTAAATAGTAAATTTTAACTAATTCATTAGATAAAAAGTAAGATAAAATCACAAGCAAATGTTTCTTATTTGCTTCAAATTAATTTTTTCTACCAATTTATTTTTTTCCAAATATTTTTTTCCAGTAAAAATAATAAATTATTTGCTCTGATCGATAAATACTTTTTATTTTAATAGCTAGTTAATCAATCATACTACGCAGACAAATTATTTTTAATATTCGAGAGGTGTATTTACATTAATTTGTAAATTTTGTAATTGAAATTTCCCCTTATCAAAAAAAAGAAATGAAATTAATTGTTTATATATAACTTTCTTTACCTAAATGAGACTAAACGGAAGTGTACCTTGTAGTTCCGACTAAGCCAACTTTTTCAGAAAAATCTATGTGAGCTCCATTTTTCTTTAAATAAGATTTTGAGAGACCAAAATCAATTAAAAATATTTAATTTTTCTCAACTCCTCTGCCAATCATAAAATTATCTGGTTTTATATCTCTATGCACATAACCTCGTGAGTGAAAATGCTGTAAACGAGTGAGCATTTAATCAGCAATCATTAAAACTGTCTTCAAAGTAAATTTCTTTTTACAAATATTGAAGAGCTTATCGAGCGATTTATCTAAAAGCGTAGTAACCATAATATTTATTTTATCGTTTTTTATATAATAATACATTCTTGTAAACCCTTTTTCTGCTTTTAAATCATACAGTATTTTGGCTTCTTTAGTAAGTGTATCTTAATTCTTGCTAGTGTTATCTTCTATTTTCACAGCGTACAAATCATCACCCTAAGAATTTATATGTTTATTGTTCGGATCCTTTTATCTGCGAGCCTTAAAAACATATCCGAACGACCCTTAATCTAATTTTTCTAGTATTTCGTAGTGGCGGCACACTACTTATCCAATCCATTTTTGCCAAATTGTATCATCTTTTTCTTTCTTAAAAGCAGGATTATTTTCAGATATTATGTTATTATGCATTCACACCTATAAAAAACTACTCAGATGTGATTAAAGTCTTCCTTCTTCCTTTCGAAGTTTTATAAAATATGTGATATACTTCTAATATCTTAATTGGAATCTAATATTTTCTATTTGACGCTTCCAATTATTATGCAATTTATTCTAGCTCTTATTCTAAATAAATGAATCTCTTAGCTCTTTTTTTCTAAAAATTTAGTGCTAGTTATTACTTATTAACCTTTAATAAGCCTATTTATAAAATAAATGCTATTATCCCTTTCAGAACTATTCAGGATTAAGTTGATATGAAGTACCGAATATAGAAGCCTAGCTTTTTCACTATATATTTTTCTATACTCTATTAAATATTTGACAGAATTTTTTTTATTTGATAGCGGACTATAATTTATTATAATTTCAATATAAAAAATATGCTTATTTAAGATGTTTACAAAAACTCAGGTGCATAAAAACAATACATTCAATTTGTAAAATTCACTCACTTTAATTAATTTTCAATTAGTGAAATTTACAAAAAATAACATGAATTAAAATAATCTGCATCAATCAGCTTTCTCATTTAGTGAAAATTTCTTTTTCACTTCTATTTGCATAATAGAAAACTTAAAAATTTCTTTATTAAAGATTCTAAATTTATAAACATTACTAATCTGCAGGACAATACTGAATCAAATTGAATTCAGTTAAATCGTAAAAATACACTCATATTTTAAAAAACATTTTAATTTAAATTTAATTTCTTATTTATTGATTTAATTTAAATTCATTATTCAAAAGGTTTTTTCATTTAATAATTTTGGGTTTTTATGTTATTTATTTACCTATGTTTTTAATTATTTTTACAATTTTAATCAATTATTATATTAATTTAAAATATTTTAAAAAAATCCATACAAATTTATTATAGTTGATTGGATAGATTCAAATTAATTATTATTGAGGGAAGGTATATTAATTCTATTAATTACTTTTATTAGATTAAACAAGAGATTTTTAAATATGGATTATTCTTAATGAAAATTAAATTAAATGAGTTATTCTATTTAAAAACTATTGTTGTCCAAAATTTAGGAGTGCAGGGCAAGCTAATAAATTCTAATTTTTTACTTTTGATTTTAAATTGTGAAAAGCAATCCAAAAAATAAATATTGCAAATCGATAATTATAGTTTTTATAAATTTATTAATTTTAAATTAAATCGCTCATCATATTTATGATTTTTTCAAAATTAATTTAGCTGTATCATAGATTTTTCTGGACTCTTTTAATATTGAATTATAAATTAGCTCACCGATAAAATATTTATTAAAATAAAAGTAAGTATTTTTGTTAATATTTTATAATTTCTCAAAAATACCTTTTTTATTCTTTTGTTTGGTATTTTTTTGATCGATAGAAAGCGTAGTGGAATTTAAAATTTATTTAATCAAATCATTAAAAAAACAAAGAATAAAAATATTCAAATCAGAAATAAACGACACACAAACATTTATTAAAAAAACCCTTTCATATGATCAAATTTATTATCAAGCTTTTTAAATGAATTAAAACTTATTATAAGATAGACTTATTTTTTTTATTTATAATCAAGCTTTTAATCACTTTTTATTAGGCTTTTTCTAGCTTTTTTAATCTGATTTTTTAAAACATTTCCAGCATGAAAAGGATTTAATATTTTTAAGTTTTTCATTGAGCTCTTCTGCAACATCAATTTACTATTCATTAAACTGAAGTTTTGTACTAACTAATCTATATTTTTCAAAGAGAACACTATTAAAAAGAGCTACTGATCCATAAAAAATGCTTAGAAACACAATTGCTACAAGCACGAGAGACAAAACTAAATTTTTTTACCACATTTATTACTATATAACATAATCTCCAAAGAAATAAGTAAAAATAGTTTCACAAAAAGAAGAGCCATACAGAGTAAATTCAACCATGTATGGGCCAAATACTCTTTGTAATATTAGTGCGATTGAGCATATTAATGTGAAAATTAAGATAACAATAACAATAAGAGGACCAAGAGAATTCTGTATCATTCTTTAGAAATTTTATAGTTCAAAATTTAAAGGTAAATTGATACATAAAAACAAGACAAGCAATATTATACTGAGGGCTAAGAGCTAATTTCCAACTTACTACATATATCCATATCTTATTTTTTTTATTAAAAATTAGTTTATTATAATTATTTGGCATAAAAATTTACTTATGGATATTAATAAAATCAGGATGCTAAGTCTAAATAATCTATTCAAAAGACATATTTGGAGTAGAGTATATGTATATATGTGATAATATAACAACAATAAGAATTCCTAGTTCTGCTATCAATTAAAACGAAAATAATTTTTGATAAAGTTCTCTTTTACTTAAGCCGAGTTTATGCTCTTTATCCAGTTTATAAGTTTAGTATGTTCTATCGATATTAACGAAAATCGAAATCACAAATATCAATGACATTAAAACAATACTTGCAATACTAATATTAAATCCTGTTTTATGTTTACTATCCATTTAGTCTGGATAGTAGAGTTAAAAATATTACACATCTTATCCTTCTATGAAAATTCCACCTGAAGTCAAATCGACTTTGTAATATACTGACTGTATTTTTCAAAAAATAATAAAAAAAACCAATTCCATTAACTTTAGAAAATAAAATTAATTACCATAAAATATTTATTGCTGATATCATAAAAAGCCCCATATATTATCGCTGCTTTTGTTTAATAATCAACATACGACTCCATTTGGTTAACAGTATTCATGTAGGTTTACAAATCAAGAATATAAGGGTTAAAGTCTATTTTGTAGCCACCTCCTGAGTAAGTACCAAAAAAACCTAATTTAATTTAAATTCAAAAAAAGATATAAATTAATTAATCTATTTATGAAAGCAAAGTATTTTTATAAATATTTTATGAGGGTATTAAAAATCTATCTATCTATAAAGTATTTATTAATTCATTTTTTTTTCAATTTGTCCTAACCTTAATATTTACTTTACTAATTAAAAGTTTCTTCCCTCTCAATTTATAAAATAATTGGTATTAATTTAAATTTTTTCGATAGTTTGTATATACATTTGCGATATTGATATAATTTATTACTTATATAAGAAAGTAGGGAGAGAAGAGAAAAAAGCAATACTTAAATTAGAAAAAATGATATTTATTTAGTATGGCAAAAATATAATAAATAAACACCAAACCATTAATTAAAATAAATTTAATGTTTTTTGTTTTAAAATATCTTTTTATGAAATTTAAAAATAAATAAAGTTATAAATAAAGAATACCATCAACACTATCTATTCCATTTTCCTCTTCAGATGTCCATTTAAGTCCATTTATTGTTTTCGTTTCCTCTGTACTACTAGTTATAATTGACTCAGAGCATTAATACTAAGATAATTCATCATCAGTCATTTAATAGTAATCATCAAACTGATTACATACTTTTTACTTAGTTTTTTTTAATACAATTCTTACTGTTCCCAGTGATACAATACTACTGAAAATAGGGGAAAGTTGTGTTGCAGGTGGAGAACCTATAGTTGTATTGAGGTATTTGTAGCTTCTCGAAAAGCCATTTAAACATTTTTAAAAAAACTAATTGTCTTAGACAGGTTAAGATATGTCAGAAAAAGTTTCTAAAAAGTATTTAGAATTCTCTTTAATATCAAACACGTTACTATTTAAACTTAAAGAGAGTCTTGATACAATAGCCGAAATAATTGTTATATAAAGAGCCATATGGAACATATTTAGCCAGCTTTAATAAATTTAAAAAATAATTAATTTAACTTAATATCATTAGATGATTAACAAAATTACAATCTATTTTTAACTTTTTATAGGAGCATCATGTTATAATCATTTTTTGCTTGTGTAGAGTAAAGCTGAATTCCATTAAATACTTTTTCAAAGTTGCTGAAAATTGTAAGAAGGTTTTTTCTCTCTGTATCAGTTGTTGTTTACAAATTACTCACTCCATCTCCTAGCTAAATAGATTCTTATTGCTTATCAAGTAATACCGATTGCGCCTAATACTTTGGTTTTAAATATAGCTCTGCATACATACATTATTCCTTGTTAATTAAAATAAGATTTAAAATATAAAATTATTTTAAATACAATCTATTAAATTTCAGAAAACAACATATACATTTTTAAAAAATAATAACGATAAATAAAATATGAATAAACTATTTATACCTTCAACGAAGAAAAGTATGCTTCTGCTGGAGAACTATAAAGCAAACTGAGGTCATTAAAATAAGTATCAGTAAGCACGTGATCTTCTTTCTTAGAAATAGATATCTAAAAATAATCAATAGCCTAATCGAATAGATCCTTTATTAAAGTTTTTTTATTTATGCTAAATGTTTACACTACAAATTAAATTGTTGTCGAATTTCTACTTTGTTTTTCAAGATATTCTGAAGGATCTTATTTTAAATACATTATTTTCACGCTTTGTACTTCTAGCTTTACTTGCTGACTTAGCAGTTTTTCACTGTGTATTTTATATTTATTTAAATAAAATTCTTGAACAAGCATGCGACTTTTTTCTGATGTCTTTTAGAGTTTTGTTTTTATTAGCTAATCTAATTATTCTTTTTTAACATCTAGCTCAAACTACAATCTAGCAGCATTATCCTTAAATTAATCTTTCTCATCATCTTCTATTGCCTGAATTTCAGTGTTTTTTTAGAAGATTGAATGGTACAAAATTTCTATTTCCTGCTCAAGTTCTCCAAACTCTTTTGTTAATGTATCAAGATTTTTTCGTTTAATATCTATTTGATCAGTTAAATTTTTAATTTCCCTTTCAAGATTTGGTTTGTTATCCTCTGCCATTTCTCACCTCGAAAAGAAAGTAGTATTTAAAATGTATTTGGGTTTGATATATATATTCTTACTGATCTTAATAAGCTTAATAAATTAAAATATTTAAACAAAAGTATATTATATAATTAATCTTTTTTTTCAAATATTTTGTTAATTAAACCTAAATTTTTAATTTTTTTTTCTAACCCGTTTTTAATTGAAAAACAGAGCTACACAAAATAATAATGGAAATAAGACTAAAAATTGTAGATCTTTTTATAAATCTTTTAAAAGTAGAAAAGTACACAAACAAAATCTTTTTTTTACAAGTATAAAATGCTAATTAAATTCTACTTTAAAATATTTAAAATAAGTTAAATATTCATAAATTAGTAGATAATATTTTTAAAATATCATCAAAAGTAGAGTTTTCACATACAAATACTCGACTATCAGAAATACTATGAATTTCTTTAAATTTTTAAAGTTCATTTAAAGTCTTTTTCCCAAAAGCAATGTGTTTAGAAACAGAAGAAATATTAAAATCAACATTATTTTCTTTTAAAAATTAAATATTTTCTAACAAAAACTAAGTATTAGAAGGGCTGTAGTAAACTATAGCATGCAAATTTTCTTGATATATGCTTTTCTTATTTAATAACTAGCTTAATAATTGTTCCTTAGAAATACTTTATGTAGAGTAACAAAGACACTCCTATATTTAAAGCTTGTCTGTATACTAAAAATGTTATTTGTTAGATATATTTTTATTAAATGTATTAATCTTACATTAAAGTTTGCTTTTAGATTGCTTAAGTTTCCAATAAAATATAGTAAATTACCATTTATATTTTACTCTTTCATTTTTTCGCTTAATTCTTCTTAAGATTTTGCTACTATTTATGGCTCAATTCCAAATTCGCTAGCAATTAGCTCCTTTGTTTTTTTACCAACACAAAAAATTCTCACTTTTAACTCAATTTTTTTATGCTTCAAAGCTAAAGCTAATGCTTTAACAGAATTAACACTATTGAAAGCTATACCTAATTTTATAAAAAATATTTTTTATTTTTAAGCTAGCTAAAGCATATCTACCATCATACTAAGCTAAATGACTAATAGCTTGCTCAACATTCTACTAATATTCATTATACTCAAAGTTGAGAAGTTGCAGTATCACAGGATTAAACCCAATTTCATTAATTTGCTTCAATTATTAATCATCTAATTCCTCTGATTTTAGAAGGAGAATATTTTTTAGCTCTTAATTTTCCATTTCACTTTAATTTTTAATATCTTATAATGAATTAAATTATTGAATCAAAGATATTTATTTTGTTTGGAATTATCAAATTTTTGATTAATAACTAACTAAATACAGTATCAATTATTGAGTAATTCCTTTTCTTAGAAATTTTGTGTGAAATCAGCTTTTTTAAAAATTCAAAATAAATTATTTCAAACTTAAATTACATTTATTGTCTAAGGGTGTGTAGCTCACATGGTAGAGCGCTTGATTTGCATTCAAGAGGCAGGGGGATCGATGCCCCCCACATCCAATTTTTATTTATTTATTTTTTTATTATTAAAATAAATTAAAAATGATAACAAATAATTTTCATTTTTTTATAAAGTTGAATTTGATTTGTAAAATGAAAATAAAAAAAATAAATTTATAATCTAATTTAAAAAAAAAATTAATAAAATTATCACCTTTTATCAATCAATACTTTCAATTCAAGTATGATATTAAATTCATAAATTGTTTGTAATTAAGGGTGTGTAGCTCACATGGTAGAGCGCTTGATTTGCATTCAAGAGGCAGGGGGATCGATGCCCCCCACATCCAATTTTTTATTTTTGTCATTGATCTAAAAAAATTTGATCACTTTATATTAACCATTAACTGATTTCTTACAAATATTAAAAGGAACAATTTAAAAATTTTGCTTAATTTAAATTGATATTTTTTGAGAAATAAAATAATTTATATTTATAGTTTTAAAATAAGATTAAAAATTAATTATAAATATTGCTCAAAAGGGTGTGTAGCTCACATGGTAGAGCGCTTGATTTGCATTCAAGAGGCAGGGGGATCGATGCCCCCCACATCCATTTTTGTTTTATTTTAATTTTAAAGTAAATTAATTTTACTCCTAAATTTATGAAAACAAATTTTTTTATTTTCAATTAATCAAAATTTTTATTCTTATTGTGTTCTCATTTATAAGATTCAAGAGTTTTAATTAAGATATTCGAAAAAGGGTGTGTAGCTCACATGGTAGAGCGCTTGATTTGCATTCAAGAGGCAGGGGGATCGATGCCCCCCACATCCAAATTTTTATAATCATGAAGATTTTATTAAATTAGATTAAATCTTATTTAAATAAGATATTTTAAAAGGATTTAAAATACTCTTAAATTTCTAGTAATATGGGTGTGTAGCTCACACGGCAGAGTACTTGACTTGCACTCAAGAGGCAGGGGGATCGAAGCCCTCCACATCCATTTTAATTTTTAACAAACAAGAAATATTACATAAATAAATATGAACAAAAAATTTTATATTGGTTTTTCAATAATTAATTTATTAATTTTATTATTATAGAATTGAAAAATCTTACTTTATTATTTGATCAACTACTGTTAAATTTAAATATTATTAACGTTTTCTATAGAATATATATAAAAGGGTGTGTAGCTCACATGGTAGAGCGCTTGATTTGCATTCAAGAGGCAGGGGGATCGATGCCCCCCACATCCATTTTTTATTTTATTTTAATTATAAAGTAAATTAATTTTACTCCTAAATTTGTGAAAACAAATTTTTTTATTTTCAATAATTCAAAATTTTTATTCTTATTATGTTCTCATTTATAAGATTCAAGAGTTTTAATTAAGATATTCGAAAAAGGGTGTGTAGCTCACATGGTAGAGCGCTTGATTTGCATTCAAGAGGCAGGGGGATCGATGCCCCCCACATCCAAATTTTTATTATTATTATGATGGCTTTTTTAAATTAGATAAAAGCTGTATTTAAAGAAAGATATTTTAAAAGGATTTTAAATGCTCTTAAATTTACAATAATAAGGGTGTGTAGCTCATATGGTAGAGCGCTTGATTCGCATTCAGGAGGCAAGGGGATCGATGCCCCTCACATCTATTTTAATTTTATAGTCAAAAATGAAATGAATTTGTTTCAATTTTCTTCTTAAGTCTCAAATAGCTTCTATAATTTTTTAATCCAATAAAGTTAAATAAATTTATTTTCAGAATTTACTTAAATATCAAATATGAACTATTTAGCTATTATGATATGATAATTTATTGTACTGGGTGTGTAGCTCACATGGTAGAGCGCTTGATTTGCATTCAAGAGGCAGGGGGATCGATGCCCCCCACATCCATTTTTCATTTTAATATAAATTAAATTATTTTACTTATAAATTTATAAAACTATATTTATTTAATTTTGAAGAATTCAAAATTTAAATTCTTTTTATGTTATCCTTTAAAAGATTCAAGAGTTTTAATTTGTGTTTTTAAAAAGGGGTGTGTAACTCACATGGTAGAGGGCTTGATTTGCATTCAAGAGGCACGGGGATTGATAACATTTAATAATAAATGTATAGTTTATATATAATAGAGCGCTTGATCTAAATTCTAGAATCAAGGGTATTGATACATTCTACAACTGTTTTTATTTTCTTTTTATTGAATTGTTTATTCATATATTTTTAAGCTAAAAATTTAATTTCTAAAATTGAAAATCTAACTTGTTTTATGATGTTACAATCAAAAGAATAATTAAAATATTGTTTTAGATATTATTTCTTTATGAAGAATATCAAATATTTAATTAATAAATGTTTAAACTTTTATAGAATTAATAATAAGCTATTTACATTTATTTAATTTTTGCTTTACTTTTTATTTATGTTTTTTTCTATTGAATGTAGATTTAATTAATTTATTAATCAATTAAAGTATAATTTTTTTTTTCACAATATAAGATTTAAGAAATTTAATTATCTTCTGATTAATAGGGTGTGTAGCTCACATGGTAGAGCGCTTGATTTGCATTCAAGAGGCAGGGGGATCGATGCCCCCCACATCCATTTTTTTTTGCTAAAACAATAAGATGATAATTCAAGAAAATGTTTAAAATAAAGGAATTCAAAATTATTTTATAATTTACTGTATAGGGTGTGTAGCTCACATGGTAGAGCGCTTGATTTGCATTCAAGAGGCAGGGGGATCGATGCCCCCCACATCCAATTTTTTTTAAAAATTAATTAATTAATCAACATTAAATGAATATGTATTTATTTATTTATTTATTTTTACATTCCATAATAATATATGAAGAAATAAAATGTCTCTATTAAAGTAATAATGGAAACAAAATAAACACATAAATATACCTTTCAATATGAAGAAAATTAATAAGTTGTTTCCATATAATCATAACAATATTAATCAATTTAGTTAAGATAGTTAATTATCACTTGATTATGAGCTATTAATCTCTAATTAAATTAGCGCCATATTAATTTCAAGTTGTGATTTAAAATCGAAATTTAAAAATTATTCTTTTTTATTTTTGATAAAAATTAGAGTAGAAATTATCAATGCCAAAGCACTTAATATTAAAGGATGCATAATAGCCCAAAATACAGAGTGCTAATCCAATATATAGCCTTCAAGCATCCCAAATAAAGCAATTCCTTTAATTAAAATTAGAACAATCTTAAATTTATAATATAAAATTAATACTATACCTAGATTTTTAGAAGATACCAATAGACCATAAGCTGTTCCTGATACTTTAGATGGCGTGGTAAGGAAAACACAATACCAAACAGCGTTTGTAAATGTTGAGAGAAAGATACCTAAGAAAATATAAGCAGGAATAACGATTTTGTAGCATTCTTCTTTTTAACAATCGTAAAATAAAATCCATATTGTATATCCCAAAACTATTTGTGATGCTGAAAAGATTAAGAAAGAGGCTTTGGATTTAATTTTATCTAAAACAAAGCCAAATATAGGAGAACTAAATGATACAAAAAAGGGTATTGAAAATAATCTTCCAGAAGTAATTCCATCAATATGATAATATTTTTTAAGAATAGTTTGAGAATTAAAATAATAAGCATAGAAGCTAGACAATCCAAGTACTCCAATCAACACTACAATTACGTAATTAAAGTTTAAGTACTTAGCATGTTTTATATTAATATCCGAAATTGTGACTTGTTATAGTTATCCTCTTTTCTCAGCTTTCAAATCCATGACAAAAGAGCTTATTGATCCTATGAGTAAAGTTGATGCTAATAAAATTACTCCTAATAAAAAAGATAGATATAGATGACCTGTATTTTCATAGATTGGAGGATATGTCCATGAGGAAATAACATCAGCAAATCTAACACTCAAAAACGTGATTGATAAACAAAATCCATATTGCTTTTTATCTACCCACCTACTAATTAAAGGACCTAATTTATTTTAAAAGAAATTAGATTAGCTTGATTTATTCCAGAATAATTTGAAAGAAGTAATCAATATTTTATATCTTTTCAGAATCTATAAAACAAACACTATTCATGAAAATCAATCTAGCCTGCGCGTGCTAAAAATATTTTAGAAATTGAACTTACCTTATATAACTGTAAGTCCATTTAGATTTATATATCCTATAGTCTAGCCTATGCATTGAACATAAAAATTTTGTAAATAGATTCCTACAAATTATATTGTATATCCACATAAGCATAATACTGAAAACGCTAAAAGAGATTTTCTTAGTCCAATCTTGTCGGTAAGGACACCGCAAAAAAGTGAAAAAGCACAAGTAACAAATGTAATAGATGACTGCATCGTATTGTATTATAAATCATTTAAATTAAATTATTCTTTAAAACCTTCTTTAACACTGCTAATACCATATGAACATATAAATGGTCCTAAAGTGATTAATGTGACAAAAAATATTTACAACCATTTTTATACAGTAAATGAAAAGAATGAGCTCAATTTAGGTTCATCTTGAATTTAATTTTATTGTGATTGATTTTTATTTTATTATTTTATTTTTTCACTTGATTAACTAGAGTTTCTTTCCATTATAATTCAGAGTAAACAATATGCTTATTGTTATTATCAAGTTTTTAACTATACTTTTTATTAAAAAAAATTAACTAATCAAAGTGTAATAATATAAGATCAATATAGAGTCTATAAAATTTGTTTATATTTTAAATATTGCTAACTAATCAAATACTTACAGATTTATCATATGTTTATTATTATAATCATGAAGTTTCCTCAAAGAAAAAAAAAATTATGGAGATAAAACAAAATTTTAATTCCTGACAATACACAGATTTAATAATTAAACTTTTTGTGAGTTTGTTGTTTATAATTTCTCAAACATTTTCCCTATTTAAATTAGTAGTAAATTTTATTATTTTTATTTTAAGATAATCTAATTTTTTTTATTTTTAGTTCAAAGTTTAATTCTTAAATAATGAAAATTTAAATAAAAGAAATTAAAATATATTATCTTAGTTAAATAAATAAATAAATCTAATAAATAGTTCTAATTTATCTTAAAATTTATGTTAAAAATTAATTGCAAATTAAATAAGAAAAATATTAATAAATCCAGAAAAAATAAATATATCAAATAATCCTGAATAAGAAAATTTATTAAAGCAATAATTTAATTGGTTATCATGATAACTATTCGATTATAAATTATAAAATAAATTTTTTATTTTTAGGTTATAAAATTTTTCAGTTTGTTTTTTTAAGTGAGGTATTAATATAATATAAATAATAATATTTGGCATTTAACTAGACCTTAATTATGAGGACATATCTTTATATTTTTCTTAAATTCTTTAAAACCTTTTTAATATTATTAATAATGTATAAAATAGCTTGTTAAAATTAAGAATATATCCTGCATGAATGAAAAATATGAATTAAAATTAGAATAAAAATAAATCAACAAATTATAAAAAGTTTAACTTGTGTAATTGGTTTTTTTACTCTTAAAATTAATGAACTTTTAATTAATACCCAAATTCGATATGAATATGTTTTAAAAAAATTTATTAAGTATTTTAAATATATGAAATAAGAAATCAATTTATATTTCTAAATGGAAATAAAAAATAGATTTAAATAAAAATTTTAATTTTTGAGGGAACAAAAATATTTTTAAAGATTATTTAACAAACTTAAAGAAAAACTTGTTTAATCTTTTAATTGAATTAGTTTTAAAGTGATTTATTTTTGATAAGAATTAAGCCTTTTCAAATGCTAAATAAATATATTTTTTTTAACAAAGAGATTAGTGTTACATAAAATAAAATACAATCAAACAATTTAACACTGTAACAGAGCTTAACTTTTTTATATTTAAAAGATATTTTTAAAAATTTAGTGAAGTTACAAGTTATCTGTAACAAAACTATGAGCAAATATCCAAAATTCTTTAATTAAAAAATTTCAATTTATAAAAAAAATATCACAATTTTTTAAATTAAAATGCACTTTTAATAATATTCATATCTTCATAAATAAAAAAGTAATTGATTTGATGTTACTCTATAATTGTAACCAAAGTTCTCTTTTATAAGGGAATTAATTTTAATGTTTATTGAAATATTGAAATTTGATTACTCTTCTAAATTGATTAGAGCTAAAATACATTTCAAAATCAATCATAGAGTTAATTTCAAATAAAACAAATTTAGTCTTTTAAAATGATACTCTTTTTATAAGAAAATTTCTTAGCAAATTGATTAGATTTTTCATCAAAAATGTATTTATTTTTATAGATTGATATCATATTTTTGATAAAATAACAAGTTATTAAGTCAATCATTATTTCTGGTAAAATATAAATTTAAACGAATAATTCTAGAAAAGCCCAATAATATATAAATAAAATCTCGCATGAAAAGAGATTTAAAATCTGAATCTTACATTAAACTGAAAAATATATTCTTTTGCAAAAGTGTTTAAAAGTTTTGTAAATTAGCTTACTTTTTTAATGTAATTATATTTTTTGTTATATATAGTCTCCATAAGATAAATTGAGAATTGTAAATTTAATTGTGATTATTTGGATATTAATTTTTGATAAATATTAAATTACCTAAACGTAGATAGATAAGGAAGTAAACTACTAAAATAAATGACAACAAACTAAGAAGAAATAATCCAATACGATTAATTTTTAGAGCGCGCTTAAAATGAAGCAGAGAAAGAACACAATGAAGATGATAAAAAAAAAAGTTTTAGAAATTCTATGAGAATGAGCATAGCAGAGTTTGTTCATCATAAGAAAAACAGAAGTATTCATGTTATATTGAGTATGGCTAATTCAACAATTGGTAGTGTTGCACTTGTTTTGCCTGCAAGTGTTTTGCAGGGAGGTTTGATTCTGGCTATCATATGCATGACTATTATTGGTTTTATCAACTATGTTACATGTTACTTCATTTCTGTGTATCAAAGAGAAGATGAAATAGATTTAGCAAGTATTGTTCGCCGTATTTTAGGACCTAAATGGAAAGTAGCATTTATATTATCAAGTGCTTTTTAACTCTTTGTGGCTTGTATCATCTACTTCCTGCTTATTAATAGTATATGCTACCCTATCATTCAATTCATAATGCACAAATGCGGTACTGAAAACTATGGATCGTCTAAAGAAATTGTTTTTGATAAATTCTCTATTTAATACCAGGCAATGATCTTGTTCGTTCCTGTCTTTTTACTCTGCTCTTTGAAAGAGTTGAACTTCATCGTGAAGTTAGGTCGTATCGGAGTTACCTCTATATTTGCGTATGGTATTTTTTTACTCTACTGCTTCATTGAAAATATTTCAGATGGAAATGTTTCAGAGTATTGGGATGAATAAATGTCTCTTTTCTCTAAAAACATTGTTGGAGTTGCAGGTCCTTTCTCTTTTGCTTTCTTTGTTCATACAATTGTTAGTCAAATTACTGCAACTAATATTAATTTCAAAGAAAATCCACGTAATATTGGATACGGATATTTAATTGTTTACTTCGCTTATGCTTACTTTTCAATCGTTGGTTCTATTGGTGTTGTTGGTCGCAAAACAAATTACAAGGATGCCTCAAATATCAATGATTTCTTTGGATCAGATGATGTAGGACCTGTAGTAGTAGATATTTTATATCTTATCCATCTTATTACTGCTCTTCCAACTTTATGTCATGTCTCCCGTTCATAATTCTTTATTCTCATCTAAGGTGAAACAAAACCTGTTTCATAATTTTAAATGCTTCTTTACAATGCAACTTTTTGCTGCTTAGGTTTACTCTTTTAAATTTTGTGCATAGACCCTTCTGTTATCATAGAAGTGAATGGATCTGTTTGTTGCTTCTTTATTGTTTATATCATTCCTTTCTTCTTCCGTTTGAGGGAATCAAAAAGGCTTGCATAAGGTGTTGAAGATTCTGTTTAAAACAATTTAGTTAATTATACTGATTCTACAAATAGTAAACAAGAAGATCCCCTTGATGCAAAAAGAAGAGCTCCTATTGGTATTTTAGAAAAAATATTTTGGGCATTTGCTATGTTAGTAGGATTATTTTTGGCTGTTGTCACCCTTCTCAGTATTTTTGGTGTGAATTTAGGATGAAATTTAAGTCAACAATAAATAATTTAATTTAATTTAGCATTTAATTTCAACTCATTCATTAAGACTTACTTATTCATTTTAATTATAATATATTTAGTAATAAATCATTTAATATGTGGAAGCTTTTAAATATTATTTTTTAAATAAAATGATCAATCATATTTTAATTTAATTATACAACTATGCTGTAAAATAAATAAATATTTAATATATCATTTGCTTACCTTTTTTAAAGTTTTTTTTATTAATTTTAAATATTCTTTATCAAAAATATTAAAATTCAATTTTAAGAAGTAAAAAAATAAATTTTTTTCTCATTAGTTGATGATCAGGTGTATAACTTTTTTAATTTGTAAGATTAGCTATTTATTTAGAATTTAAAAATTTTTATAGATGCTAATTTATAAAATTGAAATAGAAATTTGAATTATGGAGTTATAATTAACCAAAACAAAAAAATAAGCAGAATATAATAATTTCCAATTTACTATTATTAATAAAAACTGATAATCATCTAGAATATTATTTATATATCTATCTATTAAACTGCTCGAAACTAATTTAATTTCTCAATCAAACAATATTTAATTAAATTTTTTAAAAAATCATAAAAGTGTTGCTAATAATTAATTAACTTATGGCAGACAGTTTAGAATTTTAGCATTTAAGAAATAATCCAAAATATGTGAAAGAATTTGCATTTTATGTAAAAAGTGATTTTATAGGTAGGGGAAGAATAGCAAATGGCGGTGTTTATTGCTATAAGTACAGTAATAAGGAATATGCAGTCAAAATTTATACAGAAAAAAAGAGCGAATCATTTACACATATCTTAAGAGAAATCTCAATATTAGATAGAATAAATAACGTAATAAAGTCAGATAGCATAATTAGGTTTCATGGTTTCTATTTTGAGATTCTTGGCAACTCAATTTAATTCTATATAATAATGGATAAAGCGGATGGTACTTTAACAGAGTTTATTTAGCAAAAGTATCGCTTTAAGATGACGGAACTACTAGAAATAACAAACTAATTTATAATTACGTTTGCTGAGCTAGAAGGGAATGGAATTGCTCATCGTGATATTAAAACAGATAACATACTTTACATTAGAAACAGCGAAAATAAAATCATGATAAAAATAACTGATTTTTCTGAAGGAAAACTCGTAGACAATGAATAAACCCACAATACTCTTGTGGGAAATGCTGAACATTTGTCTCCTGAGTTATATTATATGTATAGAAGAGGAGAAACTGACATAAAGTATAATCCCTTTAAAAATGATGTATATGGAATCGGAGTTTTACTGTGCCAATTAGCAAGTTGTGAGTATAGACCTTCTAGAAAAGAAGAAGCAAAAGTAAAAATTTATTTCTTAAATAATACTACTTTCCTTATATAATTAGATGGAGATTAAATATAAAAAACTAAATCAAATTTGTAATTATCTACTTTTGTCTTTTGGATAAGTCAAAAAATATTGATAAAATTTATTTAATTAATTATTTAGTTATAACGTTCAAATAAGAAAAAAAATATTTTATCAATTCAAATTATTTATTTTCATAAAATTATTTTTAGAAAGTTTATAAATGATAGGTAATGAATGAATGATTAATGTACTATTAAAATATTAAGATTGATAAGCTATCATTATTATATTTATAAATATTTAAGATTGATAAACAAAAAAATAATTAATGCACTTTTAAAATATTAAGGTTGATCCATATAAAAATGATAAAGGTCCTTGTGATGATTTATGGAATTTAAGATTACAATAAACTAAGCAATATTATTTAGAAAATAGTGATAACGTTAGCAAGTCTATCATAGAATAATATTTCATAATTATCAAAGAAATGATTTCGTATAATCCGAAGCAAAGACCAAGATTCTATTAGATTATGTATTAGTGGATGGCAATATATTCTTTAAAAATAATATCTATTGAATAGGAAAATAAATACATTCAATAAATTGTAATTCGTTGTCTATTAAACTCAAAGCTAATTTAAGATTAAATTAATTTTATTTATTTAGACAAGCTTGGAGGAAAAGATTTAAAAATTAGAGTTAAATAACAAAAAAATCTCTATAAATGGTGCTAATGGTAATAAAATATATCTAATTTTACGGTTCTTTTAAATTAATAATGTTTTTTATTTATAAATTAGATTACTCGATGTTTAGAAGATAGTCAGAGATGTCATAATTTGATTGTATTAAATTTATATCATGAAAATTTTAATTAATTAAAAAATATCATAAATTAGAATCAGACATTTCGGCAGAAGATATGAAATGTAACTCTAATTTCAACCTCGATAACTTGCATGCAATAAAAGAAATAACTAGTCCTCAAGAAAGTGAAAATGAAAGTTCATAATCTAGTGATTCATAGTCGTCAATCAGTGATAATGAGAATTCTCTGAAAGATGTGTAAGGATCAAATTCCATTTAAAAAAACTAAGAAAATTATTAAATGGCTGATTAGATAGATCAAGATTAAACTATAAAAAAAATTGATTTAAAAAGTGTTAACACTCACTAAATTCAAAATTCTTAATCAAGTTCTTATTTTAGTTCTGAAATGAGTACTCCTGAATATTCAGGTAATAGGATCTCAGCTTTCAACTCACCATCTTTCAGATACTTATTCTAAGACTCAGATACAAATATTTAAAGCTTAGATGGTAAAAAGAAGGAAATTACTATCATAAAGAATAGGACTGATTTAAAACAAATTAATAAAAATACATAAGTCATTTAGCTCAACGAATTGAGGTATTATTCCATTAATCAATTTTTAAAAATAAATTCTAAATAAAATTTTTTGTCTTAGTGATATCATAAAAAATGAATTAATATAATCAGCTGACCAGCTAAAATATTTGGTTTTTCATTTACACTCTAAAAAATCTAATTTGCAATAAATCAGTTTTATATTATCATCATTTGGGCACACTCTTATATTTCTAAACCTTAACATCGGATCGTAAATATCTTCAATAATTAAACATTTCATTTTATTTAATAAAAAAATTAATAAACAGATGGCAAAATATGAAAGATGAAGATGTGAAGGTCTTATGTGAAGGAATCTAAAAATAATAAATTCTCTAAGTGATTTATCTATTCTTATGGGAGTAATACATAAATAAATTAATTAATTAATTAATATTTATTCATTTATATTTAACAATTTAAATTTTTATAATTTCATTTTTGATTGTTAGATGGGGTATGGAGAATCCTGAAATTTCAGATAAATCTTTAGAGGAGATAGGAAATATGTTTGTTAATTTGAAAACCTTGGTGAAAATTAAATTAGGATTAGACAGATGGGGTTTAGAAAATAAAAAAATAACTGACAGTGGCCTTTAATATTTACTTCAGTCATTAGAGTAATTAAAGGGTTTGCAAGTGCTAGATTTATCGCTGACAAGGTAATATTTTCTTAAAAAACAGAATATTGATTAATAAATTTGATAAAAAGCTTTTCGAAGAAGAACCCAAATATAACTAACAAAAGCCTTTAAAATTTAGGAGATTTTATTACTAAATGCAGCTATATATAAAAGCTAAGCTTAACTATGAAAAGGTAAAAGGGAATTTTTAAAGTGTATTCTAATAATCTTATTTTATTTATAATTAATTTAGGTGGGATAATGAAAATTAATTTATAAATGTGAAAAATTTGAAGACAATGTTGGATTAAATTTCTCAAAAAGCTGCTAATTTGAACACAATTTTTATTAGTTTAAAATAGTAAATAATTTTTTAAATATTATTTTTTATTGAATTACTTTGATTTAATAACAGATGGAACATCTCAGAATATATAAAATAATAGTTCAAATCAATGATTAAACCTAACTTTAATTTAGAGTTGTGAGAACAAACAAACACTATTGATTTTATTTTATTTATGATAGTTTTTAATTAAATTATAAAATTTCTATGTATTTCCTTATTCTTTCTTAATATCTTGTAAAATTTTGAATTAAATTAATAAAAGAATTTTTCGTACACATTTATTTTCAAGAAGGAGGAAAAATCAAAGATTTTTTAATAAATTAAATAATTCAAAAACAATTAATTTCTCTCAAAAATTAAAAAGAAAATAGAAATTAATAATTATGAAATGACTGCAAATAACTTAAGTTTTTTACATTTACTAAGTTTTTAAATAGCGAATTCCACTTCTTTTTGATAATCGCACTCCCCATTCAGCACGAATAAGTACAAACCAAAGTTTTTAAACAATCAAAAGTACTTTATTCGAATAACCTCACAACATCATTCTACTTAATAGAATAAATATGCCTAGAAAAGTTATTATGCATTCATATTCAACCCTGTCTTTCATAAGACATAAAGGAATTTCAAAAAAAATAAATAAATCAAAACAAATTAATAAAATTAAAATTCTTTCTTAGCCTTAAAAATATATAATTAGTATTTTTTAAAATATCAAGTTGTAGTTGATAAGAATCTAAGAGCGATAGAGATTTCAGTTGAGATTTATCATTAAATAATATCAATCTATCTTATAAAATAATAAAAATTTAATTAAAAATCAAATAAATAAATAAATAAATATTTGAAAATAAAAAATTAGAAAAAAAAATACAAACAAAAAAAAAATAAATAAATAAAAAGCAAAGAAAAACTAATCAATAAATAAGAAATAAAAATTAATAAGATAACAAATAAAAGTAAAAAATAATAAAAAATTAAATATATAACAAAAATAAAATAAAAAAAGAAAATAAATATAAACTGACAGTGAGCTTTTATATTTTTATTTAATTTTTGAATAATAAAGAAAAAGCACGTTTTAAATAGTTAATTAAAAACTAAATAGATATTAATGTAAATAAATAATAGAGTTATTTTCAGCTTGTTAGTATTTTAAAATAAATGTTTTCAGATGCTTTTAACTAATTTTAGCGCTTCTATATATCTTTAATTTCTAATAAAAATATTATATTATCAAACATAAATCAGCAAATATGAAAAGAAATTTCATTCATAATGTCGGTGTTCGAATTAACTAAAATTTGAAGAGACCTAAGTACATCTAACCTAATGATAAAGGTAATTTCAATTAATTAAAATTTAGTAATACTCAATTATGAAATAGATATAAAGCTCAGAGAAGTGAATGTTGATTCATTAGCTAATTAGCCTTCTTAGTATAACTAAATTGACTTGAAGTAGAAGTAATAGTCAACAGATGCGATTTCTAAAAATGAATTTCCCTAAAGCAAATCGAGTAAATTTGAAGAGAATAAGCAGTTAAACAATCAAAAAGGCAAAGCAGAGGCAAATAACTCCAATTTATAAGACATAAATTAAGATTCTAATTAGCAGTTAGTAGTGAAAATTAAAACTATTCCTAAAATATAATGCCTTTACAAAGGTTTTACTTAAAATTAATTGCACCTATTTAAAAATTTTCTAAACTTTTTTAAAAAAATATTAAAGATTACTTTAATAGAAAGCGAAAAGAATTACAGTCTTACTTATCTGACGATAAAGATCCAGTGATTTCCATTGAAGAAATGTATTCATGTTTTTTATATTTACAAAATTCTTATTAATTTTGTAAAAAGGTTTCACAGTAGTGAATTAAATAAAGTGTTTGGAGACTACTTTTTAAAGTAACAAACATAGCAACCAAAAAGTAAAATCATTATAAAATAAAATGAAATTTATTTTTAAAAATATTTTTTTGATGAATTAATATTTAGATACTAAAAGAAAGACCAGGCTATAAAAAGACACTGAAATAAAAAGTGAAGGAACTGGTAATTTTAAAGACAGAAAATTTTATAATTTAAAAGGAAGTAAATCAAATACTCATCCTCAGTCTATCAATTAAAGCTATTAAAATATGAATTAAAAAATGTTGAATATTGATAAAAATAACTTATCTTAATTTTAGGAAAGTTATGAACCAAAGTAAATTTCACCAAGCAAGCAAAACAATATTATTGATCAAAATAAAGATTAATTATAATTTGGCAGAAAATAAGCTGCAAAAGAAGAGTTTGATAATTATAATTTCAAAAAGTTAGGTGAAATAATTCACCAAAAGTAAAACCATCAAAGGAAATAGGATGAGACAAATTATTTAAATAAAAGTAATTAAAATATTTTTGAATAGCACAGAATGCAAAAATGCAATTAAAATACCACATATAACTAATATTTTGCAGGAGCCAATAACTACAGCCTTTAAGATAATAAATTCAAGAATTAAATTGTAAGAGATGATTTAATTATAAAGTAGGAAAATGAATATAGTGAAGGCAGCTTGGATTTAATAGAAGAAGAATATGATTTATAGCCTTAAAAATAAAGAAATAATAATAAAATTTAGACAAAGGAAATCCAAAAATTGAAAGACCGTAATAATTTAAACAAGGAAAAATTCGAGTTAATTAATAAGAAAGAGCATTATTAACTGCAATAAATTGAAAATTAAGAGTATTAAATTTGCTAAGACACTAAATTAATTGAATAAAGCATTTAAGATCAAATTTTCAATAAAGACTACATGAGAGATTTTTATAATCCTTAATTCGATGATAATTATTTACAAAAATAAAATAAATAGAATTTATAGCAAGACAATTTATTGAAATAAAATCAATCAAATTGCTAATATTTAGAAAATGAACTTATTAATTAATAATAACCTCAACAATAAGTATTTACACATTAATAAATCTAAGAGTAATTTTATCAACTTTAGTAGTCTATTATACCTGAATAATAAAGATATAACTAACAATAATTATATAATAATTTACAGCTATAATAATAAGTGTTTAATATGCAATAATAGTAGTAACCAGCAATATCTATGCAATTTCCCCTTTAAATTTCTCAACATAATTTAAACTAGCTAAAATTTAATCAGGATGAATACTAATAGTAAGGGTTTAACATTCCTTAACAGTAAATGATTTAAGAGAATAATTAATAATGTAACCCATATTTGATTGATTCTAAGGAATCTAATGAATTATATTATTCTAACATCTAAAGATAAGATATTTCTCCTATTTCTCAGCAATAGCAACTTTTTTAACAATATCCTTAAAGTTCTTAGTAAAAAAAAGTGAATATTTTTCACTTGATTTCCAATAAAAAAAGAAAAAGCGATCATTTATAAAGAGCTGAAGATAAGTGTGTTTTTAGATAAAGCAATCCTCGAAAGTATATATGAATACTAATTTAAATCAAAATAGGTTGTTTAAATAAATTTTTTAAAGTAGTGATTTTATTTTTATTATATTGTGTGTAATTCATATTTCAATTTCTTTGTGTCTCATATTAGTTAAATTTTTAAATTTTGGCTCTTTTTCAATCTGATTTTTCATGATTTAATTTAAAAAAGAATAAATAAATTATGATGAAATAAAAATTTAAAAAATTTAAATAAAAAAAATAAAGTGAAATAAAATATTGTTTACGATGAAGGCATATGTTGATCAGATGGAGAATGAATTAAACTTGTTAACAAAGCCATTTTATAAGATCATCAAAGAAATAAAATAAATGTGTAAAAATTAGACTTCATGTGAGCTATTTTCTTTAAGTATAAACTCCGTAAAAAATATAGATTATAAGGAATTAAGCAAATTAACACTCAGTGCCTTATATTATAATGTATAATTTTTAATAAAAATATTTTTTAGCTTTTATATATGAAAAAGTTAAATTAGGTATCTTAAAAAATGGAGAAATCGTTAGCTTACACTAAAAAAGAATTAGATTTAGCATTTTAATAACTTAAAAATATCATAGAGGCAATAGAAGGTAAATAGAAAAATAAATAAAAGAAATCGAATTTCGCATATGAGCAAAGAAGAAATTATGATGATGAGATCAGAAGACTTTTTATCTTCATAGAGGAATAACTTTAAGAAATCTTTAGTAATTTATATATAATTACCAAAGCCCATTTTAAAAGTCCAAAAAATAAACTCACTTTGTGCAATTAGATTTTTGAGATGAACCTACCATATCAAAAGGATATTACATAGGATTACTGTAAGAGTATTAGAAGTATATTCGAATAAAACTAAATTTAAAGAAAAAGAGGTGTCAGCACTAATCTTTTTTAAGAAAATAATAGTCCTTTAAATAATAAAGCATATGCAGAGAAATTTTAGTCTGAAACTAATATGTCTGCTGCAACAGAGGTCTAAAATAAAATTGCTAATAAACTAATTTAGAGTGATCCTCAGTCTAATGTTTTTTACTCAGAAAAAATATAACAAAAATAAATACCGATGAATTTTGTAAGTCCTAGGATAGAAATTAAAACTCCTCACACTAAAAATAATTTTCTTAATAAAAAAAATTAAGAAAGTACATCAAATTAACACTAATTGATTAAATCTAATTAATCATCACAGAAAGCAGACAATCAAAATACAAACATTAACAATAAAAATGCAAAAGTTTCTTATTCAGGTTCATTTAGTGATAGAGCTGCGCATGGAGAAGTGAATTAGATGTATTAAATTTTTAAGAATAAACTACCTTTGTAAATAAACATAAGTCAGCTATCTGAATCAAGAAATATAAACCAAAAAGAGGAATTTCCTGTATTCTAATCACCAAATTTCAACAACAACCTCACAAGAGAAAATATTAATAAAGCATTTAACAGTCACAGTTAAACTTAAAGCTAAAAAACAACTCTATCCAGATAAACCCATAATATAAGAGACATAACTGCTTCGTGCATATAAAATACAGAAATAGACCATTCTAATTCTATCAAAACCAGAGACATTGATCCAATTATTAATGGAAGTGATAATGAAGGATTAACGGAAAACTATGATCAAGAAATATTAAATGACTCATTTTCAGAGTAATTTTATAATCAAAAACTATAAGACTTATTTTGAATATTTGTATTAATTTTTGAGTAAATAAGTTTGCAATATGTTAATTTTTATATTTTTATTCAGTGATTCATTTATTTTATATTTCCTCATTAAATTTATTTAATTTTTTTATTATATTTTAATTTTTTATAAATATTAGTTTAAAAATTGTGAGTTATTTCTAAAAAATCTATTTTTTAATAAACATAAAAAAAATATTGATTTAAAAATTTATAAAATATATTTATTAATAATAATTTTAACTATGATGCCAACCTTTTGAATTCATTTATATTTAGAAATTTAAGACATATTTTTGAATTTTGCAAAAATTTTTATTAAATTTATTCATTTCTACTTATAAAATAAAAATAATTTCAATTATGTACACTTTGATTATATTTAACTTTTAATGTAAAAAATCAGATTATTAGGTCAAATATATCTTTTTTGATATGTTTTTTTTTTGAAATTAAATAAATCAAGTTATATCTATTCAGATTTTATAATGTTTAATTTATCAAGTAAATTCTTTTAATTTTTCAAATATTAAACAAATAGGAAAGATATTTATTATAAAAGAAAAAATATAGTAAGTAAGTAAATCAATTAATTAATTAATAAGTAGAATAAACTAAAATAGTAAGTAAGCATGTTAAAAGCATTTGAGTCAATAAGTATACAAATCTGCTTATATGAGAAAGAACGTAGCAGAAAAATGGCTGTAATATATGCATTAGCAAGCTAAGTTTTCTTTATATTAAATTTTACATGTGTTGGATTCTTAAGGTAGGGATATTCCACATAGTAAATACTATAAACGAGAATGTCAATAGGATTCATAATTAACTTTACTTTTTGCTACTTTTAAAAGATTCCTGTCTACCCTAAAAATATCACAGAGCTAAAATTAATGGTTTCTAGAGGTTTACTAGGAGGAATTACAGCTATAATTATGTTCTAAAGTTTTAAATATTTGAATATTTCAGATGCTGTAGTATTTGGAAACACAAATCCTATTTGGACAAGTTTCTTAGCAGCAATTTTTCTTGGGGAAAAGCTTACAATAAAGTCTTTGATATTTAGCTTCATTAGCTTTTTAGGTATGCTTTTAATTATTAAGCCTGATTTTTTTTTTGAGGCAACTTTGGATAAAGAACCTATTAATATGCAAGGAAGAAACCAAGTAAAGGGGTGCATGTTTGCCTTATTCGGTTCAATTTTACTATCTTTTATACAAATTATTCTTAGCAAAGTACAAAAATAAATGAAATGCAACAATGCTTAACTTTTAATGTATAATCACTTTTTTGGCTGTATAATTACAGGAATAACTGAACTCTAATTACCTAATAATGACATTATTGTAAATAAAAGGTTTCTCTTTATTATTCTAATTATGGGCGTCTTAGCTTTTATATCATAGCTTTTGTTTACACGTTCATTTACTTTAGAAAAAGCCTCAATTATTTCACCACTTCAATATATTGGAGTTGTACTATCTTTTTTAGTAGATATTTTCTTCTTCAATGAGTAAATATATTTAACTAGTGTATTAGGAGCTGTACTGATAATTGTAGGTAGTATAGCTATCATTCTATGAAAAAAATTAAAAATTTTTGGAGCTTAAAATAAATTGGTCTTGTTTGATTTATAAAAATATTTTATTTGAATAAATAAAATAAACCTTATATATTAATTGATGTATTTAATTTATCTTTTACTTATAGATGAGTTGTAATTTATTGACTTTGAATTTAAAAATTAATTTTCTATTACTTTTGAATACAATACTTACAATAAATTTATAATTTTATTTGGATAATTTAAGTAAATAATATATTCATTATTTATATTTTTAATTAATTGTTACAGTTTTCTATTATGCTTCTATCTTAATCAAAAACAATGTAAACTTAACTAATATTAGCTAATTACATAAAGTAAATAATTTTTAAAAAAAGTAAACCTTAGAAAATAAAACTTTAAATTGTTACTGATTTATAGCTTAATTATATAAAAAATAGTAATTAATAAAATTAAAAAATAAATAAAAAATGATCTAATTCTTTCATAACATAAGCAAATAAATATGCTAATATGAATAAAAACATCAAAGATAAATGGCTATTACTTATGCTTTGGTGTGTTAGGTGTTCTTTATACTAATGTTTACATGTGTAGGTTTGCTTAGACAAGGATACACTACTTAATAAATTCTTCAAACTAGAATGAGTGTAGGATTCATACTTAATGTGATTTTTTGCCGCATCTAAAATATATCTGTGTATCCTAAGAATAACATTGAACTAAAATTAATGATACTAAGAGGGGTATTAGGAGGAATAGCTTTGTTAATTTTGTTTTAGAGTTTTAAATTACTTAACATTTCGGATGGCATAGTTATTGCAAATACAAACCCTCTTTGGACTAGCTTTTTAGCTTCGATCTTTCTTAATGAAAAAATAACAAAAAAATAAGTTATATTTAGTTTTGTTAGCTTTTCAGGAATAATTTTAATTGTAAAACCTAATTTTTTATTTAAAGACACTTAAATAAAAGATTAAACTTAATATCCAGGAAGAAATTAATTTTTAGGATGTATGCTTGCTTTAGTGGCTTCTGTTTTATTATCTGCGATACAAATTATTTCAAGCAAAGTATAAAAATAAATGAAATGTAACAGTGCTTAGCTTTTAATTTATAATCACTTATTTTCATGCATAATAGGTGGCATAGTTTAATTAGACTCTCCAAATAACAGCATTTAAATCACGAAAGAATTTATTTTGATAATTTTTATTATGGCTCTCTTTGGATTTATAGCATAACTTTTATTTTTTAGATCTTTTACTCTTGAAAAAGCATCTTTGGTATCATCTTTATAATATACAGAAGTTTTACTATCATTTGCTGTCGATATTTTTTTCTTCAACGAACAAATATATTTGATAAATGTTTTTGGTTCTATTTTAGTAATTATCGGAAGTATAGCTATCTTAATATGACTAATCTTATATTATTTATGCATTAAAGCAGATCTTTACTATAAAATATCCTTTTAATTATGTTTTTTATGAATTTTGCAAAGTAAATCTAATTAATAATTTATATAAAAATTAATATATTGTATATTCTCATATTTTAAGATACTTTTTTCTTAAAAAATTATTTTCAAAAAATTTTAATTAACATTTTTTTTGTTTGAAAATAACTTTAGAGGTTGAAAGAGCTACCTAACCTATCCATATTACATATATAAATAATATTTTCTTTATTCTTCAATTATCTAAAAAATAGTTTGTATATTTTAATTTCACTCTTTTCTTTAAATATCTAATTTTAATGAGTTTTATTTTCTTATACCAAGTACTATTTTATTGAACATAAATTAAAAAATATTTAATAATTCCAAATTAATATTGCATTATTTAATAAAAAATTCTATTGTAGAGAATACAAAAGACTTTAAAATTTTAAAATAATAATTTATTTGAAATCAGCCTCTTAGTCTCAATAAAACAAAATTAAGTTAAATGAAATTAAATATTTTTAACTTTAGGGCGATTAAAAGTATAGAATAATCTTAACATAATTATTATAATTTTAAGAAATAATTCCTAACAAATATTTAATATTAAAGATTGTGGGTATTAATTCCATTTTATTCTATTAGAATTTATCATTTATAATAATTCGATTTAGAAGAGTTCCAGAATATTAGAGAGTTAAAAATAAAAAATGAATTAATAGATAGATACATAGATAGATAGATAGATAGATAGATAAATAGATAGATGCTTTTTACTTAATTTGTAGGAGAGGTTAATTTGATCAGATTAAATCAGAAAAATTGATTTGCTTCTATTTATTAATAATCATTTAATTAATATTCTTTTTTAGAATAATAGAACAAAAATCAAAATCTGATTATTAATTTTGTTTTTCCTTTAATTTCTGATCGAACTTTTAACTCCTCTTCAAAAAATGATAATTTTTACTCAATTTGGTTATTATTTTATAATAAAAAATAAATCTTAGCTACTAAAATAACATAAAATAAATACTATGGGTAAAAACGATAAAACTAAAGGAGTAGGTATTGGTATCGATCTTGGTACTACTTATTCTTGTGTTGGAGTTTTCTAAAATGATAGAGTTGAAATCATTTGTAATGATCAAGGAAACAGAACTACACCTTCTTATGTTGCTTTCACAGAAACTGAGAGACTTCTTGGTGATTCAGCAAAATGCTAAGCTGCAAGAAACCCCACAAATACAGTCTTTGATGCTAAAAGATTAATTGGAAGAAAGTTTAGTGATACCTCAGTTCAACAAGATATGAAATATTGGCCATTTAAGGTATAGCCAGGACCTGATGATAAACCTTTAATTGCTGTGCAATTCAAAAACGAAACTAAATAATTTCATGCTGAGGAGATATCATCTATGGTTTTAAGTAAGATGAAAGATATTGCTGAATCATATCTTTCAAAACCAGTTAAAAATGCTGTTATTACAGTCCCAGCTTACTTTAATGACCCTTAAAGATAAGCAACAAAAGATGCTGGTACTATTGCAGGATTGAATGTACTTCGTATTATTAATGAACCAACTGCTGCTGCCATGGCTTATGGTTTAGACTAAAAATTGCAAGGAGAAAAAAATATTCTTGTTTTTGATTTAGGTGGTGGTACTTTTGATGTCTCTCTATTAACAATAGATGGTGGTTTCTTTGAAGTAAGAGCAACCGCAGGAGACACTCACCTTGGTGGAGAAGATTTTGACAACAAATTAGTTGAATACTGTTCTAATGAATTTAAAAAAAAGACTGGTATAGATATTAGAAGAAATCCTCGTGCTATGAGAAGACTAAGGACTTAATGTGAGAGAGCTAAAAGAATTCTTTCTTCGAGCGCAATGGCTTCTATTGAAGTTGATGCACTAGCAGAGAATGAAGATTTAAATATGATTATCTCAAGGCCAAAATTTGAAGAATTATGCCTGAGCTTATTCTAGCAATGTATTCCTCCTGTTGAAAAAGTCCTTTAAGATGCAAAAATGTCTAAAAGTTAAATAGATGAAATTGTTCTCGTTGGAGGTTCGAGCCGTATTCCTAAAGTCATCTAGTTAGTCACAGAATTTTTTAATGGTAAAGAACCAAATAGATCAATTAATCCTGATGAAGCAGTTGCATATGGAGCAGCAGTTTAGGCTGCAATTCTAACAGATAATGGAGGAACTTCTACTGAAGGCTTAATCCTTCTTGATATTACTCCTTTATCATTGGGTATAGAAACATCAGGTTAAGTCATGACTACTTTGATCCCAAGAGGTACAACCATTCCTACTCAAAAATCTTAAATATTTACAACATTTGCTGATAACTAGAGGGCTGTTTCAATTTAAGTCTTCTAAGGTGAAAGATAGTTCACAAAAGATAATCACTTGCTTGGTAAATTTAATTTAGAAGGAATCTCTCCAGCACCTAGAGGTATTCCTAAGATAGAAGTAGCTTTTGATATTGATAATAATGGTATCTTAAATGTGAGTGCTAAAGACCTTGCAACAAATATTGTTGAAAAAATAATCGTGACAAACTAGCAAACAAGATTTTCAGATAGTGAAATCTAGAACTTAATTAAAGAGTCTGAAAAGTATAAAGCTGAAGATGAAGCTATTAAGAAGAAGCTAGATGCTAAAAACAATCTTGAAAGCTATGTATTTTCAATTCGAAATACCTTGAATGATTAAAAACTAAAAGACAAGATCAATAAAGAAGAAAGATAAAACCTTGAATAATTGATCGACTAAACATTTTAATGGATAGAATCAAACTAAAATGTAGAAGCAGAATTTTACAAGCAAAAACAGACAAATCTTGAAGAATCTTTTAACCCGATAATGATGAGAATTTATGGACAAAATGGATAAAGTGCTCCTTATAATTCTGGTAAAGAGCCCTCATCTACTTTCTCTGCAGATGAAGTTGATTGATTGATATAAAATTTATAAATATTATAAAATAAATAAAATTGTAGTGAAATATGTTTGATATAAGAGTATTTACCATACATTTGTTTTATTGAAGCTGATTTAATTGGCAAGATTTTTTGAAAGCAAAAATATCTTGAAATATATAGGGTAAAATAAGGAGCCACATGTGGAACCACCTATTTTATATTATATAGATAGTATATAAATTATTTTAATTTTTAATAATTAAAAGAGCATATTTGTCATCTAATATACCTATTAATTTATATATATTTTTGGTACTTTTTCTATTTTATATAATTTAAGCACTTAAATTAACTAAAAAATATGATCAATTATTAATATTTGCTTACAAATTCAATCAAATATTTCATGAGCGTCTTAAAAATAATTTAAGCAGAAGAATAAAAAGAGGTATTTAACTATTTCATCATGATTCATGAGAAGAAGAAGAAAAATTTATGCTCAAAATTACTGAAAATATTTAATCTTTTTCTAATTTTTAAATTATTGATGTTTTTAAATATATTTTTATAGTGAAAATTATTAAAATGGATTAGCATCAATTTTTTATTTGCAATTAAAATGTGAGTTATTAGATGTACTTCTTAATTTAGCTATTAAACATGATAATTATATTTAGTGGAATAATTGTTGAGAAAAATGGACTCATTTACTTAATTTGAATTGATTCTATTAATCTATAACAGCTTAGATCTGATTTATAAAAATTTGACAATATATATGAGATAGATTTTAGAATACAGTATATAATTCTATAGCTGAACTTTGTTGCATAGATTATTTAAATTATGTCATTTTTTATATAATCAAGTATTTTTCAAATCAAAAAATAAAATATTCCATTATTCTATTCTTAGATAAGGGATTATACATTAGATTTTTAAAAACTAAAATAACGTAGTATACAATTATAAATTTCATATTATGGAATAAATTTTATTATTTTTGTTAGTTTTGACTTGCAGTAATATTTTTTCAAATGTTTTAATTATCGAATAATTGATATTATTAAGTCATAATTCAACTATTAATTACTTAAATTACGATAATTTATTTATTAATTTCTTTTTAACCAAATAATATTATATATTATAAAATAGGGTGTCTCTCCCTAGTGGGACTCTAGGTCACATTTTTAAAAATTTTGATACAATATTAATTTGAAAAGGGAGGTTTCTTGTTTTCAAATTTTTCAAAAAATTAAAATTCTTTTATATTATATTCACTTATAGCAAGAAATTGAATGAAAAAAATTGTTTACAAAATTTGAAAATACAAATATTTTTGATACTATTTCTATTCTATATAATTTAAGCACTTAAAACATATTATCAATAATTAATACTTGATTAAAAATTCAATCAAATATTTTATGAGCATGTTAAAATATTTGAAGTGGAAAAATAAAAAGAGGAGATGTATTTATTTCATCACTATTAATTAAGAAGAAGAAAACTTTGTGTTTAAAATTAATGAAAATACTTAATCTTTTTCTAATAATATTATAATGTTTTGATTTGTATTTTTATAGTGAAAATTATCAAAGTGGAATAAAATATATTCAATTTTATATTATTGTTGAGAAAAATGGACTTATTTACTTATTTTAAATTGATTTTATTCGATCTGATTTATAAAAGAATTGACAAGATATGTGAGAATGATTTCAAGCTTAAAGCATATAATTCTATAACTATCTTAATTTTTGTAACTTAGATTATTTAAATTACATCATTAAAATTATCATGTATTTTTCAAAGCAAAAAATCAAATATTCCATTTGTTATTCTTAAAAAATGGATTGCGCATTAGACTTTAAAAAAACCAAAATAATGTAATATAAAATTATAAATCTTATATTAAATAATATATTTAATACATTTTATAATTTTGTTAGTTTTGGCTTTTAGTAACCTTATTTTTTTCAAATGTTTTATATTATGACATAATTAATATTGTTACGTCATAATTCAACTATTAATTACCTTAAATTGAGATTATCTATTTATTAATTTCTTATTAACCAAATAATATTCATCAATCTTTTATATATAAAAGAAATATCTTAAACTAACAAATATGTTTTCGTTTTCAGAAATTGTTTTTGAAATAAATTTAATTTATTTAGGCAGATATTAAAATAAATAATGTATTCTCTCAATCTCTTTCTGTTTAAATTATTAATTTACTTCAATTGAGAGTATTTTTAAGATTAAAAAGATTCTTTAAAAAATTTCTATTTTTGCTTTAATCTTTAACAAAAAAAGTACGTTTTTTATTAAATATATTTTTATAAATTAACATTTGTTAACCTTAGCTTTTAAATATCTCAATTTAATATTTAAAATTTTTATATTTGCTTTCTGATTAGCATTAATGATTAGATATCAAAAATATTTTTATTTTGGAATTTTATACTTTCTGTTTAAAAATAAACAAAAAAAATGCTTTTCACACATGAAGTTAACTTTCAGAATAGCTCCTGACTAAAATTGCTTTAAAAATTATTAAATTAAGTAAAGCAAAAGAATAATATGCTTGAATTTGATCTATAAATAAAAACCAAATTAGTAAAAAATACCTAAATTAAAAAAAACAGTTTAAGTTTAAAACAACCTTTTGAAATTTAAAAACGGATATGAATATCTGCTTATTGTTTATATATATATCGAATTTTTTATGTTTTTAAGCTAATTTTGTAAAAAATTGTATTATTATATAAAATATACTATTTCAATTTAGATATATATCATTTTTTTTACTTATTTAAATCCTTTAGCAATAATTATTTGCCATTAATTATTTTAAAAATATGTCTTTTTATTGTAAAATTTACAAAATAAAAATTATTACATATATAATACTCCTCAAAATATGATTTAAATCCTTTAATATTCCTAGATAAATAATTTAAAACAACATAGCTTTATATTCAAAAAAATGTTGATTATAAATTCAAATGAATCTCATCTTAAATCTATAATTAAAATAAGTAATTAGCTATCAATCTTAAGCTACTGATATTTTATTAACCAAATAATCAAATTGATCAAAATTTATAATAAAAAATTTTATTTTAAATATTAGATGCGATCTATCTCCAAAATATTAATAATAAATAATAAATCAAAAAAATTCAAAATATTAAAAAAAGAAAATAAGAAAAAAATTGGTAAAATGAAACTCAAAAACGCAATATTAATCTTGCTATTCTTTGTGCTTCTTATCTGCTCCAATCTCTCTACCTAAGTTGAAGCTAAATCATTAAAATCATAGACATAAACCGCTATAAAAGATTGTTTAGGGCCTAAATAACACTGCGGTAATGATAAATAATGCTGCAGAGGACTTTGTGTAATGAACATGTGTCTTGGCTGAAGAAATTTTTCTAAAAATTATAATAATTTTATGGCTCTATCAAATAAATATATGATTAAAATTTATATATATATTTGTTAAAATTTAAAAAAAATAAACAATTTTTTTTTTAGCATAATCAATATAAATTTTACTTAATTTTCTTACTATTCTATACTTAATTAAAAAATATTTATTATAAATTTTCTGATTTCTTTTGCTAAATATATTTTGCTATTTGATGAATTTTATTTAATGAGTATTAAAAGAAATATTTAATTGATTAAAAAATATTTTTTTTTAAATAAATAAAATAGAGTTGCAAAAATGTAATAAATTTTAATAGTTTTAAAAACAAATAAATGGTGATATGAATTTTTAGATTGTTAATTTTATATAATTTAATATTTTAAATAAAATACTAACTTTGAATTCTTCTTCATCTTATTCAAATATATTTTTATAATTTTTAGCAAATTTCAGGATATTCTTCTTTATGATGCTAAATGAACTAGTTAATAACAGTATTGGTTTAAATAATATATTCTGTTAAATAATCTTTTTCACTGCTTTCTCTATTTAGGATTTCAACAAATTCGATTACGCTATTAGCGAATTCAGTCATGTTAATATTTTAATATTAAAGTTGGTATCTTAGTGTATATAATTTTATTGTTTCGTCATTAAAAGGTATTCTACCATTGCTTTACTCTTTTAAAATTTAAAATATATTTTTAGTTAATTCAAGAGCGTTGAAATACTCCTCTAAAGATTATTGAATTTATGCTTTTAAAATTAAGAACGAAATATATTCATCAGCATATTCAACAGAATTCTTTGTTTAATTTATGAGAGGATCTAAGTACTTCATGACCTCATCGTACTTTCCAAAGATGACATAAAAGTTAGCTAATATTTTATAAGTTTGGTATTTTATTTCATCAAAAGAGTTTACTCCAACAATTTTAGAATGAAGTTCTAAACATTTTTTACCAGCTTACTCTATTTTTTCTAAGTATTATTCTTCCTGATAGGATTTAAGTAGCTAATAGCAACAATAAAGGTGCTGCTTCGAACCATTTTCAGTTTTTTCTATAATTTTTAACGCTTTTTCTCCCATCTTAAATGACTATTCAAACTGACCATTCAAATAATAAGCTTCGCTTAAACCTGCTTTAAATCTACCTATATATACAATATAAATATATCAATTGATTTTATTTTTTACCATTTTATTACCTATTTCGATGTCAGCCAGTTATGAAGAATTAATAATATTTAGAATTGATTCACCGTATTTGACAGAAAGATCGTACTCTTCTGTAATTTTGTGCAATCTCATAAGATTAACTAAAATTTAGTATTTGTCTAAATTAGGGGTTTTTTCGTCAAGTAAGTTAAGTGCTTTTTAAAAATATTCAATTGATTTTAACACATCACCTGTTTTTTCATATGCTATTCCTACGTTTTAGAAAGCTTTAGCCTTTCTAGTTGAGTCATTGTCATCTATAACACACTATAAACTCTCTAAAGCAGTTACTAAGCTTTCATCATATTAGTTTTATAAATATTAGCAAGTGAAAATTCTATTTAAGAGAGTTCCTTAATTTTAAATAAATAAATAAATTCATTTTTGATTTATAAAAAATAATAAATGAGCAAAATTGTAAATAAATACCTTTATATTGCTTGCGTTCATTTTCAGGCATTTAATCTATTTGCTATATATATTTTTCAAATTCAGCTTGAGCTTCTTTATACATTCCTTTTTTAAAGTAGGTAGTTGCCATATCTTAGTTTATAGGCTCTTCTTGAGGTTTATTTTTTTACTATTACTTTGTTTGTTAATAATTTGATTAGTTTAAATTGATTTTAGCTTAATCTAAAGGTTAAACCGTTTATTAATGCATATTTTAGATCTTCTCTGTCTCTTCTATTTCTCTAATTTTTTATTATAAATTCTTGATATTTCTTGATCCTTCTCCTTAAACCTTTTAGTAAATTTCAATAGATTCATTTAACACAGTTTTAGCTCTTTCAAAAAGCTTAAGTTCGGAAAAAATATAGCCAACTGTTGCGAAGAGATAGGCTCTGTGAGCTTCTAAATTAGGTTTTTTTGCCAAAATGTATGCTTTTTCGACTGCTAAATGAGCCTATTGATCATTATTTATAGCTTGATAAGCTTATGTTTAAAGATTAAGACCTGTAAATTTCTGCAATAAATTTTATGTGTTGTCTTATGCTTCCATTTTTACTACTATATTAGAATAATCTAGAGATTTTTCATAGTTTTACGAATGGAGGAAAAGATTTGAAATGTTATTATTCACCTAAAGGTACATATGCTCAAATTCTTTAGGATTATCTTGATAGAGATCGTCAACCATTTCTTCAGCTTCGAATGCGTATTAAAATGCCATTGTCATTTTTTATTTTTAGAAGTAAAGAATACTTAAGTCATAGAAGCATGTAGCTATTTGTAAACTTTTTTTCTCTTCCTTTTATAAACATTCAACTTGCTGCAAAGAAAATTCTATTGCTTTATCAAAGTGCTTAGCCTCTAGAGCAGCTCTAGTTATTAAATTAAAAACTAGATAGTTTTTGATATTGTCATTGCTATCCTTAATTACCTTAAGACTCTCGCTATAAATTTAATCAATAGGCTTCTATCTAAGGTTAGTATAAAGTTGCATAACCTCATCCATTTAAGTCTGAGATATTACAGCAAATCCATAACTTGGCTAAAATTGCATGATTTTTCTCAGTTAAATTTTATTATGAGTTAAAGTTTGTTAACTCAGCAGAGTTTCTTACCTTACTCTAGAATAAACAGCACTTTTGGCAATTGCGCTAGCTACTTTCCTTAAAAACATTTACCTTTTAATTATTCTTAAATTTGTTATTTATTTTTTTATTTATTTTTGGAAGATTCTCTATTATTTAAAGATTTAAAAACTATTAACTTTTTAAATAAATAGTAGACCTGGTTTAACTCCTAAATGATTACATCTAATACTGCATCAAATCTTAGGTAAAGCATCGTCATTATCTTATTTCCAAAATAATCCGCAATATAGAGAAGCTATTTTTCCTAAGAAGATTTCTATTGAAATAATTATACATTAAAACGACGCTATTTACTATTTCTACTTGATTACTAATCTACTTTTACTCATTTGACGCTACCTATTTTTCTAAAATTCTTAATTTTAAAACTTTACTCACATATTTTTACTTACCAAAAAATATTACTCAGTCTAAAAAATTAAGCAAATGTAATGAGTTACAATTATTTGTATTTGGGAGTGATACCTAATTCATTTTTCGTATATTTCATCATTAACATAATTTACTGAAATCCTTTACTATGTTCACACTTAAAACCACTCTGTTTTTTTAAATATATTTAAATAGCCAAGGAGTTTCAAGAAAAAAATAGTAATTTAAAAAATTTAATTAATTGAATTGAATATGATATCAGATTACGTCTTTAATTAAACATACGCAACTATTAGAAGTTCTAAGAATTCTGACAACTAAAAAAAAAGGACTTCATACATATAGACTCTAAGTCTAAAAAATGATTTTAAACAAAAAATTCTTGAAAATGATTATTAGGATATATCCCTGGCTGATAGAAATTAAAATTTTAATCAATAAATTTAAATTTTTTCAAAACAAAGTAATGAAGAAGTACAGTAAATATCTTAAGTTTCAAAACTAGATAGAACTATTTTTGAAGACATAGAAATATTTGGAAATTGTAACAATAAAGTAATTATTTGCTTTAATTAGTAGAAAGGAATGCTTTTCGGGTTAGATTAGCATGCAATACATGAGAGAATAAGATATGAATATTTTTGTAATTAATTCAAAGCATCTGCTTTTTGCTTGTAATACAAATAAAGCAGAAATGAAATAGACTCTAAATGCATCAATTTATCATAGCGAAATAAAGATAAGCAATTTCCATCTATACTCTGGTTTGACCAAACAAGAACAAATTGTTTAGAATTAGATGCTTATATTTTTTAAAGGCTTTAAAAGAATGTTGATAAGTTAAGTTAATTCAAAATATAAGTTGTAAAAATTTAAAATATTAATTAAAATAAATTTGAAGTCTATTTATGGCCTTAGTTATATATCCTTAATAAGCCTATTACTTATGATCTTAAATTTATAGATTCAATATTAAACTCAGAGCTCGGTCATATACCTAATACAATTGATGAAATAATAATGTCTAAAGCATGTAAGGGAGCGATTAAATTTAATGAAGAACTCAATTAAAATTAGATGGATATGTTAATAAAAAATATTAAATTATGTGAGTTTCCTTTTTACTGTGTGCATGGCAGAAGCTCAATACATCCATTTTTTTCCTTAGAAATACAAGACGTTTGCTAGATCTAAAAAAATTATCAAATTTGAATTTTTAATTGCATACAGACAAACTTAAATAAATTTTCTTGAATAAAAAAGATTTTACAAATAAGACATTAAATATTATTTTAACTTTTTATTGCAGCAATCAACATAAATCTTGTAAAATTCGAAAATATTTTTATATATTTAAGAGAATTTTTTTAAAATTATAATGATTATTGTTTAAATTAAAATTATTTATTTTTTCACCAACTTTTGAAAATTTTGACTAATCTCTTTTGTTGTAAAATAAATGTTTAATAATATATGTTGAAAAAAGCATAAAAAATTTTGTTATTTAAATTGAGAATAAAATAAAATCAAAGCATTTATCTTAAATATTATTTAATCTTATTTTATTTTAATTGGGGTTGGGGTTGGGGTTGGGGTTGGGGGGTTGTGGGGTTGGGGTTGGGGTTGGGGTTGGGGTTGGGGTTGGGGTTGGGGTTGGGGTTGGGGTTGGGGTTGGGGTTGGGGTTGGGGTTGGGGTTGGGGTTGGGGTTGGGGTTGGGGTTGGGGTTGGGGTTGGGGTTGGGGTTGGGGTTGGGGTTGGGGTTGGGGTTGGGGTTGGGGTTGGGGTTGGGGTTGGGGTTGGGGTTGGGGTTGGGGTTGGGGTTGGGGTT